TGAGTGTGTTTGGAGTCTGATGGGGCATCATGTGATGGATAACTCTCAAGCCAAGGGACCAAAGCATCTCATCTAATCTCATCCATCCATTGCTAATTTGCTGCTGCTACTAACCTTTCTTTCCTTCTATTGCTTTGGCTTAACGACCACGCGAGCTATTCCCTCTCCTAACGCCGTTCCGTTTCCCCTCGCCGCCGCCGTCAACGGACGCCCGCCGACGGTTTCCGTTCCGCCGCCACGGCGTTACCAATTTCCTCTCCATTTCATCTTGCGTTTCGTACATAATTTGTTAATCGATCCGAGTCAAATTAGGAGTCTCGGTTAATTTGTAAGCTAAATTCAATGGAGAATGAGACTTTTCTTTTTTTTTTCTTTTTGTTTATTGGAGCTGAACAATGAGACGTTTTTTGCGTCCTGATGCGACGACGGTAGAATATTTTACATGTCAGCTCCAACTAGGCCGACCACAACGTTCTTATTTGCAGAGGGGTAACATCTAGCGGAATATGGAACAGTTACATATTATTATAAATTAATTAAATTTAATTATTAATATTAATGTAATTTAATCTGTGTCGCAAAATGCAGATCAGCAACTAAGCTAGTAGCTCAGTGGCTGGTACTGCTGGAGTAGCAGCAGGCAGTTTCCTCCTTGTTAGTCAACTTTGCCCTACTTAATTAAAACCAAGTTGTTTTTTAGTCAAGCAAAACAGAATTAAAAGAATGACGACGACTATCTTTAACTTCTTCTCTAGCTAGCTAGTCGCTTGCTCAGTTTGCAGCATGCAGCTCATGATTAAAGTTGTGTTTATATACATGTGGTTCCAAATGAATTTGGTTGTTAAGACTGTCACACATATACAGCTATTATGATTTATGAACAATGACCAATGCAGAGCAACAAGGTGTGCTAATATCAAAGCCCGGCCTGGACTGAAACAATTTGCTTGAAATTGAATTCTTAATTTGTCAGTTAGAGCTGGCCGAGGCCATCTAATATATACAACTCCACTTTGTACTAGTCACAACTCAGCTTTATATACATGGGTCTACCTGAGGTCCAATTTGTTAATTAGCCTTGTGTATGCATACCCTGAGGCATCAGGCATGCTAGATACTAAGATTCTGGCATCACTAATTAATCCCATCGATCGAGATCATATATACAATATAATAGAGCAGCAGATTCTTAAATATTAAACCTATGTAGTAGAATAGTAATTAGTAAGATGATCTACTTGCATGGACTTGTAGTATATAGTATTATTATTATGTATGATCAGCAACGCAACCTGTATTGTATTATTTCTAAGAGGATTAATTAATTAGAAGTACCAAAGCATAATATATATATCAGTCGATCCACAATGTTGATGCATCGATCATGCTTACGCAACCAGAAGATCATACATAAAGTTGGAGCATTTCACATTATCTTATATAATATGTATATATAAAGCGTATCACGCAGCATTTGAAATTGGGATTATGAGCTGGGAACAAATTCTGTGTGCAAGTTGCCCGGTGCTGGTACGGACACACGCACGCATGCACTGCTTTTTCCATGATTCTATCGCATCGTTATCTCGGGGATGATCAGCAAATGCTATTAACTTTTAATTTATGTATGTATGTCACTCATAGCCATTTCACAGCTTTTACAATAACAAGCTACAAACTGGTTATATGCTTATCGAGAGAAATAAAATAATAATAATGAATGCCGGCTCTCGTGCAAGAGCTCGTTCATTGAATACACATGTGAGGGAAAGAGAGAAGAAAAAAAGAACAATATTATAGCTCATCTACTGTATATGTTAATGCTAATATAAGCTTGTAACTAACAGATGGAGAGTTCTTGTTTGTCGCATGTCGTAAACTTGAGACGACGGTTATGCAACTCTTTGTCAACTACGGATGGAGATTCACCAATAGACTATAGACTGGAATAATGTTCTCCTTGTCCTGTTTGGTTTTCCTATAATTTGGTTTGGTGTGATTCGCTTTATTTTGGACTACACTTTTCTAGAGTGCTAGATTGTAATAATGGTTGTAACTCTTTGGAGCAAAGGCCGGATGTTACTCATTCCATTATTAAAAAACAGTTGGCTTTATTATTAAACTTGCTTTTATGTGTTTATTATCTCGACTTAGCTGGCAATAATAATGGCAGCAATACATCAGTTACTCCTGGTATCATCTTTGTATCATAATGAATATTTCTACCTTTTCCATTTCAAAATATGTTGATTTCCACCGTTTAAAATTTGTCACGGAATAAGTTAATTTATAACCCCTTACTTACTATTGTCAAGAACTTTATCCCTTAAATATCCGTACTTATATTAACCATCAACTATTTTCTATTAATTATGGGAACTTGTTTTTCCTTGATACTAACTTTCTCTTAGAATAGTACTAATGGATTATTTTGGGACAGAGGGACTATTACATTAGATAACGTATTCAATGTTCACGCTGTTTCAGAAAAAGAAAACTCAGGCCTGTAAAAACTGAAGCAACAAGGAGTGGCTATTACATTAGTAAAACTAATCAGAAGTATAGCACAAGTAATCATTTGCATGCGATTGATTAATCAACATCACCCTTGATTTGTCCTCTGTTTTAATTTCTTCTCACAACCTAACAAATCAGTGTGCTTGCGTAGGTGCGTGCGTGCGTCTACAATCTCCTGAAAATCTGCTGATATGCGCCGTAGCAGTACAAGTACTTTGGTCGATCGATGAGGACAAAAGATAAACAGATTGATTAAGCGAGTAATTAATTAAAGCAACGAACAACATGCACTAGCTATGCTACTACCTGCATTATTGCCATGTCCAGATTATCTTTTACTTGCTTTCAGTTGGCGGCCTTCTTCCGATCTGTTGGGTCCTAGCAAATAGCTAGTGAGGTCAGAGCTAAACCAAACTAATTGTACTGAAAAATGGTACTAGTATTAATTTGATACAACTTGACAACATTTTGGAGATCCCTCTATCGTTGGCAACTTGACAATATGCTGTCTGAAAATTAGAATATATAAAGTATTATTCAGGGTTGAGAGTGCATAGGTGTCCATGAGATCAACAGCTGGAAATGATGTACAGTACGATTTAAACGGTGTAGTGTTCTCGATCGATCGTGATTCATGAGTTAGCAACTGAATTTTTTTTTTGTTTGAAGAAAAAAGACAGCTAGAGTGCTAGACGAGAATGAGAGATTGGATCTGCAGCTGATCAGACTACTACTGCACGTGCAATCCATTAATTAATTCGTTTCGATCCTGATTCCTTGATCAGTTTCATTCCTCGATATCATATAACCATAAACTAATTGATTCTCGTTTACTCAAGTCGATCAGAGACCATGATATATGAATTAGCCTGAAGTTTTAAGTGGCCGCACCTGAAGAATGCAGGAGTTATCAGTGGTGGAAACTGGAATCCGTCAACTTAATTAGCTGGTTTGATCACATATAATCAATTCACAGAATCACAGATAACATACATACTGAAGCCTATAAATAGAGAAAAATGAAATCCTTCATAACTGCCAGGATATGATCCACTAATAAACGATTACAAGATCCTTTTTTTTTCACTTTACAATAACTTGCAGGCTTTAATTTCCTACCTCATTCTGTCACAACTCACAACTGCATCAGCACACACACAATTAATGTAGTACAGTGCAGATCAATCCTGAAGCTTATTACAGTCGCTTTCAGTAGGGTTATTAGTTGAGTTTGACGATGACAACAACATCATAATCAGCTAGCATCACCGACGATCACACACATATACACAGCCACTCGATCCATCTGCAAATAGTTTCACGACTTGTTCATGACACTTAACAATTAAGTAGTAACACGCATGCATATTACTACTAGTAGTATAACGATGACACACATATACGTGTCTCTCTCTTGTGTGCGACGAGGTCACTGTCGAGCTAGCAAACGTGTCGTGAGTTTTGTGATGGGTTAGCAAGCTTATAGCTTGGGTTAACGTCATTAAATGGTGGAATATAATCGTCGGTCGGCGACAGTATGAGGAGGAGGTTGCTTGACAGTGCTCTCGCAGATCATTCCATCATGCATCCATCCATCCATGAATCATTCACCAAGTACTTAGTCTACTAGTTTTATTGTACTACCCGTTAATTTCTTTCCTTGATCTCCTTGTCAACTTGCCGTCTTAGCTAGTCCAGGGTTTACCAAATCATATCATAGGAAGCTTCAATTTAATTTCTTCTTTGGAAGAGAGAGAGGAGATAGAGTGTTAATTTGTGGATGCTCTTTATAACATGTAACTGATGATTGAGGTAATTGATTATGCACCTGATCTAGATACATGTACAGCTAACCTTTGACTAGTTCTGGTTCTGGGTATCCTCTGTTATGTCATCTTCACCTCCATTTGGCTTTATTTCTTACCTTTTAAGACCTCTAAGATGAGGCTGTGGCGTTACTCACGTTTTAAACCTTGTAATAGGGTTCAAATATAAATAAGTAACGGATTTTCACGCATAAAATTGCGCGGGAGAATAAATTTTAAAGTATAGAAAGATTTGATATACAGCACATACCAATAGTTCGGTATATTGTACGTGATTGCCTTCGTATATTTATAATAAGTTTACGATATTACAATAACATTTGTCGAGACATATCTATGTACTCCTATACCATGTGCTTCATTTTCAAACTCACCTTTTGAGGAAAAAGATAGATATCCCAAATTTTAAAATTTAGTTGAACCTCATATTAAAACGTTAAATATTTATAATCAACATAGATGATAAGAAAGTGAAAAGAATTGACAATAATTCGATACTGCAAAAAAGATAATGTTCATCAAAAGAAGAAAATAAATGCGAAGAAAATAACGGAACGGAAGGGGGGTGACCCCGCCGTCGCCGTCGCCGTTAACCATGGTGTGGTGGTCGTCTTCTTCCTCAATAAGAAGGCGATGGATTGAGCCCCCACCCTCTCCTCTCCTCCCTGCTTCTCTCTCTCTCTCTCTACCCAGCGAGCAAGAGAGAGAGACAGGGCAAGGAAGAAGGAGGAGACCAACCCTAGCTAAGCCCCTCCCTCCTCTACGCTCTACTGCACAGGAGAGGAGGAGATGGAGTCGCCGCCGACCGCCGCCGCCGCCGCCGCCGCAGCCGAGCGACCGTCCGAGGCAGCCGCGCTGCGTGCGCTCGTGGACCGCGTGCGCGCCGGGGAGGTGGAGGCCGCGCGCGAGGTGCGCCGCCTCACCCGCTCCTCCTCCAGGCACCGCCGCAAGCTCGCCGCCGCCGTCGAGCCCCTCGTCGCCATGCTCCGCTCCCCCGCCCCCGACGCCGGCGAGGCCGCGCTCCTCGCCCTCCTCAACCTCGCCGTCAGGGACGAGAGGTGAACCAACCAACTCTTCCCCGCCTAATCTTTCTCTGATTGAAAAGAAAGAAAAACAACAGTTTTTGACAGATTTCCCTTTTGCTCTAAATTCGGTAATATTTGCCGCTTTGGGTGCAATCGCTTTGGTAAAATTTCGAAAGTTTGATCCTTTTCTCGCTCAATTCGATAGTCTCCTCTCAGATTGCTTGGCTATTTCGATGCACGCCTATAGAATCATACGAAAAGTTTCAGATTTTTATCGCTTAAAGTTAAATCTAATCTATCAGACCACTGCTTAGCTTAGTCCCCAGCTATTGAACTGGGTTTCTTATTAGGATGCTTCGTTTCGATTGGCTAATCATGGCGGCTAACCAGGCTGATTCTTTCTGTTTGGACTTCGGATCGATCAATAGATGAGGATAAATTAAATTCGCTCTTCTGTGGTCCTCCACTGTACTGCAAGATTGCAGAGTTGTATCGTTGGGCTAACCTTAAATTCTGCACCCTACCATCGTTGCTAAATCTGTAGTAATTCTGTAATTTGGGATTAGTTTTACCATAACCCAGTCCTTTAAGTTTTTGCTACTTGGTGGTATAGAATATATTCCCAAGCATATTCTAAGAAACTTGAGCAGGATAACTTCGCACCCGATTTCTGGCTACTCATCAGCATCATCAATTAGGTCATCCAAAAGTAAGGTATCCTATTGCTTTTCTAGACGCCCGTGGAATCGCAAATTATTTGCTGTTGCCAAAGAGATTTTTGTTCCGATGACCCTTCAACTAATCTTTTCGATCCCTAGAATGTGGTGTAGATTTCTTTGGAAATGGCAACACGAGGAAAGCAAAGAAAACGGCCGGTTAAGATGTTGGGGGAAACAGTTGGTCTGATTTGGAAGCTGACCTAAGGCTGCCAACCACCTTTGCCCTGGTTGGCTGCTTCTAGGAAAAAAAATCTAACATCAGAAAGCTGGAAAACCAGTTTTTCTTTGTAAATCTGCCTAATATTTCTCCCCTCTTTTCAACTGCTGTTGGTCAAGATAATCCAATCATCTCATACTTGCTTTCGGAATTTTGTGCCAATACCAATTCAATGACCTAATTGTTTTGAGACATATCCGAGCATGTTGACCTCATGGTTCATCAACTTGGTACTTGGTAGGCCTCATACCAACCTGTGGCTGAAAGTGAGGCCAGACAAATTTGGTGCCGTATACCAGAACTGTCTCCTTCTTATGTCCCTTTCCTTTTTTTCTCAATTTCTAATGGTAAAACAAGGACGGATAAGTGGTAAATTCAGCTGCACACAGTATGGTGTTCTGATAACTCTTTGTCAAGAATCTGATTGCTTGTATCAACTGCCAGCCTGCCACTGGTTCTAGTGGGACCAACTGTTCCAACAGTTAGAGAATCAAGTTCCTGTCTTCAGATCGTATCTAGTACTAGTACATCCCAAGATGTCGCACTTTCTGAGCACCAGCAGAGAAGGGATAAGGATTTTTAAGACTCTGAATTTTATCAATACCTCATGTACCTTGCCTCTGGAGTCTGGACATGTATGGGCTGTGTATCACTTTGTTGGTGTATCTGCCCATGTCTCACAGTTATGGCATATTTCCAGAACATAAATTAGACGTTAAGTAGTAATGTTCAAACCGGCAACATTTATAATATCTCGTCATGGCGTCCATATGGGTTCAAGATTCACATTTAAAACTTTTAATGCCCTTTGGGGAGCTATCCTAGTATATGCGGAACCTTTTAATTTATCTAGCATAACTGCTCTGAATGTGGATTGGCTTGACATTGTTTTGTTAGTCTAGTGGTGAACTGGCAACACTCAATGTGGACCTTGTACTCTGCTCTCAGTTTTTTATCTATCTACGACATTGACACTACATGGGTAATGTGGTCTTTCTGGATAGGAAACCTCAGATGTCTTTATGTGCTGAATGTTTACAGTGGAGATGATTTACTATCCATTTTGGTCAGTGGTTTAGTTATGTGTACCTGTGTACACCTTTTCTTCTCTATCTTAATGAAATGATACGCAGATCTCCTGCGTGTTCTAAAAAAAATGTGTACCTGTAACACTTAGTTTGCTGAGAAGTGGGAACTGTCTGTAATCTCCTGTTTCTAAATTGCGATTATTTTATCTTATGCAGGAACAAGACCAAGATAGTGGATGCTGGAGCACTGGAGCCACTGCTGGGTTATTTGCAATCAAGTGATCTGAACTTACAGGAGTACGCAACTGCTGCCCTTCTTACACTCTCAGCCTCATCTACAACTAAACCAATTATAAGTGCTTCTGGAGCAATCCCACTGCTGGTAAAGGTCCTAAAAGAAGGAAATTCACAAGCCAAGAATGACTCAGTGATGGCCCTTTACAACCTCTCCACGGTTACAGATAACCTCCAGACGATCCTTTCTGTTCAACCTATCCCCTCTTTGATAGAGTTACTGAAGGGTGGAAAGAGATCATCCAAAACAGCTGACAAGTGTTGTGCCCTCTTGGAGTCATTGCTTTCCTTCGATCAAGGACGAGCAGCTTTGATTTCTGAGGAAGGTGGAGTGCTCACCATTGTGGAGGTACTTGAGGAAGGGTCCCTTCAAGGTAGGGAGCATGCGGTGGGAGCTCTACTAACTATGTGCGAGAGTGATCGCAATAAATATAGAGATATCATTCTAAACGAGGGGGCAATTCCTGGTCTTCTTGAACTCACAGTCCATGGTACACCCAAGTCCAGAGTGAAGGCTCATGTTCTTCTTGACTTGCTGCGCAACTCGCCATATTCAAGATCAAAGCTGCCGGCAGACACACTCGAGAACATTGTAAGCAACATTGCTTCACAGATAGATGGCGAGGACCGCGGTGGGAAAGCTAAGAAGATGCTTGCTGAGATGGTGAAGGTTAGCATGGAGCAAAGCTTGAGGCATTTGCAGCGTCGAGCTTCTTTTGCATGATCAGGTGATTGGCACATTTTGCAATGGAAGTAGACATAGTGGAAATAATGAGTTTGCTGGTGATGCCGGTCCAGGCCTTGACAGGACCGAGTGACTGGTTTGAGCGCTCATATACTTAAGCTGTTGAAGTAGTAGTTCCTTTTCCATTTCAATCTTGTGTGTTCTGAACAAGAACATTTTTTTCTTCTGTTTCTCATGTGCCCTTCCTGCACTTTGTGCATGAAAGACCCCAAAAAAAGCAAAAGAAAGAAAACAAAAAAGAAAGACATATCCTTTGAGGAATGGACTGTACATGATATAAAGTAAAGATCCCATTCTTCATGTCTGGATAAGCTGTGCTCTTTTAGTCTCTGTGCTGAATACTTCATTTCTGTTCATATTATGGTGTTTACTGACCAAATGTCTTCTCTTTGGCCTAACAAGGTAATCAGTGACCTTTTTCTTGTCAGGGTAATAAGCTTCTGACTATGACTACCAAATTTCTGACTTCAGAGTAGGCATGCTGTTGGCCTAACTGTTTAGTGTTTTTGGACTAGATATTAGACTGAACATTGAACAATTACTTGCACGTCGTTTGTACTTGATATTGGTGTGCCATTTCTTGATTTTGTCAGGCTGCAATCAAGGCCTTGACTTAGCCAAAACAAAAAATTTCACGCTGTCACATCGAATGTTTGGGCACATGCATGAAGTATTAAATGTAGGAAAAAAAAATTACACATATTGCGTGTAAATTGCGAGATGAATCTTTTTAGCCTATTGCGCCATGATTTGACAATGTGGTGCTACAGTAAACATTTGTTAATAATGGATTAATTAGGCTTAATAAATTCGTCTTGCAGTTTCTTTGGCGGAATCTGTAATTTATTTTGTTATTGGACTACGTTTAATACTTCAAATATATGTCCATATATCCGATGTGACAACGAAACCTAAAAAGGCTTAACCTCACTGGACATTCAGAAAATTCATCATCTACTACTATAAATCACTTTGACCATCTATCTGGAAGATTGTTTCAGACAGTACAGCTTTGGAAGCATCCGTGCTAATGATGATAGATCCTTTTCGTTGTGTGTAAAAAGCCTTTTGACTCTCATTGGCCGGCCTGATTAGGAGTTGATGATGACTAATCTGACCATAATAAAGACTGCCCAATTATGGCTGCTTCCTTTGCGTCTCAAAGGGAGATGTCTCCCATCATAGCTTGATCATGCACAACCTTTGTTTGTTACGTTATCCATTGCAAAATCGTACACCGGAAATATTTCTTTTTTGCGTTCGATTCTTCTGCACGCCTCATTTGGCATCGCATCTGATTGCCCTGTAGATTTTGCACCGACGACGTTTTTATCGGAGAGAGAATATGCCAGTGTCCGACAGTAATCAGACACTCACGCAGCTTGAAGAAGACGAATGCTAGGCTGCTACCTGATGTTCTCAACAGGAGAAACAGAGTTTCTTTCAGACATTATCAAAGCAGGATAAATTAGATGATCTTTAATTATGTTCTGCGGTAGAGATGACAAACTTTGAGCAAGATATAATTAAAACTGGTAGAAGTCTGAATTTTGTACTTCACAGAAAACGGAGATTGGACTAACTGAATGATCAACCGCTTATGGTTTGATGAAACAAGAAGTGGGGGAGCACACAAAGCGAGTCAACTCGAATAGTTCAGTTGATTCAGTAACAAGAGCAGTTTCCCATTCAGTTTTGACACGCCAAGAGTGTGCAGGTGATTGCAGTTAACACAACCAGTCGAGCGCATTACATATGGTCCAAGAAGATTAACCGCCCGGTCAGAATGAGATACTAATTAATACTGAAATGACAACGGATCATGCCGGGAAGAAAGTCGACGTCGTCGTGGTTGGCAACGTTGACGGCGAGCACGTCGGAGTAGAGCAAGCTCGCCATGATCTGCACGAGGAGGCGGCGGCGGCGGCGGCGGCTGACCATCATGCCACCAGAGGCCTAGCCATTGGCTTTCTCATACGAGAGGTAGGTACATATAATGTCTGCAAATTTATGATTAATTGATACACATAAAACCCTTTGCATGAATTGAATTGAACCGATGAATGGATGGCAATGGCGATGGAGCAGGTGATGGTGGAGGGGTTGGCGTCGTTCTTGGTGGTGTTCTGGTCGTGCGTGGCGGCGCTGATGCAGGAGATGTACGGGACGCTGACGTTCCCGATGGTGTGCCTGGTGGTGGCGATGACGGTGGCGTTCGTTCTCAGCTGGCTCGGCCCGGCGCACTTCAACCCGGCCGTCACCATCACCTTCGCCGCCTACCGCCGCTTCCCGGTCTGGCCCAAGCTGCCGCTCTACGTCGCCGCCCAGCTCGCCGGCTCGCTCCTCGCCTGCCTCTCCGTCAACGCCGTCATGAGGCCGCGCCACGACCACTTCTACGGCACGGCGCCCGTCGTCGTCCACGGCACCCGCCTCCCCTTCCTCATGGAGTTCCTCGCCTCCGCCGTCCTCATGATCGTCATCGCCACCGTCGCCACCGACGGCACAGCGGGGAAGACGGTGGGAGGGATCGCCATCGGAGCGGCGGTGGGAGGGCTGGGGCTGGTGATCGGGCCGGTGTCGGGAGGGTCGATGAACCCGGCGAGGACGCTGGGGCCGGCGATCGTGCTGGGCAGGTACGACGGCGTGTGGATCTACGTGGTGGCGCCCGTCGCCGGGATGCTGGTCGGCGCGCTCTGCAACCGCGCCGTCAGGCTCTCCCACCGCATCGTCGCCTTCCTCTGCGGCACCTCTGTTGGGATCGCCGGCTCGCCCTAGCTACCACACTAGAGCTTAGCCCTCCATATATATATCCACAGAATAATTCGCCTCCATTATGATAGCTGCATGAACACGACGAGCATCGCTGCACTGAAATTGTTTTGGACCAACCAATAGAGATTTTCCATCCCAATACGGCCCAATTTTGCATCGCACGTTTATTCACAGAATAAGTCTAATTTATATCCCTTATATTTACGTCTCATTACGAGTGGGCCCGGAGACGATCGGAATTGTGTTAACATGGCCAAAACTACCGTCCGCAAATAATATGGGCCTTCGCAGAGGCCCAAGTTCTCGTCTTGGCCCAGTGGACGCACCATATTTCAACGGCCCAGATTGCATCGAACATACAAATAGGACTCTCTTGTCCATTTCCACATTTGAACAGTGATTTCGTCTTCGCCCAAAACCCTAATCCCTCTTTCTCTTCTCGCACCGGCGCCATGACGCTCCATGATTTGATAATGTTGTGCTACATTAAACATTTACTAATGACGGATTAATTAGACTCAATAAATTTATCTCGCAATTTACCGACGGAATTTGTAATTTGTTTTGTTATTAATCTACGTTTTATACTTCAAATGTGTGCCGACATATTCGATGCGACACTTCAAAACTTTACACTACTAAATCTAAAGAGCCCCTTAGTACAAGTCCAAGAGGCGACCATCTCAGATGAGAATAACGAGAGATTGATATCTCCCCTTTGCCTCCCCCGTAAAGATGAAAATGGTACGGAAATTTTCCGGATTTCGGACTTGTTTTTGGAAACAGAACCCGTTGGTCGGAATTTTTTGGAAACGGAAACAAATTCGGAAATATTTCCTCGGAAATGGAATCGAATATGATAAGGGCAGTTTCCGTCGGAACTCGGAATCCTTCGGAATCTTTCTAGAAACGAATTCGGAAATTTTCCGGAAACAAATTCAGGTTTTTTTCTCGGAATCGGAAACAAAAAATTTCTCATATACAACTGATTAGCTTAAGCCTTTAATATTCTAAATGTTTAGATTTATCTATTGAGGTGTTTAATTAAATAAAGATATTTTTAGTCCAATACTTTAGATTTTATTTTCCTAATTACTTTTTTTTATTTATAGATGAATATAGCTCTTTTTCTCAAGAAAGTAAAGTGCACAACTAGTTATATTATTATTAATTGATAAAATATAGAAATATTGATTTATTGTTTTAGAAAAAATATTTAGCTGCATCTTTTCATTAAGGGCTTTTTATATTAGACAAATATCCGTTACCGTATTTGCTTCGATTCATATTCGTTTCGTTTTTGTATTCGATAATATTTGATTGTGTTTTCATATCTGAGGTTTTCAATTTTGATTCCTACTCCGATTCCGAAAAAGCAATATGAAAAAAAATAACAAATGTGGTTTCCGTACCATTTTCATCCTTACAAATCCACCGTTAATAAGTAGCTAGCGCAACAATTATTCTAGGAAAGTAGTAGTACGAAAATAAACTCGATCGATCGAGAGGTTTAATCTGTCCTTCCTCTCGCCGGCCCCGTCTCCTCTTCCCCCGCCGCCACCGCCGCCGCCGCCGCCTCTAGATTAAAGCAGAGCTACAGCCAGGAGGGGCGCGCGCCGCCATGGGGCTTGGCAACGTCGCCATCCTCGTCGGCTCCGGTGAGTCCCCCTCCCCCCCCCTTCCGCCGTCTGCTCCCTCCTCCTGAGGTCCACCCGCGCACGCGCAGCCCTAGCTTCTCGTCGCCCAGCCGGTTGACTTTCGAGTTCGAGATTGATACTAGATAGATAGATAGATGCTACTTGCAACCATGGCGCAGGCGCCAAACCAATCCCACTGCCAAATCCCATCTTCTTTTTTTTTTTTGAGAAATCCCATCTTCTTGTATTATTTGCTTTAGCAGATTCCAATACATAGATTGATTTAGCCTTTTAGGGCCGGGGTTTGTTTAGTTCAACTAAGCTTTCTCTTCAAACCAGGTGGTTTCATAGGAACTTATTAGGTATCCCACTGCTACATCTGTCAAATCCCCCCAACTTATTGCCCATCTAATATCATAGGGTGTATATACTTACCGGCTTCCCCAGTACATAGGCCCTTCCACTAAAGAACTAAGTACTAGTTTTACTCGGTACCAATGTTTATGCTGTTTGCTTGCCTGCAGGAATTCTTGGATCAGTTCTTGTAGGTGGTGATGCCAAACTCCCTAGTGCTGGCGAGGTACTTTCTGGTGCTGCCAAGGTATGGTACCTTATTGCCCCCATGCCCTAACTATCAACCCAAAATACTACTGCTATATATGTTATAACTCACCGTCACATGATTCTTTTCCCCCTCTTAGTTTGTCAAGAAGCATGGAAACGAAGGGAAAGATACATCGTCTAACACCGATGCACACACCGCTCAGCTATTATCTCAGGTCAACCATCTCAGACAGGAGATACAATCTCTAGGCTCAAGGCCTGTTACAGTTGTCACCAATGCTGCTAGATCAGGTAAGTTCCTGCTGACTAGTTACTATGTTTTAGTTATTGACTTATGCGTGAGACACAGATCATACAAACATAAATTTTCACATGACACTATACTTTGTATACGCCCCAATGTCGACATCTTTGCTAAGAATTAATGCGATTTTAGAGTGTTAGATATTTCTATTACCTTTTGATTTTTTTCAGACTTGGTCTGTTGTTTTTATATCTACATGTTCGACAGAGCTACAATTGCATTGTCTGTTCATATATAGAGTATACCATTTTGCGATTCAGATGTTCACATGTTCTTTTCTTTTTCTTTCCTTATTATTATTTGTCATGGTCTTGGCTGGGATACTATGCACTGCTGATTATCATTATGTTGTTCACTGCATTATAAAGGTTCTTGGACATGTGAAAGTTTTTATAGTTATTGCTAATAAACTTTCATCATGCTCTTTTGCCTTTAAACATACACAATTACATATGGTTACACACATTCTTTCTCAAATTTCCTTAAACGACATTCATGTAAATCCTTTTTCTGTAGGACCTGGTACATTTACTATAACAGTGGTGGCTGTTGCTGGGGCTGTTGGCTACGCCTACATTAAGTGGAAGGTAATGTTTGATTCTTTCACCTCAATGGGAGTACAGAATGAGGAGGACATAATCTTTGATTATTCTAGTTGCTATTTTGATGTTTATTGTTCTGTCATTCTAGATCATGGATGCAAGTGCATATTATTACAATCCTATCTGCTTGCCATTTCTTGTTTCGCCGTTCTAGCTAGTTTCTAAAGTTACATTGATTTGCAGGGCTGGAAACTTTCTGATTTGATGTTTGTCACGAAGCGTGGCTTATCCGATGCTTGCAATGTAGTTGGCAGCCAATTGGACAAGGTTTCAGATGATGTCACTGTAAGTTTTTAACTTCTTTCAGCAACGCTGCACTCAAACGTGTTACTTGTAATTCCATGTTTTCATTGTTCCAACCAAAACATCTTACTGGCCTTTGATTTTCACTATTCAGTCTGCAAGGAAACATCTCGCTGGAAGGATTGATCGTGTGGATATCAGTTTAGATGAAACACAAGAAATTATTGAAGGGACAAGGGATGAGGTTGGAACTGTTTTTCCTTTTATTTTTTGGGTTTACTTTTATAGTTTTTGATGCATTTTCAGCGACCTAATGGCATTTCATGACTGACTTGTAGGTCACAGTCATCCATGGGGATCTTAGTGCTTTCCAAGAGGATTTACAATCAGTTAACCTTGTAGTTCGGAGTCTGGTATGTACCTCATACTGGAACAGATTCTACCTTATTTACTGAATATCCAGATTTCTACCTTATTAACTGATGAATATTACTCATGTACTTTTATTGTATCTTGTATCATGCAGGAATCAAAGCTCGTGAGTCTGGAATACACCCAGGTGAGTAGAAAGCTCTTTTTTTAAAGGAAAAGTAGAAGCTCATATTACCACTACACCAACTAACTCGTCGACATGCTCCTAATGCTATCTTCTTGAAATCCTGTTAGGATCGTACGGCTAATGGAATATCTGACTTGGTTGAGTTCACCCAGAAAGCCACTATTCGTCAGGCAAGTTTGAATGATCTAGTGATTCATTAATGCCATGCTTCTTCAATACTTTATTTAACAAAACCAGTTGCACCTCAACTATTTGCATATTCTCTTCCTATATGCTTATTCTGAAGAGATGTTTTGATTTTCAGGTCCCAGCAGCATCCGTTCCTCCAGCTATTGGATCTTCAGAGCTAGTTGTTAGGAGGGTAAAGGCTTGCACCTTTCCCAGCTTTGTCATGGTCGGGACATGCCCCAGTTTGTTGACTTTGGTACCTGTGTTTCCGGTTGCAGGTTTCTTCGTTGCCTCAATCTACTGCTCTTCCAGTTCTGCCGACAACCACACCTGCAGCTGAACCATCACCTAGGGCAGAGGCACCACAGGTGTGGTTTCAGTTTGATGTTGCACTTTGTTGTTTGCAATTTCAGTTTCCTCTTGCGCTTTCCATGATTGAAACGAGCTGTTGCTGGACTTTTGCAGGAGGAACAGTGGGGTTTTGTGAGCAGAACATCATCTTGTAGGGAAGGATCAGGTCGTTTTCAGGAGCAGCGGAGTGTTGTGACCAGAACGTCGTCTATTAGGGAAGGATCTCCTGAATCTTCAAATGGAGCCTCATCCTCAACTGGAGCAAGCACAGGAACGAACACAAGCACGAGCAGATTTGGTGGGCTGAGGCTGCCTGGACTTGGGTTTCTTGCAAGTTCGACGAGATAGTTGATGAGGTGTTTTTATTTAAGTTAAAAGATGGTGCTGCCAGGAGCTCTCCATTGCTTTACTTGTAGTTTTAGGTTGTACTAGTAGGAGAGAAGAGATAACACTAGCAGTGATGTGATGGAACAACACATATGCGTGCGGGGCTGGGCTCCTTTGTTCTTGAGGAGGCCAAATTTTTGTAGAAAAAAAAGAGAGGAAAACATGTGCTCCTATCTATCTATCTATCTATCTATCTATAGCTATGAATGCATCATCCAGGGCAACACCTTGGTCTTTGATGTCGTGATTTTTAACTTGAAGTGCCAAGATTACTAGTACTTGGTTAATTAAATTTATGACGAGGAGTCAACTGGTTGGTTGCCTTTGTTACTAGTATCTTGTATGACATGTTGATATTTCATCCATCTTAGGACCATGATTTGTTTCGGATTTCTTGATTTTGTTTGGGATTTCTGTTAAGATCCCGCTACCGTATCTCGTATGATATATATGATTTGTTTGGGATTTCTGTTAAGACTAGCAAAAAAAATACCCGTGCGTTACAATGGACGAGAGAATTTTAATTTTACATGTGTGCATCCCTTGTAAAATGCTTTCTTTTTCTTCCAAAAGGCCATAAATAAATTTAGATGATTTATTCAGTCGAAGTTGTGAAGGAAGTGTTCTGCATATGGTTCATAGTTTGGTGGTCGGATTTAATTCTTTGGCGTTGTGATACTTTATGCTCTGGTAATTTGGTTTGTTTGAAGGAGCTCTCCGAAATGAGCTTAGTCAAGTCACATTATCTACTGGTCTCCATCTATTAGCTAATTGACCACCTTCTCACACATATCATCGTCAAACCATTATACTTGTTCAGAAATAATACTCGAGATGTACCCATCTCTATTAAAGAAAGCATTTCACATTGTAAGATGAAGAAGAACAATGATATTTCAAAGGAGAAGAAGGAACAAAAAAAAAAAGGATGTACAAGAGGGTAATAAGTGATTAGCTGCGCATTCCTATTAAGAGGTTTTTTACTGTCCTTCAGGTTATATAGTACCAAATCCTGACCGTTAATCTGACTTCATCGAACAGTGAGAAATCGTCGGTACCTCATGTACCGCACCTCCTCATCCTGTAATTTCGCGCGCGGCATCTCTTTCTTTCGCGTTTTCTCTTCCGCCAGATAGGCAATTCGTGGTGGTCAACGGCAGGAGACCGGCGATAGGTGGTGGTCATTAGTGGGATCGATGCGATGGCGGCCGCATTGCGGCGGGCTCGATGCGACGGCGGCCGCGGCGGGCTCGATGCGACGGTTCGAGGCGTATGACCAGCCAGCACAACGGTTCGATGACGGCCTCGATTCGATCTGCATCTCTGCCCCAGTTCGTGCGTAGTATGTCACGCTCACGCACACGTCCGCGCGACGCTTCGGTTTCCGCTTTCCATGCCGCGATCGCCATTTGTTTTTTTTTTCTGATATATGGTAGGGCCGGACCACTCGGATCCTGCTGCCGGCCTCCTCTCCACTCGTCGGCCGGCCTGCCGAAACAAGAAGAATGTGAGAGAGGAGAAAGAGAGATGAGGGGAAAGAAAGAGGAGACTGACGTTGACATGTCAGCTGACATGTAAGCCCGTGTGGGTCCAATGCTGACTCAGCCGTCACGTCGGATAAAACCCGAGTCAAAACCATCGAAGAACTGGTTTTGATTAGTTAAGAGATGCCGGATGTTTGGTTTTTCGGTCGGGGACAATTTTGTAACTCGATGACAAGCTGAGGGACCTTCGGTGTACTTTTCCCCAGAATTTACCATCCGCAATTAATACGGGCTTCGTATTGGCCCAATTGTTCGTCTCGGGCCAGTAAACACACTAAACGAACCGCGGCCCATGATATTTCAACGGTCCAGATTGATCGAACATACTAGTAGTAATAAGTCGATGCCATTTGAATAGTCATCTCCTCCAAAACCCTAACCCCTCCACTTTCTCTTCTCGCGCCGGCGCCATGACGCTCCTCGCCGCCATCACCAATCCCTCCGCCGCCGCCGCCGCCGCCGCCGTCGCGGCGAACCCCATCGTCCTCACTCCCGGCGCCGCTCCGCCACCGCCGACCTCCTCCGCGCTCCCCACCCAGATCCCGCCCTCCGACTGGTCCCTCTCCCCCGCCGACCCCGCCCTCGCCACCGCCGCCTCCTTCCTCTCCACCTCCCTCTCCTCCACCTCCGTCTCCCTCCCGCGCTTCCGCTCCCTCCTCGCCTCCTTCCTCACCACCCTCTCCAACTCCCTCTCCCTCCCCGCCCCCTCCCCCAACCTCCCACAAGCCATCCGCTCCGTCTCCCCCTACTTCCCCGCCGCCCTCGCCTCCCCCGTCGCCTCCCGAGCGGCGAGCCTCGCTGAGTACGACGTCCTCCTCGCCCTCGCCGAGTGCGGCCTCCTCCGCCACCCCCCGCCGAGCCTCCTTTCCTCGCTCTCCGAGGCCGACCGCCCCGAGCTCGTCTGCGCCGTGGTCCGACAGGCCGCCGACCTCCGCTCCTCCGAGCTGCTCGCGACGCTCCGCTGCTTCCTCTCGCCGGCCTCCGATGCCGCCTACGACGCCATGATGAGTGTCAAGAACCGGTGGAAGGAAGCCGCGGTGCTAGCGGTCAACAGGTGCAAGGAGAAGGGCGCGGGGAAGAAGGTCGATGCCATGGCGAGGCAGGCGGCGCTGCTGCTCATGATGGGATACGATGGGTTCACCTCACCGGAGGTGTGCCTGCATTACCTGTTTGCGTCTGAGAATGTGGACTCTGTGGTCTTCGGCGCAGCCGTATCGGAGCTGGATGGTGGGGAGGTGGTCAGGCTGATGAAGTACCTCACCAAGTGGATAGGGAAATACCAGAGGTTCCCAGAGGCGCAGGCATGCCCAGAGGCTGTGGGAATGCCAGGGCTGGAGCTGTGTGACATTGTGCCCTCATTTCGGGTGGTGGCTGGGGCGCTAGGATTGGTGTTTGACCAGCACTTCTCGCACCTAGCGCTGAATGCAGAGTTGAAGGAGGATTTGAAGGCCGCGGAGATGATGGTGAAACAGCTGGCCACAGAAGCTGAATCTGCAGGGCCTATCCTGGACTTGCTTCGACGTATGCAGCAAGATGTGTGAGACACTAAAATGTGCCCCTCAATTTTTTTTACTGATCTTAGCTGTTATGCTCATGTCCGAGAATTTTGATTGTTTTACTGCATTGCAGTGATGAGTTATGTGCTCTATTATCTAATATCATAGTATGATAATGGTACATGTTCTGTTTGGAACCCGACATGTCTTTGAGTGGTATTACTACACTGCTAGCTAGATTGTCACTCCCTTAGTTGGTATGCCCTGCGATGTGCTAATGCCCGCTGGCCACTGCTAGTTAAATTGATGTGTAAAAGCACCATTTACAAATGCAAATTCAAATGTGTCGTGGTAGTTAACTTTCTGATATTATGTGGGAAGAGAAGCTTCAAAATGCTGCCATTTCTCATATGAGTAACTAAATTCGTCATTCATAACCCAAGCCAATTGAAATACAAAATTGTTCAAATAGTTTAGAACTTCCGACAACAAACATTTTCATACATAACTACTTTAACATTACTGAAAACTCATATATTTGCTTCTTTCGTTTAATTCATTTCCATTGTTGGGTCTGACTGAGGTGATAAAGCTTAATTCGTTGACAAATTTACTTCTTGTACATAAAACTGAATAGTCCTTAGAACCAATTGTATCTGTGACTTCAATGGTTGAAGGAGAGAGAAATTGATTGGCTGTTCTGCATATTCTTTGTGAAAATCAAATAAGGCTGAACTTGTTGACAATCTTTCTTCTTGTGTGTAAAGCTGAACAATCCTCACAATCAATTGTTTCTGGGACTTCAAAGGGTTGAATGAGGGTGAAATTAATTGGCTCTTCTGCATATGTTTTGTGAAAATGACTCTGTTTATCAGTACTCAGTAGTCAGTACAAATAGTTCAGTTGAAAACGTAAAGATGACAGCCTAAATATATAAAGTTTTTCCTAGTCTATGCTGTTTCTGGGAATTCAGAACATAATCAATTCTACATGACTTTATGCAATAATTGGTCTTGATGCTTTCCAATATGCTTCTTTTTTCTGTAAGAGGGATCTACTTGTAGTCTTAATAGTGTCCAAGGAAATCGATTCTCACTGATCTGATCTTATAATCTGAATTCTTGTTTCTTAGATCAGTGTTCAAATAAGGAAGCCCTTGATGTGCTTCACCTTACTGCTTGAAGGAACTAAATATTTTTTCCTAAATATATTTGAGAATGCTGATCATACCTCATCATTTCAAATGCTGACCAAGTATTCCATCAGACAAAATGATAGAGCTACCTACCAGGTAGTTACTTGTATGATCCTCACTAAGTCACTAATTTGTTTCCAAATTGCTGAATTTTAGATTCTGGTATCCTGTGTTCGATCCAGTTTTGTGATTTAAGATTATTCATTACTACTTGATCTTTTGACAGGTTTAAGCTTGACAGTATTACCTCTGGTATCTTTTTAGTGTAAAATGGTGCCCATTTTTAATTATGAGGTTACATGTCTTAAGTAATGCTCAAATATTCTGACCTTCTTGTAAATTTACTTTGAATTGGACACACCCATGTGTAAGATGTGAAATGCTGGATTCACATTTTTTGAAGTACAAAAGAAAAAGGTGCATGCACTGGGAGCCTGCCTCATGCCTATTGACCAATTTAAACGACAGTGAAGACGAGAGTGCAACAGATGACTGGTGCCATAGGCAGTAGAAAAAGGAAGAGAAATGGAGCATACCAGCCAAAGTTGAAGACGTTCTCAACCAAGCGGGCTATCTTGGGATAGCAGAATAGCTGCCAAAGTTGAAGACGTTGTCAAAACAAGCGGCTATCTTTGTGTTTTCTGGTCCCAAGGTATGATACTCCAGCTCTCCTGTTTACCCCATCTTAGAAAAAGGAAAAATGTCATCTTTTGCATATTGAAAGTGGTAGGTAAGGCAGTTCAATCTTCAATCTTCCCAAAACGAGCTCAAGCTTCCTAAAAGTTTCTTTTTATTAAAGAAGTAAACTTTCCATTTATGTTCATCTGAGAAAATTCTATACAATTAGTTAGTGCCTCGAGTACATTTTAGTTTGATGCGTCACTTCTTTTGCTTCAGTTAGCAACTAAGCTCGCTGATATTATCTAGGTCTCATGGATTATTAAATTGTTTTTGGTTGTTGGCTAGCTGGGTTTGCAATCGTCCCCTTCCCCAGTTTAGATATATGGGGTATACTTTGTGAGATTTTCTCTCATCCTTTGAGATGTATGTACCTCATCCTTGAGATATACCTCTCCATAAAAAGAGGTACCAAAATTAATCTAACAGGTTGGAAAAGGATTGAAAACTTATCTTTATAAATATTTCAGACTTTTTTTTTTTACATTTTCTAGCGGTATAGATATTTGATTAAGAGGTATATACCTCAGGACTAACACTATAACACTATGAGGTATATGTACCTCTCTATACCTCAGAACGACTAGAAAAGTCTTGCCAGTGCTAATCATAAACTTGTTTTCTAATCAGTTAAACCGGTATAATTTTTTACCTCTCAAATTGTGAGGTATATACCTCTCCCAGAATGAAAGAAAACCTCATATTTTGTTGGATGATGTGCTCTGAATCCTGAAGATCTCCTCGTTGACGAATTTTGAAGTGATGCTTGCATCTTAGGCAAAGTAATGTTTGACAACATGAGTCGTGCCCAAGCCACTATAGTCTAATGCACTGTCCTGCGTCCACACTTATGCCATGACTGACATACTGAATGCTAGTATTGCACATTCTAGTATTGTTATTGTGTCATAGTAGTGCTATGGTGCTGAAATTTAAAGCCACTTATCTTAGCAAGAACTCAGTGTATCAACATTAACAAAAAAAGAGAGCTATATTCCATCCTCTAAAAAAAAAAAATGCCTGATGGAATACTTGGTAGGTAGCTCTGCCGTGTGCCAACTCTTGTGTGTGGAGTAGTTTTGACCATTTCTTGCATTCTTGGATGGCAAGTTTGTCGCATCATCCAAGGGTATCTTGAAGTGCGCAAAGTGAAGCTGTGATTCAAGTATGCCTTGGATCTGATGAGAATGCATCGACACGTGTGCCTGGTGCTTCCATTATTCTCTGTGCAGCTTCATTCGCTGAATGTGGCTGACTAGTTGCTCATGAGTACTCATGACATGGTCTCATAGTATGAGATAAAAGCCTCTTCAAAGTCACTAATGGCCCATTAATCATGCTGTTTGCAAGAGGTTGCGGCAGATAAGTACATTGTAGAAATGTTTTTGTAGTGGCATGGAAAAGGCATTGCATTCTTTTCTTCCCCTTTTGATTAAAAGAATATTTGAAAGCAATTGGAGTATTGGACATTGCTGGTGAGCCAGAAGGACACCTTTACCAATTACCACCACCCAAAATGAGCTTCTTTTTTTTGTAAGTAGCCTTTATTCCTTCTTCCCCTCTTGATGAATGCTTCCCTTCTGTTCTTTTAGACCTCCTCCTGCTGCTGCAGCAGCAGCAATGGCGTGAAACTTCGCGGCAACGGCACTGCACGGCCACCGAATCTGATCACTGAACAGTGCCAGTGAGCTGCATAGTAGCTTGGTGATCTTGCTTGTTCACCTTTTATCATCTCAACGAATCTGAGCAGAAGTGCTTTCTGAGTTACTGTCATGCATCCTATCCTCAGGTTAAATAAAAGGGAGATCGCATGATGATTCTTGTTTGTGCCGGTAGAAAGTTGTTCGTTTAATTTCCAAGATTTGTAGGTGGTGAAGTGTGAACCAAGGCCACCGCAATTTCGGTCCTAGCCGTTGGCATGCATGTAACTATATGTAACAAACTATCAATGTGCTTTTGCTCATATTTCCTACTCAATTGGCTTCTAGCCTATCTAGCTGCCTGGCTGCCAACGTAACCTTGTCCTGACTCCTGAACATAGAACACCATTTTTTTTCTCTGATTTTGGATTTTCGCTTGCATGCTTCCTAGGCTCGTAAACGGTTTGTTTTATATGAAAAATTTCTATATAAATTTTTTAATAGTTTTCAAAAGTAACTTTTCAACTTTTAGTTGTCAATTCATTCGTTTATACACTTAAATAGCTTAAAATATCAGATAATTTATCAATTTCAGCTATCTTAGATGGGCCAAAGAATAATGTGTAATTTTTTTTGCGTGCTCGTGAAAAAATAGATGGGCCGAAGAAGGCTAAATGAGTGAGCTAGCTGATTTTCATAGAGGAGAAATCAAGTGTACTCCCAACCTCCTGGACCCATTATTGAACTCCAACCTTTTCCCCTCCACCTCCCATCCATCCTTTATATTTTCGTCAATCATTCATACTTACCTTTTCGCCAACAATTTAATTATAGACAATACTCTAAGCAAACCTTTTGGGGGGTAGTTAATTAAGATCGCGAGAATTTTGTACATATATTCCCCTTCCACGTGTAGTTGATTTGTGGCTGAACTAGCTCCACTAGACACTAGACACATGCATAAAGGATATACATACTTTAAAAAAAAAAACTCGAGGGGAAATAATGAGCACATGAATTAAATTCTTATATACAATGGACACGGAGGATCTATCTTTGAAGCTTGAAAGACTATTCCAAGGATGTATATATGCTTGGAGTAGTCTTGTAGTTGTAGGGACTGGTTATTCGTACTAGCCGCGAATTAATCAAAATTGCATTCAAGTTGATGCAACTAAATGCGGATTATGAATGTACGTCTGGTGTATGCGTCCATCTAATCAATTTACTGCTGAATTTAATAAGCTTAAATTAAATATGAATGCCAATTTTAAAACTATGACACGATTTTTTTTTACCGGAAATGACACGATTCTTTTAATTAGTCCAAGGTGTTAATCTGTTCACTCCAGGTTTATCAATACTTGTTCTCGTATATAACACTATAGTGTAGAGAATATATATACTCACAAAAGCTGGGAATTCAGTGCAAAATAAAATGGAGTAAAAGGAGAGAGGCACCGGGAAAAGGCCAGATTCTTGTGATCAGTAGCATTACGATTTGAAGAACTTGCAATAGTTGCTCCACTACACATCAAACTAAATTATTTAAGTCAAAAATTTAGAGGAGAAACTAGAGCAATATAATAGATCATATTTGTATATAGTATAGAATAACAATGCTGCCTCATCATATATTTCTCCAAAATAAAGAAATTAAAACTAGAGAAAAGAAGAAAAAGAGAGCTACATTAAAACACGGTAATTAAAGCAGCAGCAGCAGCTGTTACCACGGCCACCGAGGCAAGCAGCGAACGCCCCCGCGCCGTCACCGCCGTCGCCGGCGACGACGGCGGCGACCTGTAGTACCAAGGGTACCACGGCACGATGGGGTTGGGCGGAGGCGGCGCCGGGTAGTTGAAACCGCCGCCGCCGCCGCCACCGCCGGCGGGAGGCTGGTAGTAGGGAATGTAGCCGCCTCCTCCGCCCTGCGGCGGTGGGTAGTTCCAGTACGACGACGACGACGGCGGCGTGTTGGAAGACGAGGACGACGGCGGCGGGTACGAGTAGCCGGAAGACGGCGTGGAGGGCGGTGGCGGACAGTCGGTGGTGACCGGCGTGGGCGGCGGCAGCAGGCATGGGTAGGGGCAGTCCGCCGGGTAGGTGTCGCCGGCGGCCAAGGCGACGAGCGCGGAGAAGACGAGGATGACGAGCAACCTGTACGACGCCATGGCCGCGAGAGAGAGCGAGAGAGAGGTGGTAGTGTAGTCCAGTGAAGTGGTCGCGAGGTAGAAGAAGAGGAGAGGGGACGAAGGGGTTATAGCTGGCGCGCCTTTTGTCAGCTCAGCTGTCGACATGGCCGGGAGCGTCTCGTTAACTACACTTTTTTTACTTTACTGAATAAACAAGTTTATCATCGATCATTTGACCAAGGTTTATTCGAATATCATAAATCTTATGCAAATCTTACTAAACAAAAGAGAATTATAGAATTTGAAGGGTGGAAATTGATCAAACTGGGAGAAAAGAAAAGTAAGCCGTGATCTACTTTGGTTTTCTGAATCATTGATATGATTCATTCATGCAAAATCTAATCGATTTAGTGAAACACCGGAGAAGAAACCGCCTTGAGCTTTCGTTGATTGACATGATTAGCAGAAATGGCGTGTTGCATGGATGGATGCCCTGTTCCAGATTGTTTCTTTTGTTGGTATGCAATGCATGCATCATAGGGTCCAGCTGTAAGTGCGAAACAATTTATGCGGTTGCATATATGATCCGTCGTATCACTCGCGCGTTCATCGGATCTATGTCACCATGCATATGCCCTCTGCTGTCACATTCTCTCTCTCTCTCTCTCTTTTCTCTTAATTCTTGAGTCGTAAAAAGGAGAAAGAATTTCAGACTTGATGGATGTACAGAAATGTGTTTTGGAGGCAAACAATAATGGGTTCATTGCCTGATCGATCGTCAACACAATTGATAAATTCCTTTAATTACCTTCACAACATCCAGACTTAATTCTGACGAACTATATATACAGGGTACAGCTGTAGTAGCATTAGTATGCAGCTTGATGATCTCATACGTACTCTACATGGGTCTCTTTCAGTTCCATCGGCATCAGAGATTTCAGTAGATCCAATCGGTTTCGAACTGCACGTCCTACACCACCACATGACATGCCGTGCTTTCAGGCACCAAACAATTGCCTTTCATTCCCGATATCTCCCTGTATATATATGTTTATTCGGATGTGATTCAGCACTCAGCATATGTACTGAAACTGATTAAGCATTTCAGCTGAGCTTCCCTTCACATCACATCGAACCAGATCAGGGGATTGGTTAACGCAAATTAACTAAATCTGCCCCCTTTTTATTTCCTGCTTCATCTCAGTTTGGATGCTTAGGACATCCGCAATAGTTATTTATAGGCTCTCTACAAGAGATCTATATCAGCATATTTTTCTACTTGGAAGAGATTAAATGAAGAGAGAGAGCAAAGCTATCTACTAACCTGGAGATAGTCTATAGAGAAAAACGAGGCAATGGATTAGACAGCTATAGATACCCATGTAGACATACCATTGAAGTGGTTTACTATTAATCTAGTCTATTGCTGAGATGTACATGTTTTATAGATAGCACCTTACTTTAACATTGCGGGTGCTCTTAGTTTAACTTGTTGAAGGCAAAGGCTCAAACTGATGGGGCACCGCCCTCAATGGTTGATTCTTTTTTATCTTTTTGGACAAGAAAATGTGCTTTCTTTCTGATAGACTTTTCTAGCTAGCTACTAAGAGAAAAGGGAATTGAGCTGTGCCCTACAGCTCTATACTCGCTGGCCGGCCGCATGGATCATCAGAAGATGGATGCATGCAGTATCTGTTCTTCTAACGTGTATAACTTCCCCTTTTCTTCTCTCTCACATGCATACAAGTGATTAAAATTAGTAGTTCATGAAAGTACACTGACTTGGCTACTCAAATGCACGGGCTAAAATCATCTAATTAGATGCAAAGGACAACGAGTAAGAGTATAATAATGTTCATTATCATTCTGGGTTGTACTAATATTCTCCTGTTGTCTGAAAAAATGTGGGTGCATTTTTTGCGTGTGATCACAAGCAGAGTCATGAGCAAAACAGGATCAAGATTCCCCACGCCGTTCATGTCTGCTATCTGAATGCACCACCTCTTGAGTATTGGCATGCTAGCTTGTTGATGATTGATTGACTCATCTGATCACAAGAGTGGCAAAGGAAACTGACAATAAATCAATAATCAATGGAAGGAAGGAACTAATCTGATTTGAGTATGTGGATGGATCTTGCCTGTCAGAAAATCTGCAGGATGAGAAGCTTCTCTGAACCACTCCAGTTCCAGCCCAATATTCCAAACTGATCAGTGGCTGCTACTGTTAAGGATTTTGACAATTTGACCACATACTTCGCTGCCCAATAAAGTACTAACACCGATTGTTCCATTTCTACTGTAGCCACTATCATTCATTTGCATACCAGACCCTGCATCAGTTGATTATCATTACAATGGAACTAGTTTATCTCTTCACTGTAAACGCCACTATGGTAATTGGTGGCATTATTCAAGCAATATACTAGTATCCAACAAATCTAGCATTGATAGCTGTTCATCTGAATGGGCAGAAAGAACGGGCATCAAAGAGAGGATATATACAAGGATCTTTCATTTCATCACGTCATTTGTCTCTACCCATTTGTCCATAGCGACTGCAGATGCTTATCTTCGGACTTCAGACTTCTCTGAGAGATTGCGTATCCTCAGATCTGTAGTGTGGCCTAGAATGTTAGGTTGGGCCAAGCCAACCTAATTGAGAAAGGCCTAGAAATAAAGCTAGGAAGGCTTTGCAGTTAGATTGGCCCATTCACATCATATAGTAGCTCTTGGTTTCTTGACAAACGAACGATCGAATTCGAATGGGTTGTTTTTGTTTGCTTCTGTTCAGCATCTGCACTTGCAACTGACCAATACTCCCTCCGTTTTTTAATAGATGACGCCATTGACTTTTTCTCACATATTTGACCATTCGTCTTATTCAAAAATTTTATGCAAATATATAAGATATAAATCACACTTAAAGTACTATGAGTGATAAAACAATTCATAACAAAATAAATTATAATTCCGTAAATATTTTGAATAAGACGAATGGTCAAACATGTGAGAAAAAGTCAACGGTGTCATCTATTAAAAAACGGAGGTAGTACTTTTTTTAGGAAGGGGTGAATGTGTTAAAATGTGTGTGTTTTTCGAGCTTCTAAATGGTACTCCATAATTTATTAGAATATTGTTTTAATTCTATTTTCAACATTGTAATAGTTACTTTATTCTTTTGTGCACTGGAATAATAATCATCAAAAATCAATCACCCGTTCAACCATTCAACAGAATAGAACAGGATGGCATGTTGAAACTCTCACTGTAAGTACACTAGCTAGCTCTTCTGATAATGCAACTCTTAATTACATATTTACATATCTGGCTTAGCTTAATTACCAGTACTGCCATCTAAAGGAGAAGAGCAAATAAATTGTCAATTCCCTTGAGCGTGCCAACTGCCAAGCAACTATTCAGCACGTACTGCAATGATGACAGAACAGATATGTGTAACCAGGCCAATTCAACCTAATCATCTTGCCAAACCACCTAACATTCTTCTCTCCTCTCTCACTCGTTTGGTGGCACAAAGAATGGCATACATGTGTGCCTTTGCTTTCTGTTACGAAGGCAGCAAATTAAGGGCACCAGTGCTACTGCTACACATCAAAATTAAATGTGTGCAAAAAGTGAACATAGTGTAGTCCAAGATTTGCAAGTGATTCCATCTATGCTACTGTTAAAGAGAGGGAAGAGCATTCATTATTCAACAGGGATCATGAAATCTTGACTTGCTCTGCTCTGAGTTTATCAGGTCGAAATCTAATCCAGCTTGTTAACCATATCTCTGGATTGCCATGTGTAAGTAGGCTGAGTTTTCTATTTGCTTTGTGATTTTTGACAGATTTTTGTAATAATTTGGTTCTAGCTTCAGTGAAAGCAAAGGCGCCGGGATTTTCTCATTATGTTAAAAAATGTTGTAAGTACGTGCATACCTGCGTATCTGGATGTCCTAGCACTGTGAGTAAACACTACTAGTAGATTATTTGGACTTTGTGAGCAAATTGGATGCAGTTCAGTAGGATGTCTCTTCCAAGTCCAAAGGAGCAGTAGTACTAGTACAAGAACAAGTCAAATTGGTACTAGCTGCCAGTAAAGTAGAACGACTAGACTGGACTGGTTTAGGTATCATGGAAGCATCAGCAACTGTTCTTTCTGAACTCTACCCATCTTAGCAGCTCTCCTGATAATTTTCTTTAAAAGCTAATAAAATAAATTAATAATACAAGCAGGCATGGAATTAAAACACGGTTCAATCGTTGACAGCAACGCGGCAACCACCGACCGGTCGATCGAGTGCGACTCCATCGTCATTTTGGATGTCCTCTTGGACATGGACGCATATGTGTTCATGGCTATGCTAATTGATGATATCTTCAATACACTACTTCACTCCAGCTAACACTGGAACTGTGTAGTACACACTGAATTTATGTTTATATACCATGCCAGTGCAGTGCACCGATATAAAAACTCAAGTTTTTGGAACAGAGAATAAAATAAGATAAAATTCTTCCGACAAATATTCGCATAAATGACCATTTTTGAACTTTGAATGGAAGATTATGGTTCCTCTCTTCTTTTTAGTTTATAGCTCCACAAATGGATGTGCATTCATTTATTTCTAGTTAAGGGTTATCTGATTATAGGTGTGGCAATAAGCTTTGCTTTGTAGACTGGTTTTGCAGCCATGTTAACCGTGGACCCCTAATTATGCCGGTCAAATTGGTTCGATCTGTCACAAACTCACAAATCACAATGACATTGTTCTTTTTAAGATTAAAAGAATATTAATTCTATATAGGTTATATTTACGTGTATTAGCCGGTTGTATTTGTACTAATGTAATATAATAGCGATGGAAGAATCAGAATGGTATAGTCATTGGACCTATCTGCTTGGAGTTGATTGTTGATGGTTTATGGAAACATAATTTTTTGATGAGTTGTTTGGTCTCTATTAGTGTTGTTGCTTTGAAGTGGGACTGGGTCCCACATTTATTTTTTTCCCATCTTGTAATAAAAACCTAAGGCTGTGTTAAGATGCAGAGGAGGTGTAATATTCCCACTTCTTAAAAAACACAGAGATTTTTGCATTTTCTCTCTTATATAAGAGAAATCTTTCATAATTTTCTCTAAGTTTAAGTACCTCACTTATCCATGTAGGGGTAAAAACAACACGAGCATTGTACCATTCTGAGAGTTGATCAAGATATATGAGCTAATTGCCACATGTAATTGAAATTTGATTAGACATATATATGGATTATTACAGAGTCTGATGTACATCTTTCCTATCACCAAAAGGGATCGATCAACAAACATTACATGACAAGAACAATTAATTTGCCGACGACGATGACGACAACAACAACAACGTGAACATGAACCGTAAAAACGAAAAAAAAAAGAGATTATCTTACCGGAATATATCTCCTCTAATCTTATTATGAACACATAATAAAGGGAATTAAAAACGCCGTGTAATTAATTACCATACGTCGCCGATCACAAGGCCAAGGCTCCGGCCACCGCCGCCGCCGCGAGCACCACCGCGCGCCACGACGCGGCGCCGCCCGCCGCCGCGTTGGGCCGGAAGCCGGGGTCCTGCGGGTAGAGCGTCCCCGGCGGCGTGAGGTAGGACGGCATGTTCGGCGGCGTGAACCACCCCGACGGCGTCGGGTTGTAGCCGGGCGTCGGGTTGTAGCTCGGCGTCGGGTTGTAGCCTCCGCCTCCGTACGGCGGCGGCGGGCAGTTGGTCGACGGCGTGGTCGGCGGAGGGTAGGCCACCGGCGGCGGGGACGGCGGGGGGTAGTAGACGGGCGGCGGCGGCGGGTAGTAGACCGGAGTCGGCAGCACGTCGGGCGGCGGCGGGCTGGCGTACGTGCACGTCGTGCCGCAGGGGCTGGGCAGGCCGCACGCGGCGCACTTCTCGTCGTCGCGGACGACGACGTCGGCGGCGGCGGCCGTGGCGGCGACGAGCATGATGACGAGCAGGAGGCTGCACGGCAGCTGTAGCCACCGTGCCATGGCCGAGAGATCGATGGAAGAAGCTCAGAGCTTTTCTTGGAACTGTGTGCTCTCTCCTAAAGAAGAAGAGAGTAGTGCTATGCTATAGTGTGTGTGCACTCTCACTTTCTCCTCTCTTCTTCTTCTTGTTGCTTCTTTTTTGGTTGGGGGATTCGATTTTGGGTGGTTATAATGGTTGGCTTCTGCTTTCGCTTTTGGAATTGGCCAATGCCAGTGGAGGTCTTCTTCTCTGCTCCTTTTTATCTCTCCGTTTATGTCTCTCTTTTTTGGTAGTGCCTACTAATCAGATAAACATTTAATGGTTGGTCTTCTCAAACAGCTGTATCGGCTAAATTGTACTATATAAGAGCAAATAGCTAGACCCTTTTTCAAATAGCTATAACCGAGATTTAAAACCTCACTTTTAATTTTATTCTTAAAAAATAAACCTGAATTTTAATTTGATCCTGTGGCTAAGTGTACTATATACTGTGGCAGCCTGACGTAATTTAAACGTCTCCATTATTATGGCTGTGTTATTTCCTCACTCTGTTGTCCATTTTTGTGAGAGTGATTGGAATATTTTTCTTCTTTCTTTCTGTATCTATTCTCAATATCATGATATGGGTCCCCACAGATCAAGGGGTTGTCACAAATTTGCAAGTAGTGGCATTTTAACTTTTGTTTTGTTTTTAGGAATCAGGGTTAAGAAATGGGGAGATGCTACTAACCATGTTGTGTAGAATAAGTTACAGATATGCTAATAATTTGTTTTTCATCAGAACGTTGGGGCCTAACCTTTTGATCATCTTTTTCCTTGGTGACAGTGATGGAATTGGATTAGACCTTGGCGCTCCAGTGATGTCATTTGTGAAATGCACATACTACTAACTCGTGGACTCTCTGTAGATTGACAAGTGGCAGATTACCTCTAGTACCTTTTCACCATCAACAAATGCACTTTCAAAGACCAGGCCTTTGCAAATAAACCAACTTATTGTGTCAAGTTTAGTGGTAATTGCTACTGTACTAGCAGATCAGATCAGAAATGTATGCAGATGTGCACATCACACCAGTCTTGTTATAGCACTCAACTAAAACATGCTAATAGGCATGACTCATGAGGCACCCTATCTTGCTCACGAAAATTTTAGTGCTTTAATCCCATATTATACAAGGGTGCAGACAACTGAAATATGATGAGAATTTTGTTATAAAAGATAAACACAAACAAGTCAGTAATATTGACATCAGAAAATAATGAGTATGTAAGGACATGCAATTCTGTTAGGCAACATTAAACTACTGAATGATTGGCTTATTGCCTCCTGAACTTATCTTCCTCATGATTTCAGGCTTCTAGTTAATGCCGCTTGAAACATTAAGCCATGAAGCTACTGCTTACCATACACACAAAAATCAAATTTGAGTAACAATTTCATGTACAAAGAATTTTTCTACACTTTGAAACTAAGTTCCTGGTTGGATTTAAGCTGAAATAGTGCAAATATCAAGTACATATGTATCTTTCCTTTCCTTTCCTCATGAACAAGAAACAGAGTGACTAGCACAGCGAGAGAGAAAAAGAGGAACTCCTTTTGACATAGTGTTTGCAACTATATATCTGATACAATACAAAGGCTATCAAATTACCATGTTACATGGCATCACACCAGCTGCAATATTCAGAAACATCATGGAATCTGAATTCAACTCATACATACAACATCAATGGCAGTGAGTACGATTCACTGCAAAAACACCAAGAAAGCAGAAAACACAAACACCACCGGAATCCATGCCAGCGCCGCCGTCCTCGCATGGCATGCCGCCGATGCAAGAAACCCTGGATCCTGCGGGAACATGGTGGTCGTCGTCGTCGGAGACGGCTCCGCCCAGGGAAACGGCTGCGTGGAGATCCCCGCCGGCGTCGTCGGGCAGAACGGGAACGGCGAGGTGGTCGCAGGTGGCGACGGCATCCCAGACGACGGATCGATGTCGGCCACCACGCGGGCAGCCGGCCACAGAGACACGACGGCGACGGCGGCGGCGGCGGCGAGCAAGATCGGCCGCAGAGACGGCATATTCGCTCTCCTTCTCGAGAGAATTTGTGCCAAAAGGAGGAGCGAGCTCACTAATCCACCAAGCTAATGGCTAAAAGTAGTAAGAAAGATGGAGATGTTCGCCGCCTTGAGAGACGTCGGTGACCGTCCGATGCCGATCGGACGGCTGCCCGTTCTTGCAGTTGAGCGGCGGCAGAATGATAGGCTTCATTTCGTCTTCTTCCTTCTCTTCTGAACATGATCCACTATGTTCTTATTGCAATCTTATTACTGCGTAAGTGTGAGGTTTGTGATAAGTTTCTAAATTAAGCTCTTGATTAGGTTGTGATCAAACTGGGTGTCGGTGGAGCGTCTCACTGCATGCAGCAGGTGAAAAGAATGGACATTTTGCCAATGTTACGCGACAACGACAATGTCATTCATAATGGAGAGTTTTTTCAGGTCAATCTGCAAGTCAATGGATCAAGTGTTAAAACAAGCTCAGAGACGTTGATTGCAGGTACGGTCTACCAAACATCAGTTTAGCTTTAGTTATGATCTGCTAACAAAAGCAGCTATCTTACCTAGTCTTCATTTATTAGTGAGTTAAATGTTTACATGAGCATGTTACATGTACATCTGTGTAGAACCCACATTGCGTAGCTCGCTTGAAAACCAAGTAACTGACAACTGAATATTGTTCAGAAAACTCTCAATCATGTGTAGTGGAGTACTAGTGTGTATGGTCACTGAAATGGCACTTTTAAGAAGATGTTGCTATTGCCTTTTGCTTCACTACTCGGCTCCATTTATCTGAAAAGATTAACTAAAGTCCCTTTTCTAATCATGGCTTTCATGAGCCTTAAACCCAAGTTTTTACAGACAAGTGACAGGTCGATGAATCAGGTCACTGTAAGAGCCCGTCAATGCATTGTGCAGAGCGTGCAGCATCAGTGCACCTTCAGCTGAGGACATTGTGTTGGTTGTGATGTCAAGCATGCTGATTTGAACCTAATACACAAAAAAGAAGAATTGTTAGAAAGTTTGGAGCATTTGCAAGAGATGGTACAAAGGAGGGCAGGCCTAGGATGGTGACCGGCCACCAGCAACGATGATCTGTTTGGGAGCACACACACACACATTGAGACATATGGCTGAGAAAGAGAGGTCTGGAAGGGGAGGACTCCAAGAGTCCAAGTAACAGGAGGGCACTGATGATAATGCAGGCTTGGAAAATGGAAAGCCATAGCCAAGTGGGTAGCAAACAACCACCTCTTGTTCCACTGGAAAGGCAAGGCCTGCAGTGCAGCAGCAGCATATCTTTGCTACTGAATACTCATCCTCTCCTACCCTATCCTTCCTAGTGTCCATTATCTTCACTCACAGAAATGCATATTCTTTCTACTTCTTTTTGGCCATGTATCCCAACTACTTTTCAATCATACATGGAATCAGAAATGTATGGTAAATACTAATATAGACTCATGAAATTTGTGATGAGTGAAATGGTAGAACTGCAGAAATGAGGAGAGGCAGGTCTTGTTGACTGTGACAAGAGCGATTGATATATAAACCATGAAAGATAAGCTATATCTGCCAATTTTGTTGTATCCCTGTGTTTTTTTTAACTGACTGACTGACATATGAAAGAAACAGTTAAACTTCCAGCTCCAGGCGATGCCCATAGCTTTGTTCTTGTCATGATCAGTTGAAAAGATCGGAGCATCTGGTATCTATCACTCTCTCTTTCTGTGAAACAGTTCCTAATTTTGCACTGAATCAGCGCCACTGATGCATCTTAGTGAAGATACTTCTGTCTGCAAATCAACTTCACAGCACATTCCCCATCCACCAACTCTGCCATTAGTATCCCGTCTCTAGTTTCAGAAGAGTAGTATCTTTCTTTCCACAGAATGGAAAAGATTACAAGTGGTTGCTGTTCGGACGGTGGTTGATGACTTGTCGGTCGTGACATCATACACGAGCGAAAAGGAGGATCCAATACTCTGGATTCTGAAATTCCAACGATAAAAGATGAGGAAAAGATAATAGTAGGGCTCTTTTTTACAGAAGTTCAGACTTCAGAGTGTTTCATGCATGGGGATGTTCAGAGAAATGACATGGATTAACCCATAAATAACTTTGACGATCCAAAAAGGTCTCAAAGAATCGCTATCCGCTGGTTACGGATGTTGATAGTCGTCTTTAACTCATTATTAGGTAAAATACAAGTCTACTTTTGGTGCATGCATGGGCATGGCGATGGAGACTTGCTGTTCTTCGTTTTCTTCAGAAGTTGCAGTGTAATAAAACCGACAAATGACAAGCAAAATACCCAGCTAGTCAACCTGATCCAGCCCAGTATATTTAGCCCACGCATGTTGTTTACAGGCCCAAAATTTTTCAGCCCAAGATGAATTTGAAGAGAGCCCAGCCCAGCCTAATCTCCTCTGTTCGAACAGAACAGAGTATATAGCCATCCATCCGGTCAAAGCAGCCGGCCACGTGGCGTGTCCCCGTTGGCTGTACTGGACGCGCGCGTGCAGCCTGCAGCGGAGACCGACTTGACCGCTGGTCTCCGGCGACGACTTGTCAGCCGGTCAACATGAAGTGTGTAGCACGGCGACGATTTCCGGTGCACACATGCTCACTACTGTCGCAATGGCAAGCTCATATACTGTCTGACCAGCATTAATTCCGGCCAGCCGCGAGCCATGGCGAGGGCAATCCTCCTCCATCTCCACTCCGACGAAACCGTGCCTCTCCTCGTCGTCATCGTCGCCGCGGTGGCCGCCGTCGCGCTGGTCATCGTGTCGCTCTGCACGAGCAGCAAGCACGGCAAGCTGTGGAAGCAGCAGCAGCAGAGAAGTGGGTCGTCGTTGCCGCAGCTGAAGGCGGAGGAATCAGCAGGCGGCGGCGGCGGCGCCAGCCGGAAGCAGCTGCTGGCCACCCTCAGCGGCATCGGCGGAAAGGCGGCGGCCATGGCGAAGATGGTGTCGTGGAACAGGCGGTCGTCGCGGCAGGGATGCAGCAGCGACGACGACGACGAGGCCGGCGGCGGCGGCTTGGCGGTGGAGGAGGAGGAGGCATTGTGGAGGAAGACCATCATGATGGGAGACAAGTGCCGGCCGCTGCAGTTCTCCGGCCACATCGCCTATGACTCCGACGGCAACCAGCTGCCGGCGACGACCATCAGCAAGGAAGCAGCCAATGCGGATGCGGTCAACAATATTTATGTTTAACAATCATATGCATCGAGAGGAAAAATAAATAATAGTAATTGTGTACATGAGATGCAGTGATGTACAGAATGACAACCTGCTGCGAAAACGTCGAAAAGGTCCATATTCTAGTGGTTACAACTTACAAGTGTCATAGTAGCACCTTAAGTCTTAGGTTGGACTCAAATTTTTCAGGATTTAACGACTTTATGCTTCAGTGGTAGACGATGTACCCATCAATAGCGAGATGCCTATAATGACTTTGTCAATTTACAGTATTTACTGGTCCAGCCAGTGTCTTTATAGGAGTGAGTGTGTGTGCATTGTGAGTGTCTATTGTACTGTGTAATTTAAAAAAAATGACAACGTGCTAGCTACGGAGGGAGGAAGAAGTGTAAGTGGGACATGTGGTATGTATGTATCTATCTATTATATTATTAAAACAGCTTTGAAACGAGGCACCACGTTCGCTGTGGGGGCTAGAAATTCCCACGTTAATCGGAGAAAAAAGAAAAATCTAGACCGTTAGATTATACTAGGACTAGACTTTGATGGTGTAGATTAACTTTGATAATAGAAGTCTGAATAGAAAACAACTGCTAGATCAAACGGACAACACTGATCAAGTACTAGAATACAAGTCCAAATAGGTGGACGTACTCCTGCTTTGATTCTTTCCTTATCCTAGATGGATACTAAGGATCAATCAACAGATCAGGTGATTAGGATTCAAACACAGTGCGTACATATATATTTTGGAGCCAGTATAATTAGAATTAAAATGTGATTTTTTTTTTACCTATGGATGAAAAAAAGAATAAATAGACCAGAAAACTTATGCATTGGTAGAGATACATCTCTCCGTCCAACTAGCTAAGGCGTGTTCAAATTTAGTACGATCTTAAAAACTAAAGTTTAACTTTAAATTTTTCATTGTAGCAACAAAATCATAATCATATAAAATTAAATTTAAATGAATATCCAATGATATTATTTTTAACAACTAAAATTTAATTTATAATAAAATACAGCTTTGAAAGAAGGCACCACGTTCGCTGTGGGGGCTAGAAATTCCCACATTAATAGGAGAAAAAGAAAAAACGAAAAGGAGAGTCCAAGTAGAAATACAATCTAAAAATAGCTAAAATTCGGAATTAAAAATAAGCAATATTGAAAGAAGTTTCCATATAAGAACCCAATACAAGATTAATCGAAATTCGAAATAAAAATAAAATAAAATCCAAAATTAGAAAGAAAAAAAGAGACCCAAGTAGAAATACAATTTTAAAATAGCTGAAATTTGGAATTAAAAATAAGCAATATTGAAAGAAGTTTCCATATAAGAACCCAATACGAGATTAATCAAAATTCAAAATAAAAATAAAATAAAATAAAAATTAGAAAAGAAAAGGATAGTCCAAGTAGGAATACAATTTTAAAATAGCTGAAAATTGGAATTAAAATAAGGAATATTAAAAAAAGAGTCCATATAAGAACCCAATTACGAGATTAATTAAAATTGGGAATAAAAAAATAAAATCCGAAATTAGAAAAAAAAGAAGAGATCAAGTAGGAATACAATTTAAAATTAGCTGAAATTTGGAATTAAAAATAAGCAATATTGAAATAATAATCCATATAAGAACCCAATACGAGATTAATTAAAATTCAGAATGAAAAATAAAATAATATTCAAAATTAGAAAAATTAAAAGAGAGTTCAAGTAGGAATACAATTTTCAAAAAACTGAAATTGAAAATAAAAAATAAAAATAAAAATACTAAAAGAACACAATACGATATTAATTAAAATTTGAAAAAATAAATTCTAAAATTAGAAAAAGAAAAATAAGATTTCAATTAGGAATACAATTTATAAATAACTAAAATTTGTGATAAAAATAAATACTATTGAAAGAAAAGATCATCTAAAACACATGACGAGATAAATTAAGTAAGAGGCCTATAAAGGAGTAGAGTGGTGGCGGTTGATACGACATATAAAAATTGTTAATAAAACACCAAATAGAATCCTAATGACGATTAAAAGGAGGGACGACAGACAAGCCGTAACGCAAACGAGCAATGCGATTGCTGGGACTACTAGAAAGTAAAAAAAAAAACCCCATTGATAATCATATTCAATTTTAAAAATCTCAATGACAATAAAAAGTAGAAGCAGTGGGCGGGGTGTATAGTAGTATAGTTTCAGAGCCGCTGATGTTTGACGTGACTTCTAGAAAATAAAAAATGAATTTCAACGATAGTTATGCTCAATTTTTAGAATCACAATGATAATAAAGAAAGAGTAGGCGGCGGACGGGCCATAGAGGAGCATAGCATAGTGGCATCGTTTGACGAGACTTCTAAAAAATTATAAAAAATGAAACCCAACAAGACAATAAACTCTAAAAACTACAAGGTTCAATTTTTAAAGGTTCTGAACTTTGAAAAAGTAAAAAAACAATGATTATCATGTTCGATTTTAAAATCTCAATGACAATAAAGAAGGGACGCAGCAGGCGAGCCGTAGAGAAAGTAAAAATGAACCGAAACGATAATTATGTTCGATTTTTAAAATCTCAATGACAAAAAAGAAAAGAGACAGTGGACAGACCATAGAGGAGTATAATGGCAACGTTTGACGGGACGTCTAGAAATTATAAAAACGAAACCCAACGTGACAATAAACTCTAAAAACTATAAGATCCAATTTTTAAAGGTTTCAAGGAGAATGAATAGAAATAGTGGTAGATCGAGCATGCAAATAAAGAAGGATATGTCATAAGGGGTAGCAAGTGGTGTGACTTTTAAAAAATGTATATAATTAGAAACACGGGGATGATAAGGTTTAATCTTTCAAACTCTTAAGACATGATATAGCTATTTAATAAATTTTAAGTAAAATCATACTAAAAAATATATGATTTTGTTTGGGTGCTAGCCGCGCAATTGCGCGGGCCACCCAGCTAGTTTCTGTAAAGAAAGAAAAAGAAAAAAAAGAAATCACTAACTATGCGGCTCATAAATAAACCGTCCGATTTAGTCCGGACGGATCGGATCTGTGCGAAATTGCAGTGGGGCGCTCAACATATTACAGGAAACCGCTGGATGTGTATTATTGGTTCGTCAATATATATACTCATCCATTCCCTTGCGGAACTTGTAAATGTTTGGCATCGAATTGAATTAGATGACGCATCATCCTTTTGGACGAATTTGATATATTTTTGCCTCGATCGATCCGGAATCCCCACACTGAGCTGAGCTCTCCCATTTCACTGGAGAAATATTGTACGCCACGTTATTGCCTCGATCGATTGTTAATTTTGGGATAATGAGGCCCATATGTATTGACTTGCGGTCGCCAGTGGCCCACTAAGTGTGGCCATCGTGCGGTTTGAATAGGCCCACCACTATGTAAGCATACAGTATTCGGTAGTGTAGATCCCCCGGTTGCGCGCGGACACGGGGGATCCTAATGGGCGATCGATCACCTGGAGACGGGGGTAGCGATCGATCCCCTCCTGCCTCCCTCCCTCCACCCCTCCAACTGGTTTCCTTTTTTGGCACCATATTACTTTTCTATTTTAGTAAATTTATACACCTAAAGTTTATACACCTCAAGTTTACACATCTAAAGTTTAGAGACCAAAAGTTTACAAGTCAAAAGTTTATATATCCGATTCAAATTTGAATTTGAATTCAAATATTTTATATATATATAGTATTTCTATACATCTAAAGTTTATAGACCTAAAGTTTATAAGTCAAAAGTTTACATATCCGTTTCAAATTTGAATTTGAATTATATCCGATTCATAAGTCAAAAGTTTACATACCCGTTTCAAATTTGAATTCAAATGTTTTCTATATATAGTATTTCTATACATCTAAAGTTTATAGACCCAAAGTTTATAAGTCAAAAGTTTACATACCCGATTCAAATTTGAATTTGAATTCAAACTTTTTATATATAGTATTTCTATACATAAATTTTTTTGACTTTTTGTTTTTTAAAAAAATTTTGTGTGGTGTACTGTAATAGAAGAAGGGGAGGAGGAAGAAGGGGAGGAGGAAGGAGGGAGAGGAGGGAGGAGTGTATCGTACAGGGGAGGGGACGGGCGGGCGGGTGATCGCTCATTCTCGCGCGGACGCAAGTAGGCAACCCCGACGATCACCGGAGAAGCACCGCGTGCGGTGGCGAGTTTCATCGATCTCCGTGATACATTATCACACACACAGAAACAGTTAGTAGTTCAATATATATATATATATATTTGGTGGAGGCCAGTGGAAAGAGCGGAAAAACGATGGATGGATCGAGGCGGTGGCCTCGCGGCGCTAGCGCTCTGGACATTAAGGGCGGTGTGGGCGCGGGATTGCGGCGGCCGCCATGGCCATGGGAGGATAGGCGAGAGCTTTGTGTAGTTTGGGATTCTTCTTCGAGACGAGCGATGGAGACGGAAGCCAAATTCGGTTCTGCTGTCTTGTCTAGTCAGGCCGTCAGGGTTGGGCCACTTGTTGGATCGATGAATCCCAACACGGCCCACTAGCTGCTTGCTTTTTTATTTTTCTTTTTGGAAACAGGAGCTTTTCTTGGCTCTTGCTAGCTAGTGTAAACAGCATGTACGTTTTAACGTGGGCTGCAGGGCTGGGGCACACCACAAACAACTCGATCGAACAGATCGAGCAAAATGAGTGCAAGTTCCGACAAGAGATCGACGAGTCTCTCTATATAGTTACATATATACTCCCTCCGTTTTAAAATGTTTGACACTGTTGACTTTTTAGCACGTGTTTAACCGTTTGTCTTATTAAAAATAATTGTGAAATATGTAAAAATATGTGTACATGAAAGTATATTTAACAATTAATAAAATGATATGAAAAGAATAAATAATTACTTAAATTTTTTGAATAAGACGAATGGTCAAACACATAATTTTTAAAAAGTGTCAAATATTTTAAAACGAAAAGAGTATATGCATAGCTAGCTGTATATACATATGAACATACCACTTGATCAGACGATCGAGCAACCACGCAAGTATATACTACCTCCATCCCAAAATGTTTGACGCCGTTGACTTTTTTAAAAATATTTGACCGTTCGTCTTATTCAAAAAATTTAAGTAATTGTTAATTCTTTTTCTATCATTTGATTTATTGTTAAATATATTTTTATGTATACATATAGTTTTACACATTTTACAAAAGTTTTTGAATAAGACGAACGGTCAAACATATTTAAAAAAGTCAACGGCGTCAAACATCTAGGGAAGGAGGGAGTATATGCTGTATCTGAGAGCAAACCACAAAATTAATTAAAGCATACAGTACAGTACAGTAGTATTATATATATATATATAGAGCCTGCATTATCCATGCATGCATGTACGTTGTTAAAACGTACCACACGACGGTGGAGGAAGATATATATGGAGAGAGTACTCGCTAGCTAGTACACAGTACGTGGACACGCACGTTCGTACGTATGATGAGGACATGCGTACGCAACGCAGTCGAGTTCCAGTAAGTATACTTGAGTTGAGAGCTAGCTAGCTTAATTATTCAAAAACTATATTATTGTAATAATATAGTAGGGCCGGCCGGCCGCATCCGCAGGCGTGCTTGCTTTCTTCATTATGGATAGATAGATAGAGATAGTAGGCTATTACTATTAGCGGCGGCGGTTGGCGGGCTCCCTCTGGGAGTTGAAGTGGACGACGGCGGTGGGGAGGCCGAGCTGATGGTACGCCGCGAATGCTCTTGTGTTGAAGTTGGGCCTGTCCGCCGGCGGCATCAGCGCGCCGTCCACGAAGCGCGCCTTCTGCTCGTACAGCACCAGCACGTACCTGTGTATCCCCACCGTCGGCCGTGGCCCCATGTACTCCACCATCTCCTCACCTGCATCCCCATATATCCCATTTCATTTCATATCATATCCATCCTTTTATTCACATATACTACTTTTTCATATTATGCATGCAATCTTGTACTCATCCCTCCGTTTCATATCAATTATAAGTCATTTAACTTTTATCTTAGTTAAAGTTCTTCAGATTTGACTAATACTTATACGTAACATCTATGACATCAGGTTAGTTTAACATTAAATATATATTATTTCGTATTGAAAATGTTAATTAGTATATTTTTCTGTAAATTAACTTGATCAAACATTAAAAAAAGATTAACTAAGAAATGGAGAGAATACATATCTTGCTAGCTACTCGTATTCCAGTAGTACAACTCATCTCAAGTCTCGACTCGATGGAGATATGCATGCGTATATGCATATGGAACTTTATTAGAACTACGAATGCATGCATGCACGCATACACGTGTCGCGCCACCTAAGCAAACGCTTGGTTGTGCATGGCTGGCACAGCTAGCGCTAGCTGCTGCCGTGACACGTGTGGCTGCCTCCCTTCTTCACATGTGTACATGCGCCCAGGGTGGCCATCCATCCATATGCATGCCTCACAGTTTGTGCCATCCACAAACTGTGTCGATATGCATGCATGCGCCGCAACAACAATGAAGCGGTAATTTCACACCAAAATAAGTACATTTCGATCTACTTCTAGCTACTTTCTTCATCTTAAAATGTAGCTGCCTAATACTAGATGTGATATTACCTAATACTATGAATCTGAAAATGTCACATCTAATACTAGATAGCTATATTTTAGGACGGAGGTAGTAGCAGTATAAGAGTATATATATATATATATATATATATATATATATGGGGGAAATATTTCCTATATGGGCACAGCTAGCTATCCGGCCCGGTCGTTAAGATCGATCGATCGCGCCATGCATATGATATGCACTGCCATTATACTGCATATGCTACCATTCGATGCCATCGTACGTAATGGGTTACGTAATATCTACAGATGCATTGCACCCAGTCATGACATATATATTACACCATCTAGCCTAATATTTTAATTATATGTATGTACACACAGCCAAATATTCATACGTAAGCGTGCTGAGTATATATGATTGATTGTGCACTAGTTGTACTTTGCACCATAGATCTAGAAAGGTGTGATGTGTACATGTATCCTGCTAGCTACTTCTTCCTAAGATGATCAACAAAAACAATATATGTAATTAACTACCAATCTAGTTATATTAGCTACTCTCTGGTATATATACATCTTAATTAGCAAATAAAGCAATAATATAATTAATGACGGCAAATATATTATTTATGTCATAATAAGGGTAACTAATTAATTGGCTTAATTTGGCCGTGCATGCTAACAGAACAAATATTATTAGTTATAACTCCTTAGAATGGATTAATTAACCAGCAGAGTATTAAAACTGAAGATTAAATTAACATGATATATAGTTTGCAGGTAATGCATAGACAGGCAACAAAACATAAGGTAGCTAGCTAGGAACATATCTAAATTAATTAATATACTGATGATCGATGAGGTAGGTAATTGGTACACGAGAGAACGCACCTTTAGATGCATCTGTTCCCCCCGGTATGTTAACCACGATCCTGTGCAAGAAAAAAGATGCAGTTATATGCATATATATATATATATATATATATATATATATATATATCAAATTAAGGAAACTAACTTGAAGAGAGCTACAAGCTAGTGCTAGCATATGATCAGTAATATATAGATCATGCGCATATATATCCTATGCAATCATGTATATGGAGGAGTGATGGAGACCTGAGAGATCCGATCCCTAGGTAGGCATACGATGAATCATATCATATCATATATATGCATGCAAGTGTCAAGCTAGTGTACTTGTGGAGAATTGACACTTGTTGGTGTGCCACATCCCATGGGATGGATGGATGGATCGATCAGTGTGCATACATACCAGTGGAGAAACTCCCTCATGGATGGGTCGCTAGGGCTAGGTGCGTCCGGGTCCGTCATGATCTGCAAGCATGCGTTGGCGAGCGAGCAAATTGATCGATGGTCAGTAAATTGCTAGATAGATAGGTGATGATGCATATATATATATATATATATATATACAGATACCAGGGTGTAGAGGTCGTTGCGGCGGCCGGAGATGCGGACGAGGGGAGGGTAGTCGGCGGCGGATGGGCGGACGAGGCAGCCGTTGCTGATGTCCCTGTCGCCGTAGGCGGCGGTCATGGAGATGGATGGAACGAACAAATCCACCACCTCCCCGATCACCCGTCCCACCACCAGCGGATCCACGAAACGGGCCATCGATCTCTGGAGATCTCGACTTGAGCTCAGCTAGCCGCGGCCGGCAACTGTCTGCGGGCACTGCTATAGTGCGGCGCCGGCGCCTTCTCAGCTGCTGGTGGCTACTTAATTCTAGCGGCAGCACGCACGCGCCCACTCACTCGATCATGCTATAGCTAAGCTCTATCTAGGACTAGGAGTATATAGCTACAAATACGGTATGCGGCTATGGGTTTCTTTAGCTTAGCCTCGTCATGCATGGGACTTGGATCGTTGGCACCATGCGTTGGGAGACGCGACACGTGGCGACAGGATGGGGCTGTCTACAAGCGGCGTCTGTGCCCTGTGTGTATCCTCATGCATGATATGATCTGGCGTACGGTAGGGAGCCTCCCCTGCCCTGCCCTGCATGCATATATAGGACTATGTTTTTTCATATGAAATTTAATTAGATGATCTTTTTTATGTCATTGAGTTTGTTTACTCCTTTTATACCCTGAATTTTCATTTATCTGTTTTATATCCTTTATATGTCGATCGACCCTAAAATAAGTATTACTTTTTTACCTTCAGATCGGCATGCATGGAGAAATTTGTGGAACTACAGTTGAAAGTATATGTAGTAATGAATTTGTTATGTTAATATTAGATTTTTTTTTTATATATATATGAGAAGGTATTATAGAAAATGTAATATCTATGTCACCTTTTTCAATATGGTAAACATAAATTAAATTAGTCTCTTATCGCATTTGTTTTAGATAATGCATATGTAACAGTTACCAAATCTACTGTATGTAGCATCCAAAAAAATATTGTGTTTTTAATAAAATAAAAATAAAAAATGAAACCTTTTGTATCAGTATTAAAAAAAATAAAATTTATCATGAATAATACCTCACATATCAAACTCATGAATGAATGTAATAGTCTAGAAACATACTTCTACAATTCCAACAATATACTCCACAAATTAACTGTCAGCAGGTACAAAAGAAATCAAAACCAAAATTCAGTGTTATACAAAGAATTAATTGAGCAAAACTCGGAAGTATAGAAGGAATGGGCTGAAATTTCAGGACCATATAAGAAATTCTCTCATTGTAGGGTACAGAGAGAAATATGCTGTATAGGCTCTATCTTTCGATCTATCTATAATCGCTGGAAGCTGCAGGTAGCCTGGCCTGCTGGATAATTCCATCCATCACCTTCCTTCACATACTGCATGTCGGCATGTACTCCAAACTATATCAAATTTATCTACTGGAAATTACACTAGACTAGCTAGGCCCTATAACAACGAGATCGAAAGAGAAATTAAAAATGTTATTACTCATATACTCCCATGTCGTATAATATAAGGGATTATACATTTTCTTAAAAAATAATCAATAAAAGAACAAATCATATACAAAAGGTGGTAGTTGAAAAATAAACTAACAAAATAATTTGTTCATATATAAGGAATAAATTGGTAAGGTACGAAATACATTATTGTCTCGGATCACAAACCCCTTACATTTTAATACAAAATATAAGGACAAAATTTATTATATTATGGAACGGAGGAAGCTAGCGTTCTTTGGATGACCCAAGAGGCCGCCGTCGATGCATAATGATATGATGAGCCTACATGCATGCTTGCAGACTCCGATGGGCCACCACCCTCTCAAACCTAGCCGAATAGCATAGTAGTACTAGTATTACTCTCACCGTCGTAAAATAACTTCATATGTATTATATTTATACCCTTTGTTCAAAAATAAGTTCACATTTATCTTCTTCCTACCCATAATCGGCAAATCCATGAGTTTTAAAACATGAATATTATGGAATGACCTAATATCAAATAAATAGAAGGGGTGAGGCTTCGAACCCAGGCCGATTAGCCTATCACCTTATGAAGCTAGCTAGCCGGAATAACCCTAGGCGTTTCTCTCAAATCCATGAGTTTTATTTCTTTTACATATTTTATTTACGCGTCCGTCAATACTACTTTCTTATTGATGGAAGACGCTTTGGTCTTTTTTTCCCGGGGCTTCCTAATGGGCGCGCGCGCCGGCTGTGTGCTTAACTCACGCAGCCGCGCCCCACCCCCTCCCCCACGCCCCTGCTGCGCGATTAGCGCAAGCTAATTACGATCATTAGTGTTTAATACCGTAATTAAAAAATACACGTATAATTTAAAATTTGAGTTGTCAGTTTTAAAAATTTGGGTTAAAACTTTTGAATTTTGATATGGAAGTTTTCAACTAGATATGAAATTTTTTGAATTTTGAGTTGAAATTTTTGAATTCCAATATGAAATTTTCCAATTTTGAGATGAAAATTTTTAATTGAGTTGGAAGTTTTTGAAATTTGAGTTGAAATTTTTCAAAATTTGACTTGAAAGTTTTTAAATCTGGGTTGAAAATTTTTCAAATTTGAGATGATAAGTTGAAAGTTTTCAAAATTTGACTTAAAAAATTCAAATTTCGAGTTAAAAGTTTTCAAAATTTGACTTTACATATAGATTTTTCTTTTTCAATCTAGCACTTAAAAAAAATTCGGCAAAAAGACAAATCTTACTTTAATTATCGTCATTATCTAAAACTAACCGTATTAGTTAGCGTGTATGTGTAAAAAAATCCCGGAAAAACAAAAAGAAAGCTCACGGGTGACAAGGGCCCGCCACGTGCATGCGCGCGACTTAGAGAAGTCGCGCGTACGCTAAATTAGCAAAAACCGCTTTTTCCCTCTATCTATTTCTAGAATCAACAAATAAAGTTATTTTGAAATAGAAGAGAGCTCCATAGATAGTCTCTCAACTCAAAGTTCAAACTATGAAACTATGAGTACGTGTACATGTTGGGGTTCATATTCGTATTTCATACTTGATCTCAGGCTCTCAGCAAGATAGATAGATATATGGTCGTAGGGAAGAAACTGCGCAAATGCTAATCCGCGGTGATATATCTTTTATTGGGCTCAAATTGCCTTTGGCTTATGAATCAATTAAGCCTTGTTTCGTCGGCGACGAGGGAGCAACTGAATAGAGAAATAATTAAAGAAGCTGCATGAGAGATCGATCAAATTAAGAAGCTGCAATTTAATAAAGAATTCTGCAAACGGATCGAGATGCTGCCGGTCGACAGAGATGATCTACGTAGAGTAACTTGGCCGGCCGGAAATCGTGGTTTACATGCAGAGTCTCGACGTTTGTGAGCCGGCCGCCGACGTTAATTATGCCTTATTTCTGCCGGTGAATCGCCCGGTTAGAAGAACAAAACTCCGAACCCTTCGGAGAAGAAATCCCCAAATTTGGCCCATAGGCCCAGTCGGAATAAACACTCCATCAGCCATTTAGCCAAGGAATTGCGTACGGCCCATAGGCCCAGTCGGATTAGTTGAATACTCTGCATCATCAGGGTCACACACCCAAATGAATTTTCCTGAACCAGAGACAGAGTGCGGATGGATGTTGGTAAAATGGTACTAGGAACTACTACTGTCCACGTCGCATCCTCCTCGGGGGCACCGCTTTGGAAAAACCTCTTCGTGCAAGGATATTGTCATTAGTCTATGCATTGGCTTCGAACTTCAGTCCTAAGCCTAAAGGAGGCTTTATAGCTCCACATTTTGTTTTACTTTTCTCAGTTTGAGTCCTCTCTTCTCTTATTTGGTGTGTTCAACTTGTCTTGAACTACACTCTCTTCTGAAGTGGATCTTTGTAATAATTGGCTGTAGTTCTTTTTAAACAAAGGCCAAGATATTATATTCCACTATCTAAAAAAAACTACTACTGTATATCTAATCTGTTTTTGATATGTACTGTATATCGTCAGTAAGTATCGTCGATTAATTGAAAGCTGAAGATTGCGCATCGATCGTACTGTGTTAGCCTTACTGACGAGTACAGTACTGATATTTCAGCTAGTGTTGCCCTGCCCAGCTGCTACTAAGGCTTCCATCGGATGGCCTAATAAGCCAAAGAAAAGGTCAAATTTTAAATTTTTAAACTTAATTTTGAGATTGATTTTGAGATATTTTTAACGTTGTTTCTTTTTCAACATTGGCTTTTAAATCACCAAGAACACATATATAAAAGTTTTACCTACAAATTCATTTTTATTCTCTAATAAACCATTTTGGCTTATTAGGGAATAAGCCAAACAATGGGGACCTCCATCCGTACTGTTAGCCATAGTAGTGCTCTCGCCAACTGAAATTCTGAACATCTGTCTATATATGTACACCATCTGAACTCTGAATTTATCACAACAAATTAAAGAGAAGCATGGTGGGTGGATACGCGTGCTTAGTCAGTAGTATCATACTCATACTGCTAGTAATCTGCCGTTGCACTGCAATTAATTAGAGAACTAATATACTAGTTAACTGAGATATACTATATATAAGCTAGCAAGACTCGGAGTGCATGCATGCTATAATCAATGAAATCCGATCTGCAGATGCGTAGCTGCATGAAGCCAAGAAAGGATTATCCACTGATCAGCAAGGAATAGTACAGGGATGCACTAGTTGTTGTTTACTCTAACCCAGTATTATCAACACATAACTATATAATTAGTGTGGTGGACTGGTAGTTAGTATGTCTTGATACAGAATTTGTACATATAATATATAATTAATTAAGCTGTATTAATAACAGCGAGATGCACGGAGAGGGGCCATCGGTCGAGTGAGACTTAGCTTAGCTATACTATGCGGGCTGAACGACTACTGCGTCGCACGTCCGTCGTCAAGACTGAATTAAACTAATGAACATATAACTAACTAATTAATTTAAGGCGGTTGCAGATGATAGCATGTGTGCTGTGAGCTAGCTGAGCTACTTGGCCATGTGAAGCTCTGAACTGAAAAGCTTCATTAGCACTGGCTAGCTAAGCTATAGTAGTAGATCAATGCATGGGTCGCAAAAATGTAGTAACTGTCGTGGAAGCACGTCGAAGTTGCAGATCGCACACACACGGTAAGCACACGGGTTTAATTAATTAATTTGTACATATGTATGTATATATACCTACATTAATTAATGCAAGACGTGCATGTCCATCGAGTTTGTCGACCGATCATCATGCATCTACGAGTAGTACAAATTAGTTGAGTATTACTCTGTTTTAGTTGTATACCGTACGCCTACTAAACAAAATAATAAAAATAATATGCTGCATGTGCACTCTAGCTAGCCTTCCCAATCCAGTAACACTCCAATATATATGTACCGGGACACACGCATGGCCTTTCTAGGATTAAATTAACCAGTAGATGTGTAGAAAAAAATTTGGGTCGAATTGAAATGGCCTTTCTAGGATTAATTAAATTAACCAGTATTATAGAAGGACGAGAAATTAACCAGGTTTTAAGGTTGCGGTTCAAGAGGAAAAAGTACTTAGAAAATTCTTATCCAAGGGCAAAAGCGGCAGCTGAAAGTCTGAAACAACCATGTAAGATCGTATGACAAAAGGGAGAGACTACTATAGCAAAACTGGAACAATGTTTCACCCTAAATGTATGCTCTGTCTCTGTCTGTACTCTGTAGATGCCATAATTAATCCTAACAACATGTTGAGTGCTTGCTCATCTAGTCATCTGACAATTCTCTTGTTCTTCCTCACCTCACATACATGTTCCGTTGCTAATTAATATTGCCTAATGTTTGGGTTTCTTACTCTGATTTTTTTTGCGCAGGGATATCTTACTCTGACAGTCTTATCTTTTCACTTATACTTATAGTTATTAGCCAAAATTTAAATTTTCAACTTTAAATTTGGAGGTGATTTTAATGTTTTTTTCATCGAAGTCTAATTTTCAGCATTTTGTAAATATGTCGTTTGGCTTATTTGAGACCGTGAATTTGTTAAGCCATATTGATCTCCCCATTCTTGCAAGCCATCGAAGGTCCAATGTGTATAGTCATGTTGTTTCATAGAACCCATACCAGGACTGGGCTTGTACCATGCTTCTTGGAACAAGCAGTATAAGTTGCCATTTTGGAAATTAGGCATTGACATTCAATATCTGCATGATATTCTGACAGGAGCAATTTTCATTTTCCACAAAATGTATGTTACACATGTGTGACTGGTAATTAATTAACAGCCTGGATTTTTTTTACATTTTGACACTTTCTAAAAATTTATTTTATAAATATACCCTTAGACAAACTTCTAAAAATAGACTCTTTTTTCTAAGCTAGTAACCCTAATGTCAAGGTCCAACGTTATTGACGCCAACGACGATGGCGCCGACAACTTTGCCGCTAGCAACCGAGATGTACATCCTATTTGTAAAATAAATTTTATGAAAAAATTTAAAATGTAAATAATTTTCTTACAAATAGGACCTTGTTGTCGAGGGTCTAGTTGTAAGAAAAAATTTTACATTCTAATCCTTTTATAAAAAAATTTACATCTCTTTGACACCGATCCTCTTCACATCTGCAAGACTTAACTGCTACGAGGGCTGAGATTCGCATTGAAACATTGAACCTCGGCGTCAAGAAAAAGGGTTCATTTATAGAATAAGTTTTTCTAAATTTCTGTTTGTAAAATAAGTTTTAAAAAGCTAAAATATAAAAATCCAGAATTAATGGTTGTATACAGTACAATAGCCATTACATCTCCAGCAGTTACTTTTAATTTTGTCACTACGTGCACTCGCGACATGATGTGTATGATGCTTAAAAAAGGGTGCTTAACAAAGAGAGGGGCTATGTTATGAAGCTTGTGTCATTAGCATAGTCCTAGCTAACTAGCTAGCCTAGCATGCATGTCAAATATCTTAAACTAGCATCAACTTGATTTCAATGCCATGTGAAGAGAGGATATGATGCCAAGGAGTGTCTCTCGATCTTGAGCTAGCTAGCTGGAACATGCATGTGATCGAGTGGCTTGATCTCTAGTTAATTACCTCCTCCCATATATGATCCTAGCTAGCTAACAAGTGTTTATCTCACCATGCATAATTGCAAGTATATTCCGTTCATTGCCAGCTCAAAACCTCTCTAAAATACCACACCGTCTTAACAAGAATCCTCTTCTCAACTCTCTCTATATAAGTAGCTAGAAGCTAGGTATACCTACATATGTTTCATGCATACTGAGATCGATCGATCCATCAGGTTGCTACTACCAAGAACAGAAACCCTAGCTAGCTAGTTAAACATCATCGATCACCATTAGACTAATTTAGAGCTCTTGCTCGATCTTACGATACGCAACGTAGTGATCACACTGCTGTGCTGCATCGTATAGTAGCTAGCTAGCTAAACACAGAGCTTAATTAGCTGATTAATTAAGGTAGATGATGGCAGCTCAGGCAAGCAGCAAGCGCGGCATGCTGCTGCCACGGGAGGCGGTGCTCTACGACGACGAGCCCTCCATGCCGCTGGAGATCTTGGGCTACCACGGCAATGGCGTCGGCGGCGGTGGCTGCGTTGACGCCGATTACTACTACAGCTGGTCGGGGTCCAGCTCCAGCTCCAGCTCGTCGGTGCTCAGCTTTGACCAGGCGGCGGTCGGCGGCAGCGGCGGCGGCTGCGCCCGGCAGCTGGCTTTCCATCCCGGCGGCGACGACGACGACTGCGCCATGTGGATGGACGCCGCCGCCGGCGCCATGGTCGAGAACACGTCTGTCGTCGCCGGCGGCGGCAACAACTACTGTCATCGCCTGCAGTTCCACGGCGGCGCCGCCGGTTTCGGACTCGCGAGCCCAGGCTCGTCGGTCGTTGACAACGGCCTCGAAATCCACGAGAGCAACGTCAGCAAGCCGCCACCGCCGGCAGCCAAGAAGCGCGCATGCCCGGTATGTCACTGAATATTAATCAGATCACTGTGTCAAAGATTAATTTCACAAATTAAACCAGTAGTGAATTTCGAGTGAACCAACAGTATAATTTGTGTGTACCGCAGAGCGGCGAGGCGAGAGCAGCGGGGAAGAAGCAGTGCAGGAAAGGGAGCAAGCCAAACAAGGCTGCTTCTGCTTCTTCTCCTTCTCCTTCTCCTTCTCCTTCTCCTTCTCCTAACAAGGAACAACCTCAAAGCGCCGCTGCAAAGGTACAATAATTACTTTTCTGACTATGTTTAATTTGTAATTAACACGGTTGTGTTTTGATCAAATTAAACTGGATTATTATTCAAGTGAGTAGTATTCAATCTTGTTATATGTATATGTATGTGTAGGTAAGAAGAGAGCGGATCAGTGAGAGGCTCAAAGTTCTTCAGGATCTCGTGCCTAATGGCACAAAGGTGCGATTAGTTCTCAGTATAATTCTTTTGTTTTAAGTTAATTGCATGGCTCCTAGTCTATTATCTCTTGATTTTTTTTTTCTTCATGAGAATAACTATATATTCATGTTCGTGCCCGCAGGTAGACTTGGTCACCATGCTAGAAAAGGCGATCAACTACGTCAAATTCCTCCAGCTGCAAGTGAAGGTATATTGCAATACTATGCATGGATAGAGACCATCCATAGAATATATAGTAGTAGCTCTTTCAGTTCAGTTCACCGTAATTGATAGTTCTTCACTTCAGCTCTTATGTTTCACGCAAGTTTAGTGTCTATGATTAATTAGCTGACCATAATGATCTGATTCTGATGATGCAGGTTTTGGCTACTGATGAGTTCTGGCCGGCACAAGGAGGGAAAGCACCAGAGCTCTCTCAAGTCAAGGACGCCTTGGACGCCATCCTATCTTCTCAGCATCCAAACAAATGATGTTGTGCTGCTGACACAAAATGCATCAAATTTCACAAAGCTAATATTAAGTTTGATGCATGTAAGATCTTTAGAACAGAGGCAATGTAACAGGGCTTCTGCTCTGAAAAGATGAGAGAATTGTTCTATTGGACTTTCAGAGTTGGAAATCAGTCGTGCATCTTAGATGTTTTTTTTCACTCTTTTTTCCTAGATCAATTCTTTCTTGTTTTGTTGCCAAAGCCTGAGTAATGTACTTCAGTCATCAGAGTTCTTTCACTTTATAGCAAGGATGTAGTGTAGGTATCAGTTAGAAAACAAGAATCTGAGCACTGCAAATTCGCTTGCTACTGTAAATTACACTGCAAATTCCAATAAATGAATCCTAAATAGATGCAGTTAAATCTGCGCCCTCTGCTATTTATTTTCTCTTGTCAGCATCTGCATCTTGTTCATTGAAGCAACCAAGCAAGACAGGGTAAAAACAGAGAGAAAGCTCTAGACAGATCAAAGCATGATGCAAGTAAACTGGATTTTTTTTTTAACTTTCTCACGGTCGTGTGCAAGTAAACTGGATTTTATTATTAGAGCATGAGAATAATACTCCATATCATCCTAAATCGTGAATTGATCGAGGGAACCTTCCTGAGACAGATCAGAGTGATTAATATTTTTTATCATTTGGGCGGTCGGAGAAGCCTGAATGAATGCATGCATGATCGTGGAAATGTTATAATTTTCTCACTCGAAGATCAGCATTGACCTCTACCTGATCTACACGAACTGATGAACCATGTAAATTATTAGTAGTGACTCTACAATAATTTTGTTAGAGGCCTTAATTGGAGAATGTGATAAAATTTGTATTGGCTCCTACAGAGCATGTATTCTGCCCACTGACAATTTTCTGCTACAACATTGATAGCATGGCATCATCAGCTACTTGTGTTTTTCTCCAAGTCAAACAATTGTGTAATGCAACTAGAACTAATTTGGCAATTGGAGCGTGATTAGAGGAGCTCTAGGAGGAATCTGGCCAGACTTGGCTAATTCTAGGATGTTCTTTAACATAGCATAATATATATTTCCGGTGTGTATGCATGATCAACTTTGCCCAATCAAATGAAGAACTAAACAAGTTTAACTTCATCAAGTTTATCTAACTCTAGTGGACAATTCAATTGTTATTATGTGAGGTAGAGGCAAAGAAGGCGCCATTTTCTCTAATTTTCTTGCAAATAATACAGAAACCAGTCCAAAAAGTGATTAAATTGCTAGATGAAGAACTGCTTTTCTGGAGAACAGAAAAAAAAAACAATGACGAACATGCTATAGAAAAACTGGCAAGAGAAGCTATCCTCTGAAACCTTGGGTCATCATCAATGAGATCAATTCTAATGATAGCACTTAAATTTTAGCTGTCCAACACACGGCATGATGATACATGAATCATGATCAGATGCTTGACATGTGGTACTGACTGTCATTTACATCTTCATTGAATCATTATCACGAGATAATTGGTAAGAATGCAATAAACAACGAAGTTGAAATGCTACTAATCCCTAAATAATAAATGAGATAATGGCAAAGAAATGAGAGAGATGCCGTGTTATGCTAATAGTCGGTGGCTAGAGCACATAAACAGTTCTGTTTGTCATAAAAAGGGAGTGAAAAAATAGTGTGTGGTCCTAAGATCTACAGGTTTCTAGGTGGTATCAATCGTGCAATGCTTGGAGTCCCAGCAGAAGTTTGAGTCATGTGATTGTGTGACAACTCCATTAGTTTACTGGTTTGACAATGGGATGCAATGCAATATATTGTAGAAGTCAAACAAATCACTCAATGAGGATACGTATGTGTGCTTGTTTCCACATCAACATGCAGGAAATGATACCATTGCCATTTTAATTTGTGGCTTTAGATCCCTAGATGTTTCCCAGGGGAAAATTATAAAACATCTGATGCTTCAAGCATTTACAACTGATGGCCATGAAGCTTGAAATACCCCTCAAGAATTTATATTGGTTAACATTTTGAAAACCTTTCAAAAGGTTTCAAATATTTGAAATTTTGTGTTTATTATGGCTTTAAACCTTCCTATTGTGTTATTGGTGAATCCAGATGGAAAAGGGAAACATGGGGGTGCTATTCTGTGAGCACATCATCCTGTCCTTTGAGGTCACATTCCAGCAGAATAAAATCTACAGATTCTTCAGAACCATCTAGTAATGTATTGTATTCTCAATTCTCAGTTTCATTCCCATGTGACTTTTGAGTGCACACCTTAAATTAAAACTGCATAAGACTATGGATTCATGGCATCACATGTCATTAAAAATTGGATTCAACTAAACCAAGGACGTGGGAGGCATTACCTGCGTCGCAAACTTCAAGTTGCTTTCTCTTCCATCTGAAACAGAAAATGGACAAGAAAATCACAAGAATTTAATGCACATACGTGTGAAGATGCCCATCCTGTTCTTTTCTTCCCTTCTCTTGTTCTCTTGAATTCAGACACCCATCCTTTTCAGTGGCAGAAGCCAACAGGGTAGCAAAGCAAAAGATCTGACAAATAATTTCTGGACAAACTACAATCAATATTACCTGATACATTTAGCTTTAGTTTTGGTCACCCACGGAAGTACCAACATAATAACGCTACAATATTAAAACAACTGCCCGGAGACATTGAGTTAAATTCATTAATGTCATGATTCTAACACAAGCTACTCTCCATGGTTCTCACTCTGGGATTTTGTTAGAGACCACTACAAACATAAACATCAAAGACAGTGAAAACTGATCTAGATTCTGAATTTACGGTCATTCATTCATGAAAACTCAGGAGCATCTACAGCATCAGGAGCAACAGCAGATTCGACCAATCTCTCGAAATCAATAATGGTTGATTGAAAATTGAACTGGTACCCACTCTGCATCCACGATTTTACGCACATTGTAGCTTGAATGCTACTGAGAGGAAGGCAGTAGTGCTGCTTGCGCATGCTGTCACCTTTGCTCGTGAACAATTCTTCAGGGTCTAATGAGGTCCCTTGGATCGCCAAAAAATCACGAGCCATCAAAGAGAGCCGTGGGTAACGGGAGGAGTGACCCTTCCACCATTCAAGGGCATCAGTGGAAATTGGTGCAGGGGGCTCAGCAAGATACTGAGAAAGCTCATCAGCAGCAGTGATCATACTCACACGACGGCGTTTACGGACAATCTCTTCAGCAAAGGAAAATGCATCACCGCCGTCAGTGGTGTCTTGGGTGTTGTAGCCATTCCCAACAGCTTCAAAGGTGCTACTGTAGTCCCTGACAAATTGGTTCCTTGCATCCTCCAAGTTGCTAGTTGAGTTAAGGGTTTCAGGGATAAGCTCTCCTTTGATTCTTGGATCAAGAATTGCTGCCGTGAACGTGTAGATATTGTAAGCTTGAGATGCGAAGTTATGAGCTGTCTCAGACATGTCACTGGCGATTTTCTTGAGCCAATCCTGACGGGTGCTATCATGGCAGACATTGATCAATTCAATAACATGGTCCATAAAGAAGAACACCAGCCCAACTGTTGGTATTTTGCAAGTACAAAGGTTGGTGGTAGTTTTGTAGAAGGGCTCAAGGTACGAGTGCAATGAGTTGACGGCTGACTTCTCTGTGGAACTCAGAACCCAGTCCCTTGGTCCAAATACCCCTTCAAACTTCTTGATGGTGTTATCCATTGCATTAGGGGCCTGGATGAAAAAGGTTTTGTTTTCATTTAAATGGGCATTAAAGACATAGAGCATGATGGAAAATGAATTATACGAAGTATGAGCTGTATGGTACCTTCTTTACCACATCAAGCATATTGTAATCACCACTCCAGTTTGATGAATGGTCAAATGGAAGTTTCCATGAGCCTTCTTGATAAACTTCAGTCCAGTGCATAAAATCTTCCATCATGTCCTGGTTTGAATTGGTCTCAAGAACAAATTCACGGATCTTGGACAATACTGGCCTCACATTTTCCAGGCCATCTTTTATGATAATCTTGAGCATCCGAGCAGCACAGGGGATGTAACAGAAAGGAAGTTTACGGGACTCAAGCTCCTGCCTGAGCTCATGACAAGCATGGATTGCATGTTGGCTGTTGTTATGTGTGCAAGCAAGGATCTTTGAATCAATGTTAAACTCGTGCAGCACATTCATTAGAACTTGCAGAATCTCAGGGCCAGTGCATGGGTATGGGATACGGCGGACATCAAGCAAAACTTTCCGCAAGGCCCAGCCTTCATCAATCCAGTAACACTTGACGGACAAGTACACAATCTGTTCATAAGAAGTCCAAAAGTCAAGAGTAATGGAGAACCGAGAGCTAACGCACTGAAGAGATGCCTTAACATCCTCCTTCATGCTTCTGAACACTTGAAGGACAATTTCATGAGCCTTTTCTTTTGGCCATAGCTGGACAGGCGGGTTCAAATACCTGCAACTGTCGATAAGCATACTATCTTCGAGGGTGGAAGTTGGAAGGGAGGAGCTGATAAGCCACCTCAGAAGTAACCAGTTGACATGGTCAATATCAATTGCTGGTTTCGCTTTAGGTTGATGACGAACTTTAGATACAGTTTGAGGTTGAGGTTGATGTTGAACTTGGGATTGAGGTTGAACTTGGGACTGAGATTGAGCTTGTGATCGAGTTCGCGCTAGGGGTTGAGATCTTTTGGCTCGAGAAACCATGCTGGTAGGCGTTGTACTTTGAGTTGCTTCACCCTCAGAAAGTTGGCAGTAACCAGGGTGGCGGTTATTAAGATGCTTCCCAAGATTCCCTGCACACAACAATGTAGCATATTACTGAATGTGGTGTTCAGACTTGACAGTTGGAAAGGGTGAAAATAAGGCAACTAATACTGACATTATCTACTGACTGAAACTGAACTAGAGTTGTGGGCATATGTCAGAAAGAAAGATTGAATCTTCTTGGAGACAGAATTTGCAAAACGCCCTTCATTGTTACAGTAAAGTGCTTGTATTGTATTGTATTGCAGAGTATAATAAAGTAAAATCGTTTCAATTGGATTGGATGGGCGTTAAGAGTAACAGATGTATATGTATACCGGTGGCAGTGGTCATGCAGTAGCTCTTCTTGCAGAGCTTGCAGACGCGGGACTTGCCATCGGGGGCAGTATCGAAGAACTGGAGGTAGAGGGACTTCATGGTCTTCTTCTTGGGCTTGGCTCCCTGGGCAGGGGCAGAGGAGGTGGCCGCCATCCCGGACAGCGCGTCGTCAGGGTCTACGCTGGGCAAGAGAGTCATATCAGTGAGAGTTGCGTTCCCCATATCGATCCTCTCTGTGGCGTTGCAAGTTACAGTAGAGAGTGTCAGCAAGAATTGAAACAAACATACTTGTGCAAATCCAATCTGATGATGGTGCAAATCTTTTGACAAGGTGGTGTGTTGATTTAGCAGAGAGATCAGTGTGAGCATGTGATTCGCGTATTGATTGATTGTTTGGTTCTTTCTACTACTCCTAATTGCGGTGCAGATCGGAGAAAGCAGCAGCGGGTGTGGGGTGTACCTTGGGGAGCGAGCCGAAGGAGTCGCCGGAGAGCCGAGCCGCGGCGAGAGCTGACGCAGCGCAGACTGCACGTGCCCACCGCCACAGGCAGCACAGGGGGGAGCGAGCCGCGGCGCCGGCGCCGATGGGAGATTGGGATCCAGCCAGCCAGCCAGCGAGCTAGGGTTTGGTTTTCTCCCTGAATCGGAGCGGCTCACCCAGCCGGCTCGTCTCTGCCTTACTACTCCTTCCACTACTGGTTTTGGTTGGGTTGGGCCGAGTCGAGTCGCTTTTACCTTTGGACGGCTCGGCTAATTCAAGACCATTTTCCTTTTTTCTGATTTCTCTTAATAAATACTCCTTAGTATCTTTTTTGTGATTAAAGATGCCAAAATACTGTTCGCGCATAGGAAGAGTAATACTGTACATGTTTTGTGATGAATCTTTTGCAAACAAAAAAAACTAAGGACTCCTCCGTTTCGATTATGGACGGAACAAGCGAAACGACATATTTGTAAATAGAAAATAATTTGTAAATAAAATTTATATATATATATATATATGTTCTAGCAATCTAAAAGTAAATGCTGAAAAATAAACTACGATGAAAAAACCTCAAAATCAACTCCAAATTTAAAATTGAAAATTCAAATTTTGACTTATAAGTATAACCATAAGCCAAAAGATGAGGCTATAAGCTTAATTGGCCAATATCCATTTTAATCTCATCAACTGAGGTTACTGAATTCTTAACACTACTGTGCTAGACAAGAAACAGGTCAGGAATACAAGTGTAAAACTTTGACAAAGTAAAACAAAAATCATTTACTACTACATGTGTTCCTTGGTGTCTGTCAATCCAACAACATAGATCATCTCTGTACAAGTACAACCAAATGGCACAAATCCAGGTGAGAAACCGTGCCCCTCCCTGCTTCACTTGATGTTCATGTCTTCTTGTGAGTGTGTTTGTGTCGCACAAATTTTGACAATTTAACCCTTTGTAAAAACTAATTTTACAAATGAACCGCTGCCAAAACTTATTTCAAATCTGACCTTTTTGCTCAACGCTAAATCATGTGGCGCGGAACTTAGACACCTCAGCGCCACGTCAGCTGGCGCTGAATGCCGTGCCACGGCGGATGGGAGACTAAGTCAGCGTGCCAACGTACATTCAGCGCCATACTATTTGGCGCTGAGGTGTCTAAATTCAGCGCCACACGATTTGGCGTTAAGCAAAAGGGTCAGATTTGAAATAAGTTTTGGTAGCTGTTCATTTGTAAAAATATTTTTTGCAAAGGGTTAAATTGTCAAAATTTGTGTTTGTGTCGTGTGTATATGTACCCAGACAGCTAGCCAGCTCAATCTGTCAGTTGCTCCTTTGGTAAAACAAATTCATCGGATTGATCCAATCAGTGAGCTCCTAACTCGCACTGCAGCCTGCATCATCACAAATTAATTTGTGATGCATGGTGACTTCATTTTCTCTTCTTTGCCTTTGATCTTTTTCTCCATAGCACGCCCAGCGGAAGGGTGAACATTGGGAAGGGGATTTTAGGCGGTGGTACGCTGCAAAATGGGGAAAAAAAAGGATTTGATCTTCCATCGGCAGCAATATGTAAGAAGTGTAAAGAGTACTATGCAGGTAATGGCAGAGTTCAACTGAACCATTTTGGGCGTGTTTTGTTGCTCGCATCCCCCTAGTATTAACTACTCCATCCTTTTGGGTAAACTAGAGTCTGAATTCATTTTTTTCTGAAAGGGTGAAGCTTTAGCTGCAGGATTTCGCCTTCTGAAAACCGTTCCTCCCTGAGCTGAAAATGGTGAGGAGGATTTGTTTCTTCTATCTAACTATTCTAGTTGTATCTCAGATAATTGGGAGTTGATTAGGTGATTGCTGATTGAGAAGAGAATTAACAGGTGGTAGTACAGGATAGTACTTACTGCAAATTGATGGTCTCGATTTGGGTGAGCTCGGCGTTGAAGGAACCGTCCCGTGCCGTGGCGTGCTGCCTGATGCCAAGAACCCTGCACCCAACCCTCCTCATTCGCTCGTACGGGTTCGTCGACCTGACGCAAAAGCAAAATTTCAATTCAGTTCAGTTCAAGTTCAGTATATCTCAAGAGAATTCAGTTGAGTTGAGTTGAGTTGAGTTGAGGAATCATTTTGATGTTACAGTTAGAGTTAGAGTAGAGGTACCTGTAGAGGAAGCTCTTGTCGTGGAGGCCGACGACGAGCGTGGTGGCGGCGAGCTGGTTCACCGTCGCCACCACCGTCTCCCCGACCTCCCCCTCCCGAACCACTATCTCCACCTTCGCCTGCATACCATTTCACAATTCAACAAGATGATTAATTGCTTCTTTCTTTCTTTGTTTTGAGTTGACCCAACTACCACCATTGATTGATTGATTGGTTGATTGGTTTACCTCCGCGATGCCGTTGCAGAGCTCCCTGAAGGCGAGGGCGAGCTGGAAGCCGCCGAGGCGTAGGCTGCGCCGCCTCCGCCGCGACCTCGCCGGCGGGCAGACGTGCAGCAGCGTGATGCAGTCGCCGGCGCGGATGAAGTTGCGCACGGCCCACTGCAGCGCCGCGCGGGCGGCGCCCACGTCCTCCACCACCACCACCACCCTCTGGCTCTCCATTACTTTCTCTGTCACACAAACACACGCTACCTACCTCTATCCTCTAGCCTGAGATTATCCATCCATCCATCCATGAAAGCATCATCAAGAAGAACTCGCCATGAAAGCTAGCTCCTCAAGAAGCCTCTCTTCTTGAAAGAGACCCGGTGAAGTGTGTGGAAACACAAACAAGAGTAGTAGATGACAACAGAACGGACTAATACTAGCAGTGGCACAGTGCTAATTAGTACTGGTACGTAGTTAACTTAAGTGTGTGATGTGCTAAGCTACTGTGCGTGTGTGGTGATGAGTAGCTGAGCTAGATACAATGGTGACTGATGGAGGATTAGAGTAGTAGAGAATCATCAGCTGTAGATGGAGGACTAAAACAAATGATGAGGTGGCCATGCCATGACACAGACACATTTGACATGGGACCATATACCTGAGGAGGAAGAAGAGGAAATTTAAGGGTCCCCTACTGTTTCTCTCAACATGATACTCCTCCTCTCTCATCCTAACCACTACTTCTACAATTCAATTGAAATTGATTGGATCCCTAGATAATATACTAGTTTAACTTCCGTCTATGTCATGACTCGAACCATACATGTATATATGGCTTGGCTGCTGGTTTTTGCTTGCCATTAGCAACAACATCTAGCTCCATGCGTGCATACAACATGGCTCTTGTTTTTGTATGGTTTTGTCACGCAATTTGGAGGTTAGGAGTGGATTAGTTCATTGGTTTAGGGAATCTTGTTAACCCGTCTTAACAAATTTCCTATCAATACAAATCGATGGACTGCGACGTGTCCTACCTGCTGCCTATGTATGCGCATTAGTTTAGTTTAGAGAGGACAATGTTTAGAGATTGTGATTGTGAGACGATCAAACGAGACCGGGTGCAGACCCCTCTAATTTCGTGTCTGGTTCTATTTTTTATCTCTTTTTTTATTGCTGGATTGGATGGGTTTACAACTGGAAGAACTTATGTCGTCGTCGTCTTAGCTAGTGTAGCAGTTGATCGATTAATTAGGTGTAACCGCTTAAAAAACGTCCGGTGATGGCAGCGGATTATATATGTCATGCTAGTGCTTACGGATCAGTAATTATTAGTGGCATCTTTTTTTTTGTTTGTTAGCTACCCTATGCTTTACATCTAAATATACTGTTGTGATGTATACCCATTAACACTGATTGAGAAGCTAATTAAGCAGCTGCTGTTGTTTGAAAGAAATAATTATTACAGTATTAAGCTGTGTTCAGAAGCAAAGCAGTGCTTCCTCACGAAACACGAAGCAGCAAACACACGACGCATACAAGGCTACAGCACTAGATATGTCGGAGGTAGGAACAAAAGGGCCATATGCAATATAATGCAGCTTTTGCCTAAGCTTGTTCATAGTTTTGGTTGCAAGTGTTGTCTTCTCTCCTTGGCTTGGCACGCGACTGAACTGGAGTAGTATTTTTCTTTCCTGGGGCACCGTCTGCATCATCTATAGCTTCCTTGTGTACAAGAAAATAATGCTGCTCGTTTGGTGCAGCAGTATCGCCGTGTTTAGTTCTAAAATTTTTCTTTAAACTTTCAACTTTTTCATCGTATCAAAACTTTCCTATACACACAAACTTTTAACTTTTCCGTCACATCGTTCCAATTTCAACCAAACTTTCAATTTTAGCATGAACTAAACACAGTCTATAACATCATGTGAAGTTTGGTCTACCTTTTGAAAGCAGCACTGAAAAGGGAGAATCGCCATTGTGCACTGCGTGCTTTCTCGTGCCTAATGTGTTGATGCACGTGTGCCTGTTGCCATGGTATTGGCCGGTATGCAAAGTCAAGCCATAGGCAAACTGAACCACACACCAAGGAAAAGAAGAAAAAAAAAGGATACACTTGAAAAACGGATAAGCCACCGACGGACGGAGTGCAACCCCACAGCCACACCGGCGGCCGACCAGGCTCACTGTTTGTACTTCACTGTGCTCTCAAGTCTCAACACAAAAGAAACCGCCACACTGGTACCTATACCACCCACCAGTTTGCAGTTTTGCACAACTCTGCATTCTGTCTCTGTTCAGCAAAATCAAACAAGAGCGGATCGCAAGAACAATAGGCATAAAAACCGTTGTTCAAATTCAACAGTCCATATTAATATGATAAACTTGATGATTAAGCACTTCAAATTCAAAGTCAAAGCAATCTCTTTAGCATATAAAGGTACAAAAACAAACAACACAGCTAAGTCTAGAAAAGAGACAAAAGAGTCACCGAGTGAGTTAAGCCCAGCATGGTGTACCAGGAATGAGATCCGCCTATACAAACTAAATCCCACTCGCATGGTAACACCCTAAAGAGTAAGAGGCACACTTTGCACCTACTATATATGATGATAGAGCATCAGCTGCCCCCATCTACTGACAACTCTAGGGGTATAAACCACCGGACATCAAACCTATACGGCCCCTGCCAACACAAGGGGCACGCTAAGTTCCATTTATTTGGACAACAGTAAGAGCTGGTGCATCATGGTGAAGGATACAGCACCAGCCGGTATGACTGACAGTACATATCTGCTATCATCATCAGCCCCTTCAGTAGGAACCACGGTGAGGGTAAGAATTACCCTGCCCACCCCTTGCTCCCATGCTTCCATACCCTCTGCCACCGTAGTATGACCCACGGGCGCGACCGCCGCCACGGTAACCACGCCCCCCACCACGATAGGGCTGGCGATGCCTTGGGAAATCACCAAAAGTCTGCACAAAACAACAATCAGCAAAACAGTGATGGTACAACATCAAGAAAGCAGGTGGACCTTGTACCTCTGTATCTAGTTTGCGCTGTTCGGAAAATCTTGACCTCCCGTTTTGCCCTCCACGTCCAAATGTTCCACTAGTGAGGGAATCAAAAAAGTCATCCTTGACATAAACAGGCTGCATTGAGGTTGAAAGACATGTTTTAGTTATTGCTGAAACAAACAAAACCAAATCTATGTCCAACAAAATGTTATCATTAAACCTTAGCAGCTAGCTCAGGATTTTCTGTTTCCTCATCCTCCAGGTCTTCATCAAACACATCATCGCCCAGCTCACCATCTTTGTCCCTTGAATGGGATTTCTTACCAAGATGACCCCAGACTTCATCTTTGTTAAACTTCTCATTCATGGCCATGAAATCAAATTCTTCAGTAAAATTTGTTACTGACTGCGAAAACTGCAAAACAACAGACTCAAAAGTATTAATACTTCAATCAATACCAGATGCTCTTTAATAAGCAGCATCATAATCATATAAAAACATGAAACATGATCAAGATATTCCCTTACAAGGAAACAACATGAATCATTCCAAGGTTTGTGGAGTGTCATTTTCTTAAGGGCATCTTCGGCTAAGTTTAAAATTAATTTGGTTGCTCTATAAACTGCAGAGCCTCAAACACATGTGCCTTAGACTTTTACTCAAATCACTAAACCAAAGAGAGAGGCATTATGGCATTGCCTTGAGTTCAGCAAAAAATATTCAATATTCCTCCATTCCAACGGAGGCCTCAAGTCCAAGCCTTTGGAAAAATAGGAACCATAGATTTAGATGCATCATGTTTTCAGTTCCTTCACAAGTTTGTAGATGCTAGCATGACACACATTGTTACAGCCAACAGTTTTTTGAAGGTATTGCATAAAAAGATGTGTGCTTGGAGTTCTTTTTACAAGTTTTACCAGGTCATCTTTAAAAAGGAAAATAGTTTGATTTCACAATAAAATAGTTTTAGTTATTTAAGTGTTGTCTGTGGGGGAGGAATAGAATCTGTTAAAGATAGAATTACTATTATAATTAAATGCGTAGCATACAATAGCAAGGGGAGCTGCAAACACCAGGGATAACAAAAATTGTAAGACAATAGTTAAAGACCTACAAATAAGAGCACAAAAGTTAAAGAGATACTCAAAAGGTATAAAGTGTCACTCATACCGCGCTGCCTCTACCTCTTCCACGGCCCCTGTAGTGGTGATTGCTGTGTGAACCAGCTCCATTGTACTGAAAAAGAAAACAGAGAAATAACATACTGAAGGGCATGCGTACTAACTACAAACAAAGGAACACTGAAGGATACAAGAGATAATCAAGACATTTACTACTAGCACATTTGTGATGTTAATATGACAAAATGGTGTTCCAAAATCAAGCTTGACACAAGAAAAGATGTAAAGGATAGCAAGTGAACTTTCAGTACGGATACAGAAATTATACGATTAGGAAGGCGTATCCAAGTTTTCAAGATCAGGGTAGATATTGCCTACTTTTCTTTCAGAAGGAAAATTTTCACCTCACCTTGACCCATAGATCATAATTTCAAAATTGATCCGTGCTATTATAAACTCGACGAGGATATGCACTGAAATACTATGTATCACTAATTTATGTTTGAGCATATGTTTGCAGACGAGTAATGACTGGTTCCTTGTCTTAGAAGTAGAAGAAAAGAACTAAGACCAGCATGTTGATTTTATCAAGCCAAAATAGGGAAGCTCATGCTCACTAACTCAAAAGGGCACTAGTTTCCTGCTACAAATGTGAAGGAAATCACATGTCCAAATATGTAAAGATGGTTATACACATAATGAGCAGGATTAGAAAAAAAAAAGGAAAATATTTTCTTGTAAAGCACAACACGGGTGTAGAAATGCTGATGTACCTTTTGAGGTGTTTGTTTCGGCAATGGCAATATAGGCTCATTATTTTCAGGAAGAGCACGTGACGGTGGATCAGGTAGCAATGGTTCTACAACCCTAGTTTTTGATTCAACTGCCTTGAAATCTTTGCTGCTCATCTGTAAAGGTGTCTGCATGGACTGAGATGATGAAAGCATCGATGGAGCATTCTGCAGTAGTTGACCTGATGATGCCAACAAAGGTACGGGCATATCCATATGGGCTGAGCTAGATGAAGCAACAGTCGAAGAAACTGCCTGTGACACTGATTGGTATGCCAATGTTGAACCTGGAATATCCGCAGTCTTATTGCTCACAAGCGAACTAAAATTATGTGGGGCCATTGCACTACTTTCAGCAATGGATGTTGGCAGGCTAGCTAAAGGAAGGGTGGCGCCCACAGATGGAACTGGAGGAGTAAACAAAGGACCCATGTTCGGCAGAAGGGGCTTTGAAGTTTCTGGAGATAGTAAGTTAGCAGAAGAAGGTGCTGTTGTAGTGGGCAGGATACCTGAGGAAGGGCCTTGGGTAGTACCAGGTGGTTGCAGCAAGGGGGGCTGCAGTTCTGACAGTTTTTGTGGCCCTGACGATAGAGTGGGATTCAATCCTGCATATTGGAGACCCTGGGGAACTGATAATCCTGGCTGGAGCAAAGGAGGTTGCTGCAAATGAGGTGGAAGCCCACCAGGTGGATAATATCCCTGCCAATACATTGGGGGAACTGAAAGGCCTGATGCATTTCCAGCAGAAGGTGGAGCAGAGGATCCCCATGGAACACTCCCAGGTTGATATAGAGGAATATTGCTCTGAAAACTTGGCCTCTGAAGCCCATATTGAGCTGCCTGGGAGCTGAGGTCTGGCAATACTGCACTTCCAGCAGAAGGCAAACTTGAAGAAGCCGATGCTGGCTGAGAGTAGTGCGACTGCAGAACAGAATTGCATGAGTTGTGCGGCTCTAAGAAGTATTTTTCAATGTTTTTGTTTCATTGCGGTACCTGTATTATGGCAGGATCATTGTGCGGGGCAGCTGGTTGTGGTGGTGGCGGTGGAGGTGGTGATGACTTAACTTGCAAATCCTGGAGAAACAAATAAATTGGCCTTAGGTAGAGATATGGTGCAAAAGCATGTTAAATCAAATAGATAGAAGATAGTGAAAAGGACATTTTACAGGAAACATGTCCTTGAATCTAGATACAAATTGGATATATGCAACCGCGAAACTGACCAAACAAAAACACTTCACAGACTGGTTAATGCTACCATAGCCTAATATGATGTTACTATCAGCTAACTTAACATTTTGACGCAGTAAACAGATGGCATAAATTCAACAATCAGTGCACAACATGAGCAATCACTCATGAATATTTGGCATTACGTAGGCATCCTTTTCATGCTTCCTTGCCCCTGCCAGTCTGAATCTGAGCCCACCCAATGAAAACAAGGCAAATAGTAACACAAGAGAAATATTCCACGCGTGCGTTTATACAAGTACAAGCATGAATGGTTTCACAAATCAAAATTGCACCAGTGATCCTGTTCATAAAGCAATATACCTTGATATCACTTCCCCGGAAAAGTATGTACTCATAAACTTTGGTGCTAGCAGGAATTTGCACTCCATCTTTCTTGCGCCCTTCGGTTCCAAATGATCGAACTAGAGAACAACAAATGGACAGACAGGTGTAAAACAAACATTGGGATGAACAAAGCGTCTAACAGTGCTGGAAGTAAAGCAAAGCGTAGTCAACACTTGAGTTGTACGGATACGAGAATAAGCATCAGGTGGCTTAAAAAATCTTTTAAGAAAAACTAGTCGCGAAGGTCAACATTGTTGCATCCCAGAAATTTCAAATTGAATAACACGTAGCTAGGTTGGGGGCTGAGATTCACCTCACGGGGGAACCAAATCTAGCGCTGAATCAAGCGAATCTGAGGAAATGAGAGGGGGAGCGGGCGCGGGGGGCGGGATGGAATTAATACCATTGCGCAAGCCGATGCTGGACTCCTCGGTGTTGATGTTGTAGAGGATGCCCTCGTACCTGATCTCGCTCTTGGATGTCAAACTGATGAGGCTCCCGATGTACGAGTCCGGCGAGGCCGCCGCCCCGCCGCCGCTGGAGCCGGCCGCGGCGGGGGGCCCCGCGGAGGAGGAGGTCGACGACGACGGTGGGGCTTCCGCCGCCATGGCCGCCGCGGGCGCGGGTGTGGGCGAGGGCCGGGAGCTAGGGTTAGGGATGCGATGCGATGCGAAAGAGGGAGAAACGAAACCCTAAGCGGCTGATCCGTTTGGGATGTGCGCTTTGGTTTGGATGGTGTTTTAGCCTATTAAACGGGTCGTTTGGGTTAGTTTGGGAATTGGACAGGACGTGGCTTCCATCGGAGGCCCATATGTTGCCGTTTTCTTGCTACCAATGCAAGAAGATGCCTGATCAAATTTACCTCTACTTCGATTTAGTTTAGTCCCTTTTAAATGGCTTAGACTTTAGAGAGCCCAAATTACAAAACAACGAATGAATAGTTTGCTTTTTCATGATTTAATGGTAGGCCACAATGAAAAATAATGCCCCCAACTGATAACCTCTCTAAAACTCTATCTGACAGCTTCCCATGTAGCCAATATTTTTTTTCTCAATCATTTCTTATCATTATTATTATTGTTGTTGTTGTTCGTTATGATAGTGATATAAATAATAATTACTATTTGTTGCCTTCTTTTCCTTGATCCTTTATTTGATATTTGTTTAGATATATAATTGTGCAATTACTCGTGTTTTTAAATTAAAATATTAGGTTGAAACGTGCAAGCCCTTATAAATGTCATGTCTTATTCAATGGACTATCTTTTTTTCCCTGATTACACGGTAGGTACACATACAACACCGCCCTCACGCACTCCGCTAATGTGTCCTCTAACATATAGAAGAGACAGAAACCAATAATACATGGTTGAGTTTACTAAAGTTGTATTGAAAGCTCGTTCTACTGCCTATCTTTTATGTTGTTATCCTTGCACATTAAAATTTCGGAGGATCAACCGTCGTGTGTCCAAACTTCCTAGGCAGTTTTATCCCACTTCGATTCTCCAACCAGGATGAAATATATGTGCGCACTCAAAACGAGATAGTAAGTCATTAGCATATGATTAATTAAAATTTTATCATTTAGAACTTGAAAAATGAATTTATTTGATTTCTCATAGCAACTTCTATATAAAAACTGTTCGTACAAAATAAATCGTTTGGCAGTTTGGTTCATTCAGCCATTATGTTTAGCAGTAGATTGATTATCTTGTCAAGTTGCAGAAAATCCCAGGTACGTCGTCCTACGTAGCAAGCAGATGGATTATCTTATCCAATCCAGCCACGCCTCGTCACTCGCCACCCACACTGCGCAAGCGCAACGCATATGCCAAATCGCCATCCTTGCGATGTGATGCGATGCGATGCAGCTCTCACCTCTCGTCTCGCCAGCAATGTCGCACCAGATTCTCCACACCTCCAACCCCACGCTGCCGACGCCACCTCAGCCGCACAACCACCACCCGCCGGTGCCGCCACCGCCCAAGCTCGGTCGCCGCGCTGCGCTCGCCATCGCGGCCGCTCCGGCCATCCTCAGCGCCACACCCGCACCATCCAGAGCGCAGGAAGCAGCAGCCGCCGCCGCGGCGCCCTGCATCGCCGACCTGCCCGTCACCGCCAAGGCCTTCCTGGACGTGTCCATCGGCGGCGAGCCGGCGGGCCGCATCACCATCGGCCTCTTCGGCGACGCGGCCCCCGCCGGCGCGTCGCGCTTCCTGTCGCTCGTCACGGGCGTCGGCTACCGGCGCAAGGAGTTCGTCAAGATCGTGCCGGGCTACGTGCAGCACGGCGGCGTGGTGTCGTACCCGGCCATCCCGGCGGTGACCGAGCGGCTGGCGGCGGAGATGGGCGCCGTGCGGGCGCAATGCGGCGGGGAGAGGAGCCCGCACGCGGCGGCGGGGGCGGTGTCGATCGTGGTGAGGGACCCGAGCCTGCCGCCGCCCAAGCCCAAGCTGGTGGCGCGCGGCGGGAAGCTGGAGGTCGACCAGGAGCAGGTGGGCGTGGTGCCCAACGGCACCGAGTTCGTCATCACCACCGGCGACGCGCCGGAGCTGGACGCGTCGGCGCTGGTGGTCGGGAGGGTCGTGGACGGCATGGACGTCCTCGGCAAGATCGCAGCCGTGCCCACCGTCAAGGATAACACTGCCTCTCCATACTTCAGGTCGATCACTCTCACTCCAGCTAGCTGCTTGAACTGCATTTTGTTGCATCAATCAAACTGAATAGTACTTGCATCTCAGCTAATTAAGTCTGGATTAGACTGAACATGTATTAATATCACTGTGATTGTGCAGAGTAGCCAAGTTGATCGGGGACAAGAGAGCAGTGGTTGCAGAGCGAGGGTTCAACCGCCCATACACCAAGATCCTAATCACCAATTGTGGAGTCATTGAACAGCAGCAGGAGCAGTAGAGTGCTTTGTTTCTGCCTTGCCTTTCATGTCTCTAGTTTGTGCAAAGGGTAATTATTATTGGAACTCTGTTTGCAAGAGGATTTTGATTACTCATGGACTGATATAGGCGATGGAGAGGATTAAAAAGGATTGTGAAGAGATGAGAGTCTTTGTAAAACGCATGTCACACTGTGCTTACAGAACACCAACTTATGTTATTAAAAAGAGATGGAGGATATATTGACTAATTATCACTTGGGGGGAATTTAATGAGAAGGTTGATGAGATCACGGGCGACGCCGCATCTGTCTTTCATCTTCTGGTCGACGTCGACCATCACCGAGCTCACCTTGGCGGCGGCGAACGCCGCGTCGCACGTGTCAGCGGCGCCACTCGCCCCGGACACCAGGCGCGACGCGGCGGCGTAGTCGCCGGAGCCGAGGCTGTCGTGCGCGTCGATGTCGAGGTCGTTGGCGGCGTCGAAGTAGGCGCCGCTGCAGGCGCGCAGCGCTTCCCCCTCCGGCGCGCCGCCGCCGTACCTGCTGGACCTGTCGTTGATGAGGGCCCCGGCGTCGCTGGCTGCGGCGACGGCGAGGTCGAGCGCGACGCCGGCGAGGTCGGAGACGGTGGAGGCGTCGGCGCTGTCCGGGTTGGCGGTGAGCACGGCGACGCACTTGGCGTTGTGGGTTTTGTTGCAGGTGGTGGCGATGAAGCCGGCGTCGGCCATGGCCACGGGGACGATGGTCGAAATGGACAGCACGACGACGAGCACCATAGTCGTCGTCGTCGTCGTTGCGTAGGTCGCCACTGCCATTGCTACGGCATCAGTGTCACTTCCATGGTGCAGTGCATATATAGTAAGTAAGGTCAAGAATGGTGATGGCGCGGTAATTAATCCCGTTGATTTTGTAGAACGCGATCAACCTTTCCGTCCGTTGATGGGAATTGGGGAATTCCATTTGTTTGGGCCGGAAGTGGATTGTGGCTTACGTGCAGCCCATATGGGAATAAGATCACTTTGACTCCCTCGACTGACCACCGAATCTAAATCATATCCCTCAACCGCAATACCAGAAATCTCGACCCCCGGAACTTGCAAAACCGGTGCAATTTGACTCCCTCGCCGGTTTTGGGAGGTGGTTTCGCTGACGTGGCGCGTGGCGCCTATGTGGCGATATTGACCGAGTCTTCGGTCCACGTGGCGTTGACGCGGCACTTACGTGGCAGTAGAATTAAAAAATATGCGTAGGACCTATTAGTCATTCACACAAAAAGAAATGTGGGCCCACTGACATATGGGGCCCACATGTCAGTCCTCTTCCTCCTCCCTCTCTCCCTTCTCTCTCTTTCTCTCCATCTCTCCCCTTCTTCCCATTCGGCCGGTGGGCGAGAGGGCAGCGAGAGCGAGCGGCCAGCCCAGCTCAACCTCGGTGGGTAGGCGACGGCGCACCGCTGGGGTCCACCGACGATCGCAACGGCGCACGGACGAGGGGAGCGGCGGCGGCCATTGGGGCGCAGTGGAACCAGAGCGGCGGCGGCCATCGGAGCTTCTTGGGCGCCGCCAGCACCGAGTTGGCGGCGGTCAAGCAGTGGAGCGACGCGGCGCACATGAGCAGGACGACCCTCGGCCTTCTCCAGCGGCCTCCTCATCACCCCCCGTGCCAGTCGCTTCGTCACTAACGACGACCCCGCGAGCCGTCAGAGACCACGCCGGTAACCGCGAGGACGGGGATGACGAGCGGCGGCAAGTCGCCGCTGCCGTTCCCCTCGTCCTCCCACTACCGCGAGCCACCGCCGTCCTAGCCGCCGATTGCCTCCCCCGATCCGGTTCCGATGCCGTTAGCCGCCCTCTTGCCCGTCGGCCGAAGGGGAAGAAGGGGAAAGAAAGAGAGAGAAGGGAGATAGAGAGGAGGAAGAGGACTGACATGTGGGCCCCACATGTCAGTGGGCCCACATTTCTTTTTGTGTGAATGACTAATGGGTCCACGCATATTTTTTAATTCTACTACCACGTAAGTGCCACGTCAACGCCACGTGGACCGAAGACTCGGTCAATATCGCCACATAGGCGCCACGTGGCGCCACGTCAGCGAAACTACCTCCCAAAACCGGTGAGGGAGTCAAATTGCACCGGTTTTGCAAGTTTGGGGGGTCGAGATTTCTGGCGGTTGAGGGATACAATTTAGATTCGGTGGTCAGTTGAGGGAGTCAAAGTGATCTTATTCCGCCCATATGAGTTCCGTAATCTGCATTGGCAATCCGGGCCCTAAGGCCGACTTATATGGGCCGCCCGGTGAAGAAAAAGCGGAGGAATTAGGGATTGTGATCAGAGTCCACATTGGATCCCTTTTAATGGTAGAACTCCGGGGCGGCGGCGACGCGGATGGCTGCCGTTGGTTGTCAACGACAGCGGCGGCATCTGCAGCTACTCCTAGCTAGCAGATGATTAAAAAGGTAATTATGCTTGGTATTGTGATCATCAATTGTACTCATGTGGGGGATCGATGGCCATGGCTATGATCTATACTTACTATTCTAGATGGGTTGGTTGGAACCATGTCACCCTAATTTTGTAAAATTTAAGACTAGATATATTGGACCGCACGACCATTTCATCTCTTCTCATCCATCGCCAGCCCAGCTGCATCTACAAATCGCTAGACGCCATACACACTCCCTGTATATACTAGTATCTTTTTTGCATTGACATCTGATAAATCGCCAGCTATTTGCACTTATTGATTAATAATTAATTTGTCCTTTCCTTCCCAATCCAAAACGGCATCATCCACGTAGTACATACTCCTACACGGTACGCCCAGATGATGAAGATCCATATATACCCAACAATACCTACCTAGTGCCATCGATCGGTCAATCCTTCCTTGTTATCCTACTAGATGATCTGTAGTAGTAGTAGCAGTTCACTTAATTACGCTGAATGTGAATGTACTAGCACCACTGGGACCTAGTACCACCAATAATTACCTTAGCTTGGGTCTAACATCCCCAAAAGGCAGTCAAGTTCTCATTACCAGTACCTCATCATCGTCTTAATCTCACTACCCGTACCCTACGTACGTACGTGCATGAATACTGCCAGATATGCATCCATGATCCAGCCATGGAGAAATCAAGCTATCAGACTAGTATCAGCAAAGCAAAGCAAAGAAGCATAATGGCAACAATGGAACGTTCCAAAGCTCCATCCATCAATGCAATGCAATGCATCATCATATAGGACTCACTCTGTAACTCTGGGCTAGCAGGTTGCTCACTTCAGAGCAGTATACTGTATACTCCATGATCAGTGAGCAGTGTATACTGATGATATACTAGTATTACCAAGTTACATACCTGTACTGAATGGAATGATGCATGTATGGGCCAATGCAACTCGGAAAGAGAGGTCCGGTCCCCAACCCAAAGAAAATCATTGTAAATCTGGGATCCCCACACATGACATGACATGGGTGCATCTCATATCGATCGCCCAATCGCAAGCACCGCTCATGTTTTCGCATGCATATGGTCCCCTAGCTAGCTTGCTGCTCTCCACTCCAACACTCTCTACTGCTCAACCAAAAGCACCTCATCCGATCCCATCTGCTCTCTTCGCCTGCATTTCCTCTCACCATCTACCGTCCTACTGCTCTGTTATTACTCCTGCTAAACACCACCACGTCTTACTGTCCTCTTTACCTGGAGTACTCCTCCTTAATGATTCTTGAGTCTTCGGCAAATTCTGCTGCTTATCGTTGGCTTCATCAATGTGGATGGATGTTAATAGTAGTAATACGTATCATCCTTTTTGGCTGTTGAGGCAAAGCAGATTTCTACCCATCTGATCCTGATATTCTTTTGGCGTTTCAAAAGAGAGAACAACTAGGAATGGTCTGGATATGGAACAGTAGTAGTACACAAAGGACTGCATCACTTAAATTCAGAAGCATCCACCACCACTAATGTCTTCCCTAGGCCAGTTAACTGTCTAACAGTCAACTGACAAGTCAGTAAAGAAATTACTCCTCCTACACCATTGCAGTGCAGGCATGGCATGTGGTTAGTTACCGAAAAACAGTGAGAACTACTGGTGCTGGTGCTAATTCAGGGAGCCAGAACTAACAGTAACCTGCATTTGCACACTGATCAGAATTCAGAAAAGAAAGACGGTTAAAGCACTCTCTAATCATGATGAGTACTCTCCTCCTAGATCGTCTTTGGTTTTGTTTCTCTCTTTCTTTCTCAGCCTTTTGGGGGTGGTTTTGTTTGCAGTTGCAGAGGTATCGATGGCACTAGTACAATTGCAGGAGTAATAATAAAAGACCAGCCGATGGGTGGCCCATCATCCTCCATCGTCTTTTGCAGAAAGAGCAGTGCACCAAAATTCAGACAGATCCATACAATACAGATACTCCTACTACAGGGGTACTAGTCGTAATGACGAGCTGATTGATCCATCATCACGAGTCAATCATACACTTAAAAGGAGTCGTACAGGAATCATGGCTCGATCAAGCTGACACTGATTGGTTTGCTTAATGATAGCTGCTGCTAATTGAAAAGCCCTAATTGCACGGGCTCTTTTTTTCCTTCCTTTCATTCTTCAGATGCAGTGGCTGCTGCCGTGCCGGTTACTACTACTGTTGAGCACCAGTAGCATTGCGTTTGCAAGGCTTTCAGCTGCTGGATGCACAACAATATGATACTGTTCTGCCTGTGCATAATCCAGACATGTCTGGCGCTCGTTGGCAAGGAGGATCATCATAGATTTCTGGGTTATTTGGTTGGTTGCCTTACTTGACTGATGGGCATGTGTTGCTGGGATATCCATGTAGTACTATACTTGAGGCAAATATGAGGTTTGACTCAAGTGTCCGAAATGGCTTTTGGTGGACTGGAGAGGAATCGAACTGTTGCAACTCGATGCTGAGCGAAAGGAGAAGAAGATGAAAGAAGGCGGCAGGCATCGCGTCGACCGTGCCATGCCGTCTGCCGCTGCCGATGCCCCCACCACCAAAATGTTCGTGCAATTTCTGCAATGCTCCGTGCAATGGACTGGAGGAAGCAAAGCAAAGCAAGATCTCTGTTTGCCTCACCTCGATCAGTGCCTGGCTGGATGGATGGCTGCCTATGCTATCTCGTGCATGCATGTCTCTGTGCTGTCCTTGCTCCTCGATCAGTTTGCTTGCTCATCCATCCTCTGTCAACTGTGATTTTGTGATTTGGGCCCCGTTTAGTTCCTCAAATTTTTTTCCCAAAAACATCACATCAAATCTTTGGATACATGCATGAAGCATTAGATGTAGATAAATAAAAAAACTAATTACACAGTTAGGGAGGAAATCGCGAGACGAATATTTTGAGTCTAATTAGTCCATGATTAGCTATAAGTGCTACAGTAACCCACATGTACTAATGACAGGTTAATTAGGCTCAAAAGATTCGTCTCGCGGTTTCCAGCCGAGTTATGAAATTAGTTTTTTCATTCGTGTCCGAAAACCCTTTCCGACATTCGGTCAAACGTCCGATGTGACATCCAAAAATTTCCATTTCCTCAACTAAACACACCCTTGCATTTGGTCGCCATCTCGACCTGTTAATTTCTCAACGAATGGGTTTTTGCCCTCGTCTCCGATCTCTCGCCGGTATAGCACGCTTCGCTAGCACAACAAGGAGTGGTAGCTCGAGTAGTCAGCCTGCAGTGTCGTTACGCGTAGCTGTGGGCATCAGATCTCCATTTTTTACTCCTCCACTACTCATCACCATCTAGTGATAGGAGTATGTGTAGGATCGATAGGATAGCAGCAGCCAGCGTTGCATATTGCATTGGGCACTGTGATTGATGTGTGATGCGCGCCCACACCGCAGGCACAGCCACAGCCCACAGCAGCCGCCCTAAAAACCAACGATTCACATGCCCCCTACCCCTACTATACTTTTCTCTGCAAAGCGGAGTAAAGCCGAGTAGCTCTCCTCTCTTCTTCTCCTCTTTTACTCTCTGCTTTCTTTCACCATGGGCGGCTGAAGCTTAACATAAGCATACAAACAATTTTTTTGAGAAAATGAACACAAGCATGAACAGTTAAACACACATGGTGTTCATGTGCCACAATGTTAGGAGTACAATTGAACCCACGTCATGGCAGGTTTATAGGCTGCCGGTGTTTCGCCTTCACAGATCGATTCTAAACTCTTGAGGCATCCTCATTATTTACATATTATTTAAACAGTTAAAAAAATATTTAAAAAACAATAAAATGAATTAATAATAAAATCCAATAAATCACTCTACATCAGGTCATAATTAACTTATACAAGTTGCAAAAAGAAATTTAACTGTAACTATAGATATACGTTACCTAACTATAGTTTAATTGGTTTTTCATAACTTGTAGAAGTTAAACCTCTATGTTTGTAGAGTAAGGATGTGTTCGAATGCCCCTCTTCCCAACCCCTCTCATTCGTTTTCCATGTGCACGCTTTTCAAACGGCTAAATGATGCGGTTTTTGCAAAAAGTTTCTACACGAAATTTGCTTAAAAAATCAAATTAATCCATTATTGAAAAAAAAAGCTAATACTTAATTAATCACGCGCTAATAGACCGCTCCGTTTTCCGTGCGGAGGCACTATGTTCCCAACCTGAACATGTGAACACAGCCTAAATCTATCTTCTTTTTTTTAATTACTATTTAAATAATATGCAAACAATAAGGGGATATCTTTTCTAGAGATTAAAATCAACTCCTGATTATAAGTATACCGTTTATTAGCGACAAAAATAATTTATATATACAACTTTTACTTCTATATATAGGAGTTCTTAGCAACTTAAAGACAATGCTGAAAAATAAACAACAATGATAAAAATATCAAAATTAACTTTAAAATTATGTTTTAAAATTTTAAAACTGGGTTGCTGCTGATAAGCCGAAGACCAAACAATGAGAACGTCGATGTATTATACAAAAATGCCCCATACATTTCTGATTGCTCCCATACGATTTGGGCGGGGGCCAATCTAGTTGTCAACTTCTACTACTGCTAGGAGGAGTAGTCACATGATCCAATCTCTCCTCTCCTCGCCTACAAAACCAAAGCCACACTCCTTCCTTCCTTGGGATCCCCAGACCCAGTGCAGGGTTGCAGCGCTTTGCATAGGAATGTCTCGCCTTCCTCCTCCTCCTCCTCTTCTTCTTGCAGCTCATCGAAAGCCACATAGTATAATATTCGCCACCTAAAAGCCCACCACATCCATCCATCTTGCTTGCCACACACCCAACACTCCACACAAGTCAGCTCAGTGACCGCCATGGCTGCTGCTGCCTGAGCTGAGCGAGGAGTACTATATTGCAGCGTCCAGACCAGTCCAGGTCTGCTTGCTCGGCAGAGTGCTTGTTGCGCCAAACAATGAGGCAACCACAGAGCAGAAAGCTCCTGCAGCTGCAGGCTCTTTCTCTGCTGCTCTTCATCATCGCCCTGCACAGCCGCCTCCATGGCTGCTCGGGCCAAGGTGAGGCGGCGGACGGCTCGGCGTCCACGGCGGCGGCTCCAATGGAGGAGAAGGAGAAGAGGGCTCTCTACGCGGCCATCGAGGGATTCGTCGGCAAGGGCTGGAATGGCTCCGCCCTCTATCCTGACCCCTGCGGCTGGTCTCCCATTCAGGTTTCCTTTCTCTCTGCACACACCACTACTACACAGTTCTTGATACTAGTCGCTTTGAGCAAATTTCTGTTCTTTCTGTGAGGCAAATTCATGGTTCAAAGGATCTTGGGAGGGCAGGGTGATCTGCACTAGAGATTTCTTCATTAAGTTATGCACCAAGAGTGCAGCTTGAGATATTTGTGCAATTATTTTTGTTTGAAAGATCCAAATTTTAGCAGTATCCTTGTAGTATGTTCCTTCTTTGTTTCAATTTCATCTTCTTGTGTGTAGCCTCTGTGTTGGTGAAGTGTTTCTGCATTTTGCGGCTGCCCTGTTTCTCAACTGTGGCTGAGTGAGACCTCTGAAAACATTGGGTCTCCGATGTTACTCGATATAGGAGATTCTCTTGGACAAGAACTTTCCACTCACATGAAAAGAATCTCTCTGATTTGAAATCTCCATGTTTTCTTAACATACAGGTACTACAGGAGTATTCTCATGTCTTCTCTTTTCATCTCATGATATTCTCATCCCTTGGTTCTTTTGCTGTGGAGATGCTCCCTCTTTTTTCCACTACATTTCACCGCTCTGTCTTCCTTTTTCCCATCCCTGCACTTTGAGCTGCTGTTACTCACTCATAAGCAACAGTTGCTCACGACTCGCTCCTTTTATGGCATGGATCTAATTAACACATTAGTATTTGCCCTCCCAGAATACCATAATTACTTACATTTTGATGCTGATATATAAAACTGACGAGGAAATTGGAGCTGCTATAAAAAGGAGCAAATCTCTGTTACTACATTAATCAAATTCTGTCAACCATGTGATCCTTCCATGTCTGTTACTACCAGTAGTGTACTACCCAAAAATTCTGTTTACTGGCCCGTCATTTGGTACCTTTCCATGTGTGTGAAAGTGGTGACAGCTAACATTTGTACTGTAAATTCCAAAATTCAGGAAAAGAAAAGCTTTAGCTCCTTTTATTAAAAAGTGTGTTTGTGAATTCAAATTGAATGGAGAAAAGCAATTAACAGGATGCCTCTGAATTTTGTTGCAGGGAGTGTCATGTGATCTGTTCAATGGGCTGTGGTACCCAACAGTGATGAGCATTGGCCCAGTTCTTGACAACTCACTGCGGTGCTCTGCTGATGCCAAGTTCAGTCCCCAGCTGTTCGACCTCAAGCGCCTCAAGACCCTCTCCTTCTACAGCTGCTTCCCGGCGACCAACCCGACTCCCATTCCGGCCACCAGCTGGGACAAGCTCGCCGGCAGCCTGGAGACGCTCGAGTTCCGCACCAACCCTGGCCTGACGGGGCCCATACCGGCGTCGCTCGGCCGCCTGTCGAGCCTCCAGTCGCTGGTGTTCGTCGAGAACAACCTCACCGGTGCCGTGCCCGCCGAGCTCGGGTCTCTGGTGCGGCTGCGTCGGCTCGTCCTGTCCGGGAACGGGCTGTCCGGGCAGATCCCGGCGTCACTTGGTAATGGGCATTTCGCCGAGCAGCTGCTGATCATGGACGTCAGCAACAACTCTCTAACCGGCTCTCTGCCTTCGTCGCTAGGTGGCCTCAAGGGACTCCTCAAGATGGACCTCAGCAACAACCTGCTGCAGGGTAGCTTGCCGCCGGAGCTCGCCGGGCTCGGGAGCCTGACATTGCTTGACCTCAGGAACAACAGCTTCACCGGCGGTTTGCCGTCCTTCTTGCAAGGCATGGCGTCGCTGCAGGACCTGCTCCTGTCGAACAACCCGCTGGGAGGCAGCCTGGGGCAGCTCGGGTGGGAGAGGCTGCGCGGCCTCGCGACGCTGGACCTGTCCAACCTCGGCCTCGTCGGAGCCATACCGGAATCCATGGCGGCACTGACCAGGCTGAGGTTCTTGGCGCTCGACCACAACCGGCTCACCGGCGACGTGCCGGCCAGGCTCGCCGAGCTGCCCAACATCGGCGCGCTGTACCTGAACGGGAACAACCTGACGGGGACGCTGCAGTTCTCGCCGGCGTTCTACCAGAGGATGGGGAGGAGGTTCGCGTCGTGGGACAACCCGGGCTTGTGCTACAGCAATGCCGCGGTGGACGCGGCGCACGCGCCGCCGGGGGTGACGGTGTGCAAGGTGGCCGGCGGCGTGGGGGACGGGAGGAAGCCGGAGGCGAGCTCCAGCCTCATGGCCACCTCGTCTGCTTCCAACCTCATCAATGGCTTCTGCTTCTTCTTGTGGATGGTGGCCACGTCTCTCTTGTAGCCAAAGACAGACACCAACTTTCAGAATCTTCAGATAGATGGAACAACATGAAATGAAGAAACTGATTCTCTCTTAGTTTAGCTTGGCTAGTGACTAGTAGTGCTGTTCTTACTTTTGGCTCTCTTTTTTGGGTGTTTTTCTGATGATGGAAAAGGAAGAAATCCTGGTGGTCACAGTAAACACTAGTCTGAAACTGTGTAGTGACGAGTACTAGCTTGGTTGTTTTTTTTGGGTGTAATTAGCATGTTTCTCATGTGATGTTTAATTACGGGAAGTGGATAATGGATATAAGGTAAACTGCTCTCCTTGTCTGAAAATATTTTGCTCTGATGTGAGAGTATATATTTACTAGCTTGGTAATCATGCATGAGTCGGTAGCTAGATAGATCTTGACAGCCGTATATATGAGTTGGATTAGCTGAGGTCTGAGATTGGGCTCACATATGCATACGTATATCATTTATCATTGTATTTCGGTATTGCTATATATATGGCACATATTTTTTTAAGAAAAAAACAGTCGTTTTCCTGGCGGTAGGATCTCCCTTGATTTTCATGATTTTCATGATTAGCTTCCCACGCTGATTGCCGATTTTTGTCGAGGTGTATATCAAGGATGACTTGATGACTTGATTACTTTGTTATTAATACTCAAAGGGACATGTGATTTTGTGAGTAATTATTTTCTACTTTGCTAGCTTCTTTCTTTTCTCCAAACGGACATGTGATTTGTGAGCTTCCCTCTTCTTTTTATCGTGATTACATCCTAAACATATTAAAATTATATATGTAATTTAGACACTTACATATGTAATTTTTGTACTTACATCCTAAATACACTGAAATTACATATGTAATTTAGACACTTACATATATAATTTTGGGACTTACATACTCTATACAATAAAATTACATATGTAATTTAGAGACTTACAATATAAAAACATACCGACTATTTTTTAGTGAAAAATATGGCGCCATAAATATAGCTACTCTCTTGTATTTTTGTTTTGCAATACTAGCATTTTAGCTTGACCCAAGTGCTAGATAACTAGACTTAAAAGAAATCTGTATATGAAAATTTGAGCAAGTAAAGTTGCCTTGGTAGCATCAAGGAATAGCTTGAGCTTGATGCTGATGCTGCACATAATATGCCTGAATGTATTACCTCCGTCCTAGAACAGTAATGTGGTAGTAGTGGTTTGGATTGAAGTAGCTCAAGAGATCAATTAACTGAAGGAGAGCAATAGGAAGAAGGAAAGAAAAAGAAAGAGAAGTGCTCCTAGAAACAACACATGCAGGGAGAATAGAGGGATGATGATGATGATGTTGCTGTTGCTATCGAAGAAGCTGTTGGCTGATGAGCAGAGCACGGAGGGGATGAACGATGAACGATGATGATCCATGGTACTGTATGGTGGTCGGATCCGATCCACAGCACCGATTGATGGACAGTGTTTCTTCACTGCGTTCAAAATCTGACAGGCACCATTGAAAGGCTCAAGACTGGAGCAGCCGGTACTACTCCAGTAGCCTGCACACCCTGCCACTGCCGCCATCTACTGGTACTAGTGGTAGAGTAGATACAGTACTCATGCTACTCTGCTTGCCAGTAGTCTTGGCTGACATCTTGGATGACATATTGGGCTGTGTGTTTAGATCCAAATTTTTTGATTCAAACTTCAGTACTTTTCCATCATATTAACCTGTCATACACATATAATTTTTCAGTCACATCATCTCTAATTTTAACTAAAATCCAAATTTTACGCTGAACTAAACACAACCTTGACTGTCATCCTATGGAGTGTCAGGAGTAGTTTTTGATCAATAATTGTCCTAGGCCCTTGTTTTAGTTCCAAACTTTTTCTTTAAACTTTTAATTTTTTCATCACATCAAAACTTTCCTACACACATAAACTTCTAACTTTTCTGTCAGATTGTTCCAATTTTAACCAAAATTCTAATTGTGGCGTGAACTAAACACACTAATGACAATGGCAGGAAAGAAAATTTGGTATTGCAATGGCAACGTCCGTATAGTGTATCGACATTGCTATTGGTATTGGTATTGGCATCGTCATTGCAAGCGGTACATTGGTATTGGTATTGCAGGGAAGGGAGGAGCAATGAAGCAACTACGAGTAGCTAGGATGCAATGCAAAGCCTAGAATAGCTAGAGGATGGATCAGCTCGATCTCCTCTTCCTCTCTTCTCTCGCCGGCTCGTCCGTGCCTCCCGGCATGTTCTCACTGTACACTATGCTACAGTGCTAACCATAGGCTACAGGCTTTTTGGGCGTGACTGATCAATTATCAACAGCAACCAGTAAATCTGTTTAGGCTGAGTTTAGTTGTTTTGGTAAAAAAAAACATATACAAACACACATTTCAAATATTAAACGTAAACTAATAACAAAACAAATTATAGATTCCACATGTAAACTGAGACGAATCTATTAAACCTAATTAATTCGTCATTACCAAATGTTTACTGTAACACCACATTGTCAAATCATGGCGTAATTAGGTTTAAAAGATTCGTCTTAACATTTACATGCAAACTGTGCAATTGATTTTTTTTCGTCTACATTTAATGCTTCATATATGTGTCTAAATATTTGATGAGAGGGAAAAAATGAAAGTTTTTTTTCGTGTACATTTAAAATCTGCAGTTTGCAATGCAACCATACGTGCAATGTTACGGACGGGAGAGTGTGAATGAAAACGTTCAAGGCGCAAGTCATGCCAGACGTCGACTCACTGTCACTCACTGCTCTGCCCGATGATGTGTACTTATGGCTTGCTTGTACTACACCCTGCTCTCTGCTGGCACTGAGCACAAGCGTACTGTACACTACTGGGAGTATTTTCGTTTCATTTCAATCGTATCTTATTCACATCCATCCATCCATCTGATGAGAGCCGGCCGGCAGGCCGGGACGCCCCCCAACAGAACCTATCTAGTTAGTGAAATAAAAGATTTTGGTGTCACATCGAACGTTTCACCATATATTGAAAGTAGTTTTTGGACATGTGAGTTACTATAGTATTTATGGCTAGTCATGGATTAATTAGGCTAAAAAGATAGGTCTCGTGATTTACATACAAACTGTGTAATTAGTTTTTTTATCTATATTTAATACACATCTATGTCCAAAATATTCGATGTGAAGTTTTTGGAAAAGTTTTTGGGAACTAAACAGCCCCAAAATGTCTGTCCATATCATATGCTTGCTGCTCGGCTGACTGAAACCTGTTTCCTCATGCGAAGTGAGAGTAACGAATTGATTCCATTGAAGCCGCCATTTTTTGTTTTATCAAAATTTTGTTAACTTTTAACAGTATTATATGCTCCTAGGTGTTTGATTTGTTATTATTTTTTTACATACGATTAGTTCAAAACTTCAAATTCTATGCTGCTAAAATTTTAGTGCCAAAACTTTCATGTGGTTTTAGCACAACCAGTTTTCCTTTTTGATATGACAAATAAAAAACTCCAAACCAAACTAAAAGGGTGTTTGGCTTGTATACTGACATTGTCTATTGTTATCATAGTTTTCTTACCAAGCTTACCAAAGCTTAAGGTTAAGTTAACAAAATTAACACCACACTTTAGTAAGCAAAGCCACTACTAGTACCTTGCACAATTTTTGAGACAATGGCATGTAAGATCAAGGTGTTAGAAAAAGAAACTTATCACAAATGTGACATAAACCAAACACGTTACTAACTCAATCAAAGCTGCCTAAGTTGTTGACGTATAGCAAAGTATGGTAGCATGTGACCATGAACTAAACAACCCCTAAACGCGTAATTATGCTATGGTTCTTGAACTGCCTCTAGTATGAGAAATTTTTTTTTTTATCATTTGAGTGAACGGCTACCCGTTTATTACATGTCAACTAAATATTTAAGAAAAAAATCAATTTATAATTTTTTTACTGGTTACAAAATTTATTTTAATATTTTGTTACAAGTTGTATAAGTTGATTTTGAACTTACAATGATATTCTCTGGTAGTAGTACATATTAAGGTTGTGTTCATGTGTGTTGGGAACTAATCTTTCACACACACATAAAACGGAGCTGCGGATTAGTGCTGATGCCATGGTTTTGTAGCGGCAGACGCCAGTCCAAAGCAATCCTTGCTGGACTGGTTGATGAACGGACACTGCAGTTTCTGATGCCAAAATTCCAACACACTTTACTGCCACTTTTGTTGCAAAGGAACGGAGTTTGTTTTACAAGAGAAAAGCAAAGCAACAAAATTTTAGCTGGCTTATAAAGTGGAAATGCAAAATCTGTGTGCCAAGCAAATGCTCCTCCACGTGAGCGATGATAATGAACGGACTATAATTTCCGAATGAAAGGGCCCATCTTTTAACTTAGGCTTATATTTATCAGCCAAAATTTAAAATTTAACATAAAATCTGAAGCTAATTTTGAGGTTTTTAATCGAAGTTTATTTTCCAGTCGTCGTTTTTAGATTGCTAAAAATATGTATATGATAATTTTATCCGCAAATTACTTACGGCTCCGGGAGAAAACATTGTGAGAGATGAAAATAAAACAAAAATGCAGGGGGTTGTTTGTAATTTGGTATTGTAACTCCTCGCGTGGCGTGCTTGAGGCTGTCCGCGCTCTCCGCCTTGGTCTCCTCTCCTCTCCTCGCTTTCCATTCCATTCAACCATCTCAATCAATCTCAATCCCAATCCCAATCAATCCCTCTCTCCATCTGGTGCTCTCTATCTGAGGAATCCGAATCCGATCAGGGGAGGCGAGGCGCGGCGGTGATCGGCGATGACGGACACGACGGATGACATCGCGGAGGGGATATCATTCCAGGCGTTCGAGGACGACTGCCGGCTGCTGGGCAGCCTCCTCCACGACGTCCTCCTCCGCGAGCTCGGCCCCCGCTTCATCCACCTCCTCGAGCGCATCACCATCCTCGCCCAGGTATCGTATCCATCCATATATGATGATGATGATGATGGTGATTCGATCCAATTAACACGGTGCGTGCAGAGCGCCGTCAACATGCGCTCCGCCGGGGTGGAGGACACCGCCGTCGTCGTCGAGAAGCAGCTCGGCGCCGAGCTGGCCGCCATGTCGCTCGAGGACTCGCTCTGCCTCGCCCGCGCCTTCTCCCACCACCTCAACCTCATGACCATCGCCGACACTTACCACAGGTGCTTGCCCTACACATTCACATTCTCAAATTGTTTTATTAATTAATTGGAGGATCACCTCTTCCGCCGCCATTAGAATCTGCAAACTCACTTCATAAATCATCATAATGTGTTTATCTTAATTACTCCCTATTAACCTGAATTTATCATGCATGTACGGCCCTCAACACATTTGTTGTACCACTCCATTTTCAGAATGTGCTACATACCATTTTTTTTGTCTGAATATGTGTTACTACAACTTACTGCTAGTGATAGTGAGGACTGCATTATCATATTTGGCGCGAACAATTTGAAAGCCAAACACTGAATTTACAGTTTGTTTGTCACACTTCAATTAAAGAATACTGATAACAACACGGGAGTTGTCTTCTGTTTGGGGTACCTATTTGTCATATTTGGGAAATATAAGTATACCTGTTCGTGATAGGGATGCTACATTACAGTAGCACAGATGAATCTTTGATTGCAATATGGAATCCAAGAATTCCGGTACATATGTGTACGGCATTACAAAGTCGGTCCACCGGTTAGTTGTTTCCATGTGACCCTCCTCAGACAGAATTGATTGAAGGAACCTTACGCTCGCACATGGTAGCTTCATTGTGGTTTCCTCAGATGTTTTGTCGTCAGTTGTCCGACTGTTTTTGGAACCTAGCAAGGCCATTGAGCATCGCACTTATTGTCGCAATTACCTCTTATTATGGTAGTATGTCAAGTTTTAGAACAGCTGAGACTTCATGCATATGCTTAAGAAATAATTACCATCAGCATGTTGCAGACTTGCAGTACATCTTTTTCATTTCAGGAAAATGTTAGTGTTGCTACGTTTTTTATCACCTGAACTAGAATGTTTACCAATTTTGAAAATCACCCAAAATCTAGAGCTTGGCATTTTTATGTCTTTTAGGGTTCGTAAAGCACGCAATTTCGCCGACCTGTCGAAATCATGTGATGATACATTTGCCAAATTGATTCAAAGTGGTGTTAGCCCGGAAGAACTCTATGACACTGTATGCAAGCAGGTAATTTCTCACATTAAGCACACATTTTTCATACATTGTATATTATGAAAGTTGCACATCATCAAATTTATCTGTGTATCTTGTAAGAAAGTCACACATGATCAAATTTATCAGATATTCGACCTTTACAGGAGGTTGAAATTGTTCTGACAGCTCATCCAACTCAAATCAATCGGCGGACTTTGCAGTACAAACACCTTAGAATAGCTGTGAGTTAATTTCAATAGTTTCATACTTCAACCTTGATATTGCTATTTTGTTGTTTCAATTACCGATGAAACTGTGCTGCAGCACCTTTTGGAATTCAACGAACGTGCTGATCTTAGCCTCGAGGATAAAGAAATTCTAATTGAAGATCTGGTATAACTTCAAAGGATCTTCATAGTTTTATTTTTCCTTTTCCTAATGTGTTCCAATCTTTCTAACTTTGAATTATGTAGGTAAGAGAAATCACGGCAATATGGCAGACTGATGAGTTGAGGCGCCATAAACCTACACCTGTTGACGAAGCTAGAGCTGGTTAGTAACCATCTATTTTCTGTTTTTGTTACTGCCAGTATTCTCATGATTCCATCTTTTCTTTTGTAGGCCTTCATATTGTTGAGCAATCGCTCTGGAAAGCAATACCACACTATCTTCGCCGTGTTAGCAATGCTCTAAAGAAGGTATAAATACATTGATTGGCATTTGTTGAATTCCACTTCCGTTTGACTCATTCACGAGCGGATATAAACCCTCCTACAATGCTTTTCTTATAGAACACTGGCAAGCCACTTCCGCTCACCTGCACACCAATCAAATTCGGTTCATGGATGGGTGGTGACCGTGATGGGAATCCTAATGTCACAGCAAAAGTAAGATCCACACATTTGAATTTGGTCGTTTTATTATGCCTTCTCAGTATTCACTAGTATTTCCTGTACATTCTTATGGTGTGTTGCGTTTTTCTACCTTTTGCTTATGTTAATTTCGACATGATCACCATTCTGAAAGACTACAATGTTTCATTTCTGAGCTGCAGGTTACTAGGGATGTTTCCATTTTGTCCCAATGGATGGCAATTGATCTGTACATCCGGGAACTAGACACTCTAAGCTTTGAGCTATCAATTAACAGATGCAGCGAGAAGCTTGCAAACTTAGCAAATGACATCCTGCTCAAAGGTTATTTCATGATATATCCAAGCTTAATCCATTTCAATCTCAACAGAAGCTCGCCTGCCACCATGAATTGTGGCGCTTTTCGAATGCCTAGTTAGTTAGTTAGTTCATTAGCTAGTATAATGCATATTATTGGTTGTGGTACTGTTCCTTAAACAGTAAGGTGCACTGTAACAGCACTCTTATTATAGGGATTGTAATTTTAGTTTATATATTAGATATTTCCTTTCAGTTTATAACTATCTTATAGGTCCCCTTTTATTAGTTCCTACCCTTTGGGCTCTAGCACCTTTTTTTTTTTTTGACGCTGAAAGGTAGAGAGACTATACCTTATAACCATTTTATTTATGGTGGGTGGGGTACTAGCACCTTTATATGAAGGGACATTGCTCTAATTATCGGGAAGCAATAAAGAAATAATAAGTTTTTCCCCACCTCTTGTCTTTATTGATTTATTCTCATCTACAGTATACACCTCATCCTTTACATCCCTGTACTGCCTAACCAATTAACCATTGTCTGGATGGTATTTCCCCTATTATCTTACGATCATTGCAGCACATCTCTGTCATGTAGAAATAATCTTGAATTTGTTTAGAATAGCCTCACCTATTGTACATACATATTTCAGAAAATAAAAACTGGCTCATTCTATGTTGATATTTTCAAATGAACTCTGCAGAATCAGCATCAGAGGACCAGAAGACCAATACCTGGAATCAAACTGGACCCCAGAACAATCTAAAGCTTCAGCACAGCTTGGCCCTTCCTGCACAGCTTCCTTCTGGTGCTGATCTTCCATCATGTACAGGTGGACTCCTTGTTGGAAACTTTATATGATGCATCATCTAATATGTATTTCACTTAAGTTCACATCTTCGGGTCATTGACTTATACTCTCTCAGTTTCATATTATAAGACGCTTTGACTTTTTTCCTAATCAAACTTCTATAAGCTTGACCAAGTTTATATAGAAATGTAGTAACTCTTATAACACCAAATTAGTTCCATTAAACCTAATATTGAATACATTTTCATAGTATGTTTGTTTGGTGTTAAAAATGTTGATATGTTTTTCTATAAACTTGGTCAAATTTAAAGAAGTTTGATTAAGGAAAAAGTCAAAACATATCATAATATGAAATGGAGGGAGTACTAGTTTGCACCAGCAATTCTATTACTTGGTGAGGCGGACTGACATGCTGTAGCATTATGTTAATATAAAAAGGTCTAATGTTTTTGTACCAAATGCATAATAGTCCAAGGGGAGCAGTCAGCATTATGTTGTTAGGTCTAGTTTTTTTGTAACAAAATCCAAAATCCTAATAGCCCAAGGAAGTTTTGTAGTTGCATAAAATATTTTACACCAATTTGTTTGGTTACTTTCGGCTTCCTGATTTTCTATCACAATTTATGTGTTAAATAAGCAATACCTAAGTTATAATCTGGAAATAATAAAAACTTATTTTATATTTAGAACCAGTAGGCTTCATTAATGAAACTGAAAATGAATATAGAGGTGTTCAAGTCTTACAGTAACAAACTTATTTACTTCTTCACATAAGCGCATTCATGACACCACATCGATAAATTTTGGGGGGAAAAGTGCTGGATCATTATTTCCGTATTATGTCTGACACAAATACCTCATGCTGTCATCCTTGTAATCAATGTAAGACTTGTGTCATCAACTGCTGGATTAAACCATGAAATTTACATTGCAACAGCTTCCTCTGTTCCCCAAACTGGATCTGAGGAAAATTTGTGCATACTGCATAGGACAAAAAAATTGGACATGCTATTTTGAAAATTATTTCAGAATGCCAATCACCATGTAAAATAGTTTCATCAATATTAATTAAAGAACATCTTTTGTAACATGGATTTAACATCATGTATCATCAAGTTCATCTGAAATAGTTCAGATGTATGTAACATCTTTTGTAACATGGATTTAACATCATGTATCATCAGGTTCATCTTTTGTAACTGGTGTGTGTTTGTACATATGTATGTAAATTTATTGTCACACCTATTAATGCATTGCTACTATTAATGTGATGTCTATGTCTTCCCATGATTTGCTAATACTGAGAGTAGAGCTTGTATTTGATGCAGAATGCAACGATGGGGAATCTCAAATCAGAATGTCAAAACTTCCAGGGAATCCAAAGCATAAGGTTAGGACAGCTAGAATTTTGTGATGTCTCACACGTTCGACTTCTTTGTTGTACAGAGATCATTGGAAGCACAAACTGTCCATAAAAATGCATTGGCACAACTATTCCAATATGCGCTACATTTTTTTTCAACGAACATTGAAATGACATGGAGTGAAAAATGCTATGGAGAAGCTATGGCATCGCCGGTAGAAATAGCAAAGAATAAACAAACAAACAAACAAATAAAGAACTAGCTGACACTAACTGGATAGTGTAGATAAATTTCAATATATATTTCTTAACATTTCATGAGAATTAATGCATGCTGTGTCTCCTAGTTGGCTCTAAACATAACAGAAAAACGTGAAGACAGTCCATTGCCGTCTCCTAGTCATCGCCCGATGGGTCGAACTCCAAGTGGAGGTCAACTAAGGAAGATGTTCACAGAATCCCAAATTGGTCGATCGAGCTTCCGGAAACTTCTAGAACCAAGCATATCAGAGAGACCAGGGAGTACTCCTTATAGAGTTGTCCTTGGTGATGTGAAAGAAAAGGTTAGAGCCATACTTTATCATTTATTATACGTCTCATGTTTTCTTCTCCGGAAGTAGGCAAACAATTGCCTAGTCTACTAATAGAGGTTGGATTAAGGGATGCTTGATTACCAAATTTGTACAATATTCTTTAGGATTAAATTAATCTCACTAATAAATTCCCAGAGACTCTACTCCTGTTCTTTGGCAATAAAGTTTGGGATAAATTTTATGTGGCATTTTACTATTAAAAACATATATGCCAAAGATACCCAAATAGTTGGACATAGGTACTCTCAATCTTTGGTAGGAAGACAAACCTCAATGAGAACAAGAAGAGATTATGCTATGTATAAACAGTACCCATCTGTTATATTTTTCTTGACCTGTTATATTTTTTTTAACATGGCAAAATTTTTTCCTTTTGATTGTGCTTACCACTCTGTTTTCAGCTGATGAACACACGGAGACGACTCGAGCTTCTTCTTGAGGATCTACCATGTGATCGTGATACTTCAGAATATTATGATACATCGGATAAACTTTTGGAGCCCTTGCTTTTGTGTTATCAATCACTGGTTAGTCTAATTAGCTGATGTAGGGTCGATCACTCATCCCTTTAGTGCTGTACTACCATGATCAACTATATTCTATCCGTGCAAGTGTGTCTGTGTGTGTGCTAGAAAAAAAAACATTTGACACAAACATTCTCAGCATTCTTCAAAATTGCCCTTTACCATCTCCACATTCTTACTGGCTAGGCTTTGATTAGTCGTGACTTGTGAGAACAATCGTTGATGATGGAGTGGGTGGAGGTTTCTTTTCATCACATAATTTCCTTTTTGTACTGACTGTGTTCACATCTTCAACTATTTTATGAAGCAATCATGTGGATCTAGTGTGCTTGCGGATGGCCGGTTAGCAGATTTGATTCGACGGGTTGCAACCTTTGGTATGGTGTTAATGAAGCTTGATGTACGGCAGGTGGGCACATTGATCACTACTGTTTTTATGCTTACTCACACTTAAATTTTCCTGATGTAACTTCAGAATAGCTTCAAGCGAAGTCCAGTAGTCCATTAATGAATAGAATGGCGTTATATTACTGTAGGAATCAGGCCGGCATACGGAAACACTTGATGCCATCACATCTTACCTGGATCTTGGTGTTTATAGTGAGTGGGATGAACAAAAGAAACTGGATTTCTTGACTAGAGAGCTGAAAGGGAAGCGCCCTCTTGTCCCCCCATACATACAGGTCAGTTGTTGAATGTAGACATCAAATTTCCTATCCTAGTGGCTAATGATAACTTATATTTTAGTTGTGATAAATGTTCGTTTACATGGAAACCAGAAGTGTCAATTGAGTTTCATCGTGTGGAACAGTACAATATAAATCCTTCCATGCAAACAAACATTTATCACAAACTAAAAAATGCTACCAATCTTACCACAAATTGAAACTTATACTACACAATCATTTTGTGGTAAGATTGGTAGCATTTTTTAGTTTGTGATGAATGTTTGTTTACATGGAAACAGGAAGTGCCAATTGAGTTTCAATGTGTAGAACAGTATGATAGAATCCTTCAGAAACAGATATAGTTCCTTTCCATATAGTCATTTTGTGGTAAGATTGGTATCACCTCCGCCAACGCCAAAATGGTTAATACTATGCTAACTTCTGATGAATAAGCAATGTTTTATACAGAATTTGATGAGGCATCAGATATAACATCACTGTTCATTCAACATGGATTTTAGTTTTTTTGGGAATACGCATAAGACTTACATATCTTTTTATTAAGATTGAGGGGTGGACTTACAAACGCAACCGATAAAGGAAGCAAAAACAAGAACACCAGGAAAAGAAAAAAAAAGAAAGAAAGAAAGCACAGCAGAGGGTGTTATTTCGCAATTAACCAATTGTGCGACTGAAACCTAGACGAGGAGGCTTAGATCGGCACCCCCGCGCGCCATAGGCTTGCTTCTTCAGCAGCCAAGTTTGCCACTTCTCCCCAGGATCGGCGTTGGTTGTTGAAAGCCTGGCTATTCCGTTCCTTCCAAATTGACCAGGCGACCAGAATAATGATGGTGTCAAAGCCGCGCCTCTTTTGGACATCCAACCAAAATCCCTTATATTTTGGGATGGAGTATTTTCTTTTACAAGAAAGATATAGGAAAAGGGATTGCAGTGTTGGTACATAAGAATATTTGAATGGCAACTTTATGGTTGCATACTTCATTGTAGAAGAGAAAAAGGGAATGGAGATTCACCTTGAAGTGGAAAGACTTACATTTGCATTTCCTTTGTATTCCTTTCAGGTTACTGCTGATGTGCAAGAAGTTCTTGATACATTCCGTGTTGCTGCAGAGTTAGGAAGCGATGCACTTGGAGCATATGTGATTTCAATGGCCTCAAATGTATGTAGATACGCAAGTCTTATGTAGCACTAAATAATAAGAAAAATCTGAATATCCATCCTGCACTTTAGCGTTCTTGTTAACCCTCACCTGTAACCGGCCGGTGGTTCCAAGCATTTTGCCATGTCATGCCTTGTACCATCTTGATCGCATGGATCAAATGACAATCGTGGCACATTATATTTATCACTCTACATTAAATATGATGTGTTCCTCTGGTTGCAGGCAAGCGATGTCCTAGCGGTTGAACTGTTGCAGAAGGACGCAAGACTTACAGTCAGCGGGGACCTAGGAAGGCCATGTCCTGGTGGAACGTAAGTATGATTATATATATATATATATATATATATATATATATATATATATATATATATATCTCATATGTTCAGTGTGCTACTCGATCAATTGAACTTATGAACTCCCAATTGGTTGGTTTAGTAGTTACACAAAACTAAGAACAAAGTTGATTGTGCAAACTAAGTAGAAATGGAAAAGAAGGAATTGCGCACTGTGTCTCTGAGCTAGCAAGGAAAATTCGACTGCGATCTTTTACTTTGCCAGTGGCTAAGCCAACTGAACTTGTTTTTGCACCATATAGATCGTATATTATGTTTTGTACCATGGCCAGTGTTTGATTGAATAGTGTGTTATATTGTTTGTGAATAGGTTGAGAGTTGTTCCACTGTTTGAGACGGTGAATGATCTGCGAGAAGCCGGCCCAGCGATCAGAAAGTTACTGTCCATCGACTGGTACAGAGACCACATCATCAAGAACCATAACGGGCACCAAGAGGTAGAATGATCGATGGGTTTAGTTTCGAATATCTCAAACTCATTTTGCTTTTGTTTCGGATATCTCAAACTCGATCGGGAGGAGTTTGCAGGTGATGGTGGGCTACTCTGATTCCGGCAAGGACGCCGGCCGTTTCACCGCGGCATGGGAGCTATACAAGGCTCAGGAAGATGTGGTGGCCGCGTGCAACGCGTTCGGCATCAAGGTTACGCTCTTCCATGGCCGCGGCGGGAGCATCGGCCGCGGCGGCGGGCCGACCTATCTCGCCATTCAGTCGCAGCCACCCGGCTCAGTGATGGTGAGCACTGGCAGGCACTGATTAATCAGTCCATTCCATGTGTATGTGTTTGCGAGCTAATAATGAATTGAATGGTGCATGGTGCAGGGAACTCTTCGGTCGACGGAGCAAGGGGAGATGGTGCAGGCCAAGTTCGGGCTGCCGCAGACGTCTGTCCGGCAGCTGGAGATATACACGACGGCGGTGCTGCTGGCGACGCTGCGGCCGCCGCAGCCGCCGCGGGACGACAAGTGGCGGGGGGTGATGGAGGAGATATCGCGGGTGAGCTGCGCGCAGTACCGGAGCACGGTGTACGAGAACCCGGAGTTCATCAAGTACTTCCAGGAGGCGACGCCGCAGGCGGAGCTGGGCTACCTCAACATCGGCAGCCGCCCCGCGAAGCGCAGGACCACGCCGGGGATCTCCAACCTTCGCGCCATCCCCTGGGTGTTCGCGTGGACGCAGACGCGGCTGGTGCTCCCGGCGTGGCTCGGCGTGGGGCGCGGCCTCCAGGACGCCTGCGACAAGGGCCACACCCACGAGCTCCGCGCCATGTACGAGGAGTGGCCCTTCTTCCAGTCCACGGTGGACCTCATCGAGATGGTGGTGGCCAAGGCGGACGCGCCCATGGCCAAGCACTACGACGACGTGCTGGTGCACGACGCGGGGCGGCGGACGCTCGGGGCGGAGCTCCGGCAGGAGCTGGCGCGGACGGAGAACTGCGTGCTGGCGGTGAGCGGTCACAAGAAGCTGTCCGCCAACAACCGCAGCCTGCGGAAGCTGATCGACAGCAGGCTCACGTACCTCAACCCCATGAACATGCTCCAGGTCGAGGTCCTCCGTCGCCTCCGCCAGGACGACGACAACCGCAAGCTCCGCGACGCGCTGCTCATCACCATCAACGGCATTGCCGCCGGCATGCGCAACACCGGCTGACTCCTCTTCCCTCCTCTCCTCTGCAAATTAACTTATATTTCTTGCAACTATATTTCCGTCTGAACTAATTACCGGAGTTTTTTTTCTCGTTCAATTTTCCCTCAAAATAAGAAAGAAACCTTGCATGTAGCATTTTCACATTGGATTGGATATGTACATTGCATGGAGAATGAAATAGCATTATAGACTATAGTGGTGTGGATTGATGTATGTAGTTAAAAGATGAGACCATTGGTTTGGTTCCCTTCTTCATGGGCCGCAACTGTATCGCGACCAACGATCGGCCCATATTGAATTGCCCCAACGGGATTGCTGGGTACGTGCGGCCCATCTTAACCGGACCGGAACGGAAATGTGGGTACGTGCGGCCCACGTTTGTTGGACCGTCGGGGGGATTGTGAGGGTACTGAGGCCCATATTAATTCGGCCGTAAAGTGTGGGATACATGTGGCCCACATGGTTGGGCCGAAATCTGACGTTGCGTGTATGGTCTGAAAAGGCCCAGCTCTCTTAGCCTCGACGAATATTGGACTCCCATCATATTTTCTCTCGGCAGGCACCAGAAAATCGAAACTGAATAAATGAAGGGATCTTTACAACCTCTATGTTCATCAGCAGATGAGCAGATCACAAGTCAGGAAAAGATAAATCTCTCTTTCGATCTACTACTACATTACATTATCTAAAAAATCTACTCGAACTGTAGTAGTACTGGGCTCTGTTCGTATTCGTATGTGAAGGTTCCCAACTCTCATTTCTCGTTTTTCACGCGCATACTTTTGAAATTGTTAAACGGTACGTTTTTTTTGAAAAAAAAAGTTTATATATGAAAGTAGCTTAAAATACATATTGATCTATTTTTTAAAAATAATAAAATATTAATCAATCAAGCACTAATGAACTGTTTCGTTTTCCGTGCTGGAGGGATGGTTCCCAATCCATGCATATGAACAGAGCCATACGCGATGTTCCTATGACCTGAAAGAATCTCAGGATTAATAGAAGAGATTGAATGATGAAGAGCTGCATCTGCAAGCATGTCGGTGTCGGTGCCCGTCCGTCCGCCAATCGAGCATTGCCTTGCATATTTGCATTGCATACGCGCATTTCTCGATTGACTGCGTCTGTCTTCCTCCCTCGCGCCCCGCCCATTTCATATAAAATTCATAAAATTGATGTGAGCTAATCTCATATCGTAGCTGCCAATTGCAGCAACACTTCATATAAAATTATTCTTCTGCTACGTCCAAGGAAGTTTCTTGCCTCAAATCTTGCCCACACAATTGCTTGGAGTACTACCTTTTCTCCGCTGAAACTGTTCTTTCCTGTGTCCTTAATTATATGTACTAAAAGTGAAAGAAAACATTGTAGTACCTCAATTATTGTTTATCATGCATTCCATTCTCTAATCAAACACAATTGGGTATCTAAAGCAAATGCATAAATGGATTGGTCACACGGGATTTTTAAGGACAACACGCTTACATGTTTGTTTGCTCCATCCATTGTCTCCTCGTTGGATCAACGTCAACCTTGATCATATCTAGCTGTTTACTACTCCTACATGCAAAGTTTGCATTGCATGGAAAGCGAAAGATGCAGGAATATCACGACAGAAACAAAATGCTTGTTTAGGTGAGCGGCAGCCAGGGGCGCATCTACCCATTAGGCAGGGTGGGTCGACCGACTTAGCTACGACTCGTGTCGCCCCACACCCTCAAGACCCCCCTTACCCCATTATAGTAGTTATGTGTCATCAAAATTAAGTATAACAAAGTGTGAATACTTAACAAATTGAGTCAGTTATGCGAATGAACTATTAATATGATATGTGTTGTGTCTGAATTCTCTTAACGAGTGAACATTTTCGTTCTCCGCCCCATCTATATTTTAAAGGTGTGTCCACCACTGGCGGCAGCAACTGCCTGTTTAGTTAAAAAGCTCGTCAATATCAACCGAAAATACAGCTGCAATTTAACGTACTCCTGCATGCGACAGTGCGGTGTTGTGTCACTGTCATACCATGAACTGAGTTAAGCTGAGCTGGAATGGTTTAATTTGCTTCTCGTTCTCGCTGGTTGTTAAAAGCTCCTACACATGCCACTGTTCAAACTCATTTTTTTTTCGGGTCACTGTTCAAACTCATTAATCTCACGCGGCAGTCACTAATTCATGATGGAGACCTCAAATAGGAATAGTTTCAGACATTGAGCACTGCGTTTTGCTGCTGTTTAGTGTTTACTAATCCAGATTAGGCCTTGGGAACAGTTTTTCTTCAGGAGTACTGCAAGTATATATCTTGCAGAATAATCAGGCCTCTGGCAGTTTGGCACTTCATTGTACTCGAGGTTTATACTTTTGCTGTATTTACAAAGAACATAGTACTAATGCTATATTTACAATTTTGAGGAAAAAAAAAGGTACGGAATATACTGTATTTACTTCTGATAAAGTTCGAGAAGTGTTACTACTGGTAACTGTGGCGATGAATGATGTCAATTGATGACAGCAGAGCATAGTCTACTACTGTAGTAGATTGACTTTTTCAGTCAACTCTAAAAAACCTCAACATTAATATAGCTAGTCATGTTCAACTCTGAGCTCTTCAAATTCAATCATCGAAACATTTAAATCAAATTCTGCACTACTATTGAACGAAGAACACACTATTATTTTGAAGCAACGTGCTGCAATTTGCATGAGGCGATCCCCAGGTCCATTCTACTACTCTGCTTGGGAAAATGAAATTAGAATCTGTTTAGTATTTGATGCGTACCTACAACATTGACCGTAGCATTGAAAACATTGACCATAGCAACAAGGCCCATCCTTAATCATAACCATTTTTTATGAAGTAAGAAGAGTTTGTTTAGGAGTGTACCAGAAACCAGCTAGTCCACGCTACAAAGATGTTTAAGCAATCTCCTCAGTTAGTTCTTGCACTTAGTCGGTGCAAAAAAAAATGCAAATATTTATTTTAGAGCCAGATCATCAAATTTTTGTTGCAAAGCCGAAGCTGCCGAATCCAACTTAATTTTTTTTCCTTTGGGTCAAACATTTTGTCAAGTCAGATGGGCAATCCAGATTCATAACTAAGCCATGTGCACAGATGTGTTCTACACAGCTAAATTCCAAAGTTTTTTCCCTTCTCTATTACGCAAATACTAGTATAATTGCTTCAGGCAAATGAGACTTTGTTTGTTTATTTGCTATCTTTCGTGTAGGGAAGCATATGAAAACTTTTAAACTTGTGCTTTTGAACTGCTCCAAGGTAAACCAAAAGTTTCTACTCTGGATGATAGAATTGTTTATCAGAGAGAGCAAAATCACACATGTACTGTACAGAAGAAGGGAGGGACCATGCTGAATAGTACTTCGTCTTATGTTGGTGTAAATTAATCCATGAGTTGCTTTAAATACATAGCTTAGGTGCTGTGCCAGATTAAGCACTTGCTAGTTGCTACTAGAGCAACTTTTCTCACTATGGTTGCACCAGAAAGCTTCTGCTTCCTTCTTCGTCAGAGAATCAGTCAGTCCTTAAGATATTTCTTTTGATTCATAGTCTCATCAGTTGTACAAGACCTAATTATAAGCCAAAACAGCTTAATAACGGTAAAAAAATAATTTATAGATAAAAAATTATATCTATGTTCATATAGACTAAAAAGATAACGATGGAAAAAAACACGATGAAAATATTGTAAAATTAATTCCAAAATTAAAAAAAATAAAAATTCAAATTTTAGCGGCCGATTTTTTTAAAGACAAATGAGACTGTCCCAGATGAAAACTGAACCTGTAACACTACTTTAAAGTGTGAATTAGGTGGTGTTCTTTTCTTCTGAAGATAAAGATGAAGTTTAATTTTTTTTACACAAAATGAGGTGTTATTAATGTATGATTGATTAAATTTTAATTACTACAAACTTGAAAAATAGATTAATATGATATTTTAGAGCAACTTTTATATAGAAAGTTTTCACACGAAACACACTGTTTAGCAGTTTGAAAAGCGTGGCATGAAAATCTATATCTCATCCAACTATTTGATGGTGTTGTTGTAATTTGTAACTAGCGATACGGTGAGAATGAAGGTACTGATACAGAAAGTTTATTAGATATGGTATGGAGGTGCTACTCCTAATAAAACACAAATACGAAGGGGTGGAACTGGAAAAGTAGAGAATTTCACACGTCAAGCATTCTACACAACGCTAGTGTACTGACTTTTTCAAACCCCCCCAGCATGGCACTGGCAGACCAGACACTGCGCAATAGTAGTAGCACACTAGCATGTACTACTACACTCCTAATCTCTCTCTCTTTCTCGAGTGGAATCCATTGATCCATTGTGTAGTGGGAGAGAGACTTCTCTACGCGGTCACGGGTTCCCCAGCGGAGGAGAAAGATAGATAGAGAGAGCAAAGAGCAAAAAAATCTCTCTTTTTTCTTCTTGTTGTTTCTGCAGTTACCTTTGTCTTGCCTTCAATGCCACCGCTTTACTGCCGGATCTGAGGAAAGCTCCCATCCTTGCTGAGTTCTTGTGCTGCTTCTTCCACAATTCTTCCTTTTGTTGAGAATTTTGCCTTCCATCTGCTTAATCGGTGACAAAGGTGGTGGGATCTTGCTTCTCTTCCTGCAAGAAAAGGCTCGTTTTTTTGTTTCGCCGTTTGCTGCTTGCTCAGGCAGGAGGAAGGCGATGCTGTTCTTGCTGATTTCAGTCTTCTTCTTCCGGTGGTCGAGGTGAGGTTTGTTGCTACTTCACCTTCGCTTCGTTGCGCTCTGCGGAGAGAAAGAAAGCAAAGGTGGTGGAAAAGAAGCGAAAATTTTGCTTGCTTCCTCTGCAAATCTGAGGAATTTTCTCGCAGAAAGCCTGAATTCCCTCTGAATTCCGGTGCATGGAAAGATCGTCCCCTCCATTTCCAAGAAGAAGAAGATACTAGTAGCAGCTGCAGCTACACTCTAGTAGTAGTGGCTACTAGTACTAGCTAGCCTCCAATGGCGTCCTCACCGTCTCCCTCCCCGGGCACCGCAACTCCCGCCACCGCCGCCGCCGCGCCTTCCACCGCGACCCCAACACCCGCGACGCAGCCCAATGCCACGCCGGCCGACCCCTCCATCACTCCCCCGGCCGCGTCCCCTCCCCTTCCCTCCGCCGCCACGCCACCCCCACAGCCCGATTCCCCGCCGCCCTCTCCGCCACCAGCTCCTCCGGTCGCAGTGCCACCGCCGGCCACCGTGCCACCGCCGCCTGTACCCGTTGCGTCTCCACCACCAACCCCGTCAGCCACATTGCCGCCGCCGTCGCCACCGGCTTCAGTGCCGGTGCCACCTACACCTGCTACTACCCCTCCAAAGCCGTCGCCTGTGCAGCAACCCCCAGTGGCTGCATCACCACCTCCATCGTCTCCGGCTGATTTGCCGCCGCCTAATCCGCCGGCTCGCTCAGACACGCCGCCGGTAGTGCAGTCACCTCCACCGCCGCACCGGAGATCGCCGAGAACGCCATGGGCTCCACCGATGGCGCCGTCGCCTTCTGGAAGTCCTACCAAGCCTTCTCCAGCTAGTCCATCACCAATTGCTGGAGATCCAATCATCCCTACACCCAATAACCCTTCGTCGCCTCTGGCGACGCCATCAGCACCAGGCTCTGGTACTCCTGTGGTGACGCCATCTGCACCAGTCTCTGGCCCTCCATCGCCAGGCACGGCTCCAGCCACGGCAGCTGATCGATCCAACAAGTCATTAAGTCCCAACACGCAGGACGGCAGCGTCTCGTCGAGCGATGGTGGAATGAGCTCAAGTGCAAAGGCGGGCATCGGTGTAGTCGTCGCTATTCTTGTGCTTAGCTTGGTAGGAGCTGCATTTTGGTACAAGAAGAAACGGAGGAGAGCAACCGGTTACCATGCAGGATTTGTGATGCCATCGCCTGCCTCGTCTCCACAAGTGTTAGGTAATCTGATGAAATGCATTTTCAGAAATCGCGCACCTGGAAAATTAAAATCAGTTTAAGTTGTATTACTAGTAGGTGATGAACTGAGCAAGTACAACTCATTTTTTGCCCAGGGTATTCAGGTAAAACTAACTACAGTGCTGGCAGTCCTGATTACAAAGAAACAATGTCAGAGTTCAGCATGGGCAATTGTCGATTCTTCACTTACGAGGAATTGCACCAGATCACAAATGGTTTTGCAGCGAAGAACCTGCTAGGGGAAGGTGGGTTTGGGTCTGTTTACAAGGGTTGCTTGGCTGATGGAAGAGAGGTTGCCGTTAAGAAACTGAAAGGTGGTGGTGGGCAGGGGGAACGTGAGTTCCAGGCTGAGGTGGAGATAATCAGTCGTGTGCACCACCGCCATCTAGTTTCTCTTGTTGGGTATTGCATTTCGGGGGACCAGAGGTTGCTTGTCTATGATTTTGTGCCCAATGACACACTGCACCATCATCTTCATGGTATGGTGGTAACCTTCAGCATATTGCCGCATGAGAGCTCTGCATAGTTCTAGTTCTGTCTGAAAACTGTTTAATTGATCTGCCCTTGTAGGACGTGGAATGCCGGTTTTGGAGTGGTCAGCTAGGGTTAAAATTGCAGCTGGCTCAGCTCGAGGGATAGCATATCTTCATGAAGATTGTAATATTCTTTCTGGTTCTGTACCTTATTAATGTGATCATTTGCACTTCATTTTCATTACATTTATTTCCCTTTTGCAGGCCATCCCCGAATTATCCACCGAGATATTAAATCCTCCAACATTTTACTGGATAATAACTTTGAAGCCCAGGTAACAACATTATTTAGATAAATTGGGAGAGGCGTTATAATGTGACCATTGTTACTAATTGGCTGCTATTCGTGTGTTAGGTTGCTGATTTTGGCCTTGCAAGACTAGCTATGGATGCAGTCACGCATGTAACTACACGGGTGATGGGAACTTTTGGGTAAGTAAATTACTGCCTGCCTTACTGAGGGCACAAGAGAACATCGTACATTTTCATATGATCTAATGATTATTTGTTATGCAGTTATCTGGCTCCGGAGTATGCTTCGAGTGGCAAGTTGACTGAGAGATCTGATGTATTCTCTTTTGGCGTTGTTCTCTTAGAGCTTATTACCGGTAGAAAGCCTGTTGACGCATCAAAACCATTGGGTGATGAGAGCCTTGTTGAGTGGGTAAGCTATATCAGTAACTAGAAATCATTTTTTTTTAGATAATGGAAGATGAGTATATTGAAATTAGTATGTTCAATAAGATTTTTGCCCCTGTATGATCAAATGAAAGCAAATGGAGAAATATATTTTATCAACTGTATTTGAATAGCCAACTTGACTCATTTCAAAGATTCTAATAACGTAGGAATTCACATTGAGCTGTTGATCTCTGCAGTTCACATTTTTTAACTGTGTTTTTATTAGGAGTCAATCCATATAGTTAGCCACTGGTTGAAAAGCGTTCTGATATAAAATGTGGACTGGTCAACTATGAACATCTGCTGAAATCGTGTTGTAAATCAGTCTAAAGAGGGGATCCTTGTGTAACTTACACAATCACTTGCAGGCTAGGCCATTGCTCACAGAAGCAATTGAGACTGGCAACGTTGGGGAGCTGATTGACTCCAGGCTGGACAAGAACTTCAATGAAGCTGAAATGTTTCGAATGATCGAAGCTGCGGCAGCTTGCATTCGACATTCAGCATCTAGGAGACCCCGGATGAGCCAGGTATAGGACTGAACATAATCTCATCACATCTGATTGAACCTGAACCTGTTCATTTTAATCACATCTCTCCTTTCAGGTGGTGCGTGTTCTTGATAGCTTAGCTGACGTCGATCTAAGCAATGGTATTCAGCCTGGTAAGAGCGAAATGTTCAATGTGGCAAACACGGCAGAAATCAGGCTGTTTCAGCGGATGGCTTTTGGTAGCCAAGATTTCACAACTGATTTCACCCAATCTAGCTGGGATAGTCGTAGTAGAGATGTTGATGCCTCTGGTTCGAGGCCCTTGTAATCATAGTCTAATACTCCTCTAATTAGCTAGGGTATTGTTGCATTGGATTTGTTTCATCTGATTTTGTTTTCTTCTTTTTTGTGGCCATCTCTGTCAACTAGGAGTAATGTATATCATGCGTCCCACTAAGAAAAGTGTATATTGATTGCACTGAGCGTGCCTGATTCTACAAAATCTGACAGACAGAAGATTTACTAGTACTAGCCCTTGAAGGAACCAATGAATTGCCTCTGTTGGTGGTGACTGAACCTGCATATTCCACTCTATATTTCCTCAAATTTGTCCTTTCTGAACCAGTTGGTCTTCAAATATGTGCCTCCCGAAGCGGCCATTGCCTAGGAATTGATTTGGTGCCCATCTAATCTCTTTGGAATCCTGAGCAAAATGCATCTCTAGAACTGAGCTGAGCTGACATGACAAATGGAGTAAATGGAATTATGCGTGATAGCTGCATCAGCACTGAGCTTTGAGTGGAGCCAGTGCGCTTTGCACATGAGAGAACATGCGAAATGGAATATATTTCTGATGACGACACACAAGTGGGCTCCTAACTCTAAGCCTGAAGCCCTGAACACGACACGGGCAATCAACCCTGAATTGATTTGAATTGGATTCAGTAGAGAAGATGAGAGAAATTTGAGGTCTGGTCTGGGCTTGGTTTGGTGTCCTTTACAGACAGAAGGGCAAGGAGCCAAATTTGACCCGTGGATATAACTGACTGGACACCACCGACAACTACTAATCGTGTGCACCATTAATTGACCTCAAGAAAAATGTTGAGAGCAACGCGGCAAAAGCAATACTACCACCTGACTTTTGTGTGATGCGATGTGTGCCATGACTGGCACGGCAAAATTCACTGTAGATCATACAAAATTTCTGTCCAAGATAAGGTAGATAATTTACAGCAGATTGATGGTTCCTGTAAACAAAGGGAAAAGGAGCAAAATTTCGCCACGCAGTACAGTAGAGGGCATGTGATGTCTGAACTCTGAACCTAACATGCTCGCTCACCGCACTGCTGACTTAGTACGATTAAGATCTCAAGTTATTTTCCCATTCATAAATTGCCAGATTGGAGTAGGGCCAGGTTCTGAACCATCCCAGTGATTCTGCGATGCTTCGGTTGCACGTATATGCCAATTTGTGTCCAGGGCTATTAATCATTGTAAAGAGTTGCACACTTCGACACTTCACATTGGGATGGCAGATGGCTCATGCCTCTCTAATCTTTGTCTGAACTACTAGGAGAGTCTCATAATTAGGCATCAGAGATTCAGAATCACCCTTCACAATTTTCCCCATTGGATGACTCAATTTACCAAATCGAAAAGATGACAAGAAGACAATGTTATTGCTCCAGAAGTCCAGATCGGGTCATTATTCCAATTGCTAGCTAGTGGCCATGGAGTTTTCTATCCCGGCGCATAGGTGGCGTTCTAGGCTACGGTTAGAGGGCTCTTGAAGTTCTTTTTGTCCCTGCTATTTTGGATAATGAGTTTATTTTTTGTTTCTTTCTTGTTGGCTGTGTGCACTCTTTGGGTGCAGAAGCTGGAGGTGCTCTCAGAATAATTGTATCACTTGATAGAATTTATTGAGATTAATAAAGCTTCCATTATCTAAAAATTAGAAAATTATTCCAATTGTTCATTGCAGATTTTAGTGGCATGAGATGATTACTGTTGAAGAGTTATCAAGCATCAAGAGAATGCAAAGTATTCCTCTGGCCTTCTTTTCCCTTATTATTGCTATGGCCGCTATACAAGTTATACAAGACTCGTGCGGTAGTGCACAGCCATCTTATTTTTACAACGTTCCTTCTATCATTGTACATCATGGATGAACGCCCAGTAAAATTAAGTAATATAAGATGAAAACATAGAGCTACTGTACTTTACAGTTCAGCTTTGTGCTATTTTTGCTCGCGCCAACTTCACAACGAGGAACGTGTAAATAGTGATGGTTGCCTGCATCAAGTCAGATACTTTAACAAATTAGTCTAGGTGGCTATTGTATTTCCTTTCAATGAACACAATGACCGCAGATTGAAAATGCAGAAGTCTCTGATGATACATTGCAACTTACACAAAACTATACATGAATAATCAGTACAACAAATAACTGCATTTTTTTTTGGTTCTCAGACATTTCCAGAGAAGAACAAACATGGGAGGGACTTACATGAGTTCCACAACAAGGGCAGAAGCACCACCACCTCCATTGCAAACTCCAGCAACCCCAATCTTTCCATTTTTATGTCTAAGAATCTGTGGAGCAAAACGTGTTGATGTTTAACAAAGAGGAAGATTGCAACATTTTGCATGCTAAAGGTGCAGATTAAAGAGAGAAAATGGCGCTGACAGATAATTAACATGAAGTAACTAAATCCAAACTTCAGTACAGCCATGAAGTATTTTGCATTTGAGAACAACACGTAATATTTTGATCTGATTTTGAATGGCCTGGTAGCATACCCCGAGCAAAGTGACTATGATTCTCGCACCACTGCAACCAATAGGATGGCCCAGAGAAACACCACCACCACTTAGGTTAAGCTTTCCCTGAAATTTACATGAATGTTAATGAGATCTTCTGGGGATACCTATTTGCTGAATGTATAGTTACATAGAATCTAACAACATACCGAAGGAATACCAAGAAGCTTCTGGTTGGCTAAAGCAACGACCTGTCAAAGTCCAGAAGTATGCAGTTCAGTCTAGATTCACGCTTCAGGTGTAAGTACTGTCTAAATTGAAGAAGACAAGAACATACGGAGAAAGCTTCGTTTATCTCATAATAATCTATTTGTGAAGTTTGGAGACCCGCATTTGATACAGCCTTTGGAATAGCAAGAGCTGGAGTAGTTGTAAATAATTCAGGTGCCTGTGCTTGAAAGGAGTTAGTATAATGAGTATAACAGATAAAGAGCACTGTATAACAAGAGGCAAGGTTAGAAGATAAGGTTGAGAGATTTGATACATGAACGCCACTATTTGTTAGCATGAATAAATAATGGGTAAAGTTCCTTTCAGCATGGATTTGTTTGATAATCCCAGTAAAATAATTGTTCAACAGATAACAAGTCATGTAAGAGTTACCTGAGCAGCATCCGCATACCCTCTGATCCTTGCAATAACTTGAAGGCCAAGACTCTTGGCTTTCTGTCCACTGACTAGCACGATTGCAGCAGCACCATCACTGCGAATTTTGGAAGGTAAACGAGAAGGAAGAGAGGTGCACTACAGTCACACATCAAGTAAACATGCATATAGCATAATTTGACTTTAAACTAGAGAAAATAAAGTTTAACTTTGAAAGTAGTCTAGATTTATTAAATCATTCAAGATGGAAGTGCTGTTCTACTAAATAAAAAAAATCGAATGATAGAATTCAATAAACAAAGGATTAACTGCAAATGCGTTACTTCAGAATATGGTAATGCACTGACATTTGGTTGCATGTTAATACTACTCTGCAAAGTTTTCTGTTAATAAGTCACTTAGAGAATTGTTATCAAATAAGTAAACCTTATACTAGAAGAATTGCCGGCAGTTACAGAACCATTCTTCTTGAAAGTCGGCCCAAGTTTCCTCAGCTTCGCTGAATTGAACTGTGCAAATAGACACACCCAAAGAAACATGTCAGGTCTGGGAAAAAAGTTTAATTGTTGTTGTTTGCACTAATTCAATTTTTATTTTTATTTTTTTGGTTTGTGCTGTTGCCTTCCTTTTTTATACTATATAGAATAATTTCTTGAGAATATGTAAATGGTGAAAATGTCATGCTACACATCGGCATAAATGAACTACTTCCATTAGGAGAAATCATTAGTAGACTACCTTTGCAAGACTCTCATCCTTGTCAACAATAAGTGGTGGTTTCCCTCTACCGGAAGAAATTTCAACCTGAAAAATCCAGAATGTTTTATGAAATCTGTGCCAGTGACTGAAGTGTTGATATGTCATGTAGAAAACCAATTTTAGGTCGGTCCAAATTATATACCCACCGGAGCAATTTCCCAAGAAAATGTGCCGCTATCACGAGCTGCTATTGCACGTTCATTGCTCTGGATAGCATAAAGATCCTAGAAGAAAGAGGTGTTCTTTAGTCCAATGTTAGCTCCTAGATATAAACAAATATGCAAGCGCAGATGCAGGAACATTGACAACCTGCTCCTCCCTTGAAATGGAGTGTTGATCCGCACACAACTCGGCACACATTCCCATTGGGAAATCATTATACACATCCCACAGCCCATCCTTGAGCATCCCATCGATGAGGACGTCGTGCCCAAACCGTGACCCCCGTCTGCATAACATGTTGACATTATACCATAAGCAAGCAAGAACAATGGATGATGGCTTAGTTCGCCGAAATTTACAGCATCACTTGAGGATGGTAACGAACCTTGCTGCCGCGACATATTTGGGGGCATTGGACATGCTCTCCATCCCACCAGCGACAACAACATCATGCATCCCAAGCTGAATAGTCTGCGCCGCAAGCATGACAGCTGCAAGACCCATTTTTAAGTAGCACTAGATAGCAAAGCAAAAGCCGATCCTCGAGTAGCAGAAACAAGTAACAACTGAAAAAGAGAGAGAGAGAGAGAGAGAGAGAGAGAGAGAGGTTAAAATAGCGAAATTACCCTTCATCCCCGAGGAGCAAACTTTGTTGACGGTGGTGCAGGGCACAGTGTCGGGCAAGCCGGCGCCTAGGGCGGCTTGCCTCGCCGGGGCTTGGCCAAGGTTGGCGCTGAGAACGTTCCCCATGAAGACCTCCTGCACGAGCGCCGGCTCCACATTTGCTCTCCTGAGAGCGGCTGGTTGTGGGGAAGCATGGCCAAATCGGATTCAGAGAGGAAGAGGAGAAGAAAACTGAGAGGAGCACTGGAGTTTACCCTGGATGGCGACGGAGCCGAGCTTGGTGGCGGGGAGGGAGGAGAGGGAGCCGAGCAGGGCGCCGATGGGCGTGCGGGCGACGCCCACGATGCAGACGTCTCTCGGCTTGAGCAGGTCAGAGTCCGAGTGCGGAGGAGGAGCCATGATGTGATGTGCTTCTCCGCCGCGCCGCCGCCGGAGTAGGTGGGGGTAGGGAGGCAGCCGCCGGTGAGGTCGACGACGACGGCGTGGAGACGTGGAGAGGTGAAGCGGCGTGTCAGCCTTCTTAGTTAAAGCAACAAACAAGATGCCGTATTGGGCTTCGATTCTACTACCATATGTGGGGCCTTCTATTCTCCTATTAGAATTTTTTTTTTAATTTTTTTATTAAAAGTTTTACAAAAATAATTTTCTATTTCAAAAATTGACAAAAGTAGTCGCCCGCCGCTCTCTGGGAGGGCTATTTTTAAAAATCGCCCTCCCAGAGGGCGGCGAATGTGACGTGGCAGACGGCCGTTTGCTCTCGGGCGACGGCCGTCAATGAAATTTGCAGGCGGCCCCCTTGCCGCCCTCCGCTAGGGCGATTTTACACTGTGCGGGGGGCCGCCTGCAAATGGGCGGCGAGGGGGGGCATGGAAATTTGCAGGCGGCCCCCTTGCCGCCCTGGGGGAGGGCGATTTTACACTGTGCGGGGGGCCGCCTGCAAATGGGCGGCGGGGGGCCTGGAATTTTGCAGACGGCCCCCTTGCCACCCTAGGGGAGGGCGATTTTACATTGTGTTTTATTTGAGAAATAGATATTTTTATAAATAGAAAATTGTTATCAAATCTTTTATATTGAAAACTATACAAGATTAAAATCTCCCAGATTGGTAAAATACAATTTTATTATTTTTTTAGTCTTACGCATACAAAAATTCACCACCATAATTAAACATTGTAATGATAAGATAGATAAGAAGTGCCATCAATACACGGTACAAATTTATTGATCCCGACAAATCTAGCCTGCGGTAACCTATCGGCCCCTTCTAGGTCGGTCAATATGCATTGTATTCTCGTGGTCCTTCAATCGTTGATACTCTACTTGTGTTTCTGACTCTGTTATATTTTGGCCATGATATGATGGAGTGACATTGTCGATCCATCGAGTAAATCCACACATCGTTGGATTGCCCTGAAAAAAATAGTAATGTTATTCAGTTTGGGTAGAAATTTTGTGCAAATCATAGCGGATTTTGGAAACGGTTAGACATATAACGAAATCGTTGTCTACATTGTGGCAGACAAAATATCTCCTTCCAAATGTTTGTTCTGCAAAGGAGGTAGCCACCTGGCAGCGATCTCTGCACCCACACTTTGGACGCTCGGACCATTTAGGTAACCCTAATGGATTGTTCCTCCAGTCTAAGCTTGCAATTTCCACCCGACGTTCGTACTCCATCCAAGCATGAATGAACTGTATGGTCGGTTACATTCTCCAGATCAAACTAAACTACATCTTACAATTAACACTATTGTCTATGTCTCAATTCATACTATTATATTATGTGCTCTGGATCTACACATATGTGCTGTGTGCTACAGATCTGCTAAAATATATGGAACTAAAACTAAAACGCAACATATAGTACTCAAACATAACATATTAGTACAAATGCAAAAGAGGTATGAGAGCAAACCTGTGATGAAGTGAGCGAACCAGCAGGGCTTCGCCGCTCCCCTTCTGCTGCCCTCCCCTCTCTCTCTTTCGTTTTTTTTTTGGATTTTTAGAGATTATAATGAAATTTTAGAGAGGGGGGACATGGTTATACTGGGGGAGGCAAAAATCGCCCTCCCCCAGGGCGGCAAGGGGGCCGCCTGCAAAATTCCAGGCCCCCCGCCGCCCATTTGCAGGCGGCCCCCCGCACAGTGTAAAATCGCCCTCCCCCAGGGCGGCAAGGGGGCCGCCTGCAAAATTCCAGGCCCCCCGCCGCCTATTTGCAGGCGGCCCCCCGCACAGTGTAAAATCGCCCTCCCCCAGGGCGGCAAGGGAGCCGCCTGCAAATTTCCATGCCCCCCTCGCCGCCCATTTGCAGGCGGCCCCCCGCACAGTGTAAAATCGCCCTAGCGGAGGGCGGCAAGGGGGCCGCCTGCAAATTTCATTGAGAGCGAACGGCCGTCTGCCACGTCACATTTGCCGCTCTCTGGGAGGGCGATTTTTAAAAATAGCCCTCCCAGAGGGCGGCGCCCTCCCAGAGAGAATAGCCCTCCCAGAGGGCGGCGCCCTCCCAGAGAGCGGCGGGCGACTACTTCTGTCAAATTTTGAAATAGAAAATTATTTTTGTAAAACTTTTAATAAAAAAAATTAAAAATAAAAAAATTCCTCCTATTAGAGACCGGCCTGTCATATTATGGGCCCTTCTAATATCCTTTTCATTAGCCCACAGGCCTCAAATCCATGGCCTCAATGGGAGGCCCGTATACGATCATGGGCCAGTAATTTTAGTTCGATTCGCATTTTGCTGTCCATGGTCCCTGGACCTGGACTAGCCTGATATTTGGACATGACCAAATAAAACGGAGATAAAATTTTGGATACTTATGGCACGCTTTTTAAACTGCTACACGGTGTGTTTCGTGTAAAAACTTTTTATATGAAAGTTGCTCTAAAATGTCAGATTAATTCATTTTTCAAGTTTGTAATAATTAAAACTCAAGTAATCACACGTTATTACCATCTCGTTTTGCGTAAAACACTTAATTTTTATTTTCATCTTCATTTTCAGGAGATTCAAACACCATCAAAGACTAGTGACCTTTTTTTTCCTCTTCTTAATTGCGGCCATTTTCTCTGATCCGAAATATTTCTAAAAACATGACCCTATAAATCAACAAAAAAACAAAATCATAATTCAATTAGGACTCCATCCAAAATAATAATTGTGAACTCTTTTAAAAATATATAAAAAATCCACATATTATTCTGTGCACCTCCTCCCCGCCCCGGCGATCGGTGCATCCCCAAGCCCCCCGAAATATTCATGCAAACAAGACCCTATAATCAACAAAATACAGAATCATAATTTGATTAGGAATCCATCCAAAATAATAACAGGGAACTCTTTTAAAAAGACAAGAAAAAACTCAAATTATTCACAACATAAATTCAGACTATTTCAATTGGGAAATCCAAACTTTCAGCTTCGAACTTAATTGAATGTTCAACATGAGAATGACTGAATGAGGGGGTACCTCACCTTAACTACCCAGTTAAATTTTACAAATTCCGACTAGTCTAAAAAAAAGTTTACAAATTTCAGAACGATCTCGAGTGGATAGCAAGGAACTCTATGCATGTGTTGCTTGACTGAGTTAGCGATTAAAATGTGATTGTCACTATCCCAATCATCATTACTTAATGATTTCACAATCGATCGATCAATTTTTTTTTATTTTGAGTACTAGCAGATCATAGTCACGTATCGTAAACGACACAAAATTTTGACACTATTTACATTTGTTTCATAAAAAAACCCACAAATAAAAATTAAATGTGCATGCATAAGTTTTTTGAAAGGAGAAACTCTGAGGAAAATGCAACGTGTTACTAAGTTTATATGTGTTGTTTTCGTGCAGACCAAGCGACGAGAGAAGCGTGTGTATATTGTCATGAGCTTAGTTGCAGGGTGAGTGACATGTCACCTTACGTTTCACCAAACCACCAGACTAACCTAACAGAAGATTACTCTATCATTCAACCGACGCGTATAACAAAAGAAAAAACATTTTCTACTTTTGGTTTATGTTAGTTTTAGTGTTGCCTAATCTTGAAACGCAAGTAATTAATAAAGCTGCTCGTCACTGTCGGATCTTCTTAATTGGCTGAGCAACTGGGACTGCAGATCGATCGATCTTCTGCTTTGTGCCGCAGCAACCACCGATCGACTGTTGATCACCCTCACGTCAAATTCACCAATTATGCGTATGAAATTGACAGCTTAATTCGATTTCATTATTTCACCACGAAGCGAGTTGAAATTTGGTTTGGTCTCCATCACAAGATCTGTGCATGATTAGCTGATAGAGCTAGCCAGCTGGAGCAGTAGCTCGATCTGAGTGATCGACGTACCTGCAAAACCATGAGATCAGATTGTGTTGGTACAGTATCCGAGTCTCACACCTAATTGAAGTTGAAGTCTCTATAGTTCCAACTCATGTTGGTACATCCATCGTCCAATGCATGAATGTTGGTATATGAACAAATCAACACGTTTGACACATCATAAAAAATGAACAATTTTTAATAGCCATCTTGTCAATTTAAATTCACTGTAATTTCAAGAAAGCAGCAGGATAATACAGTGATATATACTACTTCACTTTTTTGATGCGTTTGATCATTCGTTTTATTAAAAAATTACATACTTATAGTTTATTTTGTTGTGAGTTATTTTAGCACTTAAAGTACTTTAAACATGATTTATATATATCTTATACATTTATATAAAACTTTTAAATAAGATTAATGATAAATATGTGTTTAAAGTTAACGGTGTAATATATTTAAAAAGGAGGGAGTACTTGGTTTCATTTAATATCCGATGTGATAATTTGGACCTTCAAGTCCTGTTTGTTCAGTGAACGCGTGGAGGACGAAGCTATTGGTAGTATGTCCATCTTCTTCTTTTTTTGCCGGTTAATTTGATTTGGCTCGGAGAAAATTAAGGAGAATGGCAATGTGGTGCGGTAGAAAAGGCAGTGGATCGTCTTCTCTTGGAGGAGATGGATCAAACGGGTTGGTTGTCGTGTCACCTCCATTCTCACCCAACTTCCTTACCTAGCAAGCTTCCATTGCCATGGCGATGGCGGCACCAGCATACGCAGAGAGCGAGCTCTATATACTAGCAACTCGTGTGGGAGAGCAGAGCAGAAGCAGAAGCAGAGCCGAACCGAGCTAGACGACGAAAGAGGAGAGGGAGACCACGAGATCATCGACAATGGCGCTGCTCCGGCAATGGCGCCGCGGCCTCGCCCTCGCCGCTCTGCTCGCGCTCCACCTCGCCCTCGCCGCGGCACAGTCGCCTGCGGCCGCGCCGGCGCAGCCCACCCCAACCCCAGTGCCCACGGCGCCGGCCAAGTCACCGCCCGCGCCGGCCACGCCTGCTCCCACCGCCACTCCCACTCCTCCCGTTGCACCGGCCAAGGCGCCGCCGGTCGCGCCCGCCGTCGCGCCTGTCACGCCGCCGCCACCGACACCGAAGAAAGCACCACCACCGCCGGTGACGCCCCCGCCGGTGACACCTCCCCCGGTGACACCCCCGCCGGTGTCGCCCCCGCCCGCCACCCCGCCTCCGGCTCTCCCGCCATCGACGCCCCCGCCGGTGGCTGCACCGGCCGAGGCGCCCGCGGCGTTGCCCCCGGCGACGACACCACCGCCAGTGGCCGAAGCGCCCGCGGAGCTGCCCCCGGCGGAGGCTCCGACCAAGAGCAAGAACAAGCACAGGAAGAAGAACAAGCGCGGCAAGAAGGCCTCCGCGCCCGCGCCGGAGCCGTTGAGCCCACCGGCGCCGGCCGCGCTGTCGCCCGCCGACAACCAGGCCGACGTGTCCGGCCCAGCACCATCAGCATTCGATCTCGTAAGCAACGCACATTACACACTACCTTTTTTTTTTTCACACAGATTAATCCACTGAATGTATAATTATCAGCTAATTACTGTCAAAATGCTAATTAACTTGGCTGTTTGATGCAGAATGGAAGCAACAGGCAGTACGGACAATGGGGGTTTGTCCTTCAGACTGTCATGGCTGCACTGCTACTATCATTAGCATGGTGATTAAAGCCCAGACCAGACAGATCCATCCATCCATCCATGTGTCTGCCTCGCCATTAATTTGATTATTTCTGCCCTTGATCTTGTTGTGTATGAGCACTAGATTTGTCATAGGAATCATCTTCTTGCTGGCTTGTAATAATTTTTTGGCATGCATTTTTATATATTTTTTCTTGACTTGAAATAAAAACTGGTGCACTATATTACTACAGTAGTATTTGTTCATCGCACGAAACCAAAGACAATGAAATGGTGCCAAACAAAAGTAACCTCATGTCATTTGCGATACTGCGATGCGTATTTTATACATGTTAATGCATCTAGGAACGGATCACTGTCTTCAGTTGCATACAATTGCCATTCCCTGAAGGCTGAACCCTGAAGGTATTTCAGTGAAAGTATTTTAGTCACTGAACTGAACTCTCCACCATTCTTGAGACTTTCTCTTTTGAAAAAAAAAATTGAGTGGTGAGGAAACAAGTATTAGATCTAGTCATGGTCACTTGGTCAGATGATCATTCAGCAGTTGTGTAGCACGTATCAGTCCTCCTCGTCAGCTTCGTGAAAAGGCAGCGGAACTGTTTTTACCGCCCTGAATTTGCCTGCATTGTTCAGATGCTCGTTCTCCAGCCTGATATAAAAAAAAAAAGAAGCATATGCCACAGGTCTCAGGATCTCATTTTTCTTGCCTAAATCCTGCTACTGCTTTTTCTGTTTTATTTTTTAGGATAAGTGGTTGTTCAGAACTCTGAAACTTCAGTTACCTATAGAAATTCCAATGCCCTCTCCGGATCACCTCGAGAGCAGCTAGAAAGAATGAAGTGACCCTGGAGTCCAAACTCCCAAAGTTTGGATGGATCACGGTTTGTAGCCATGCAAGCCTTAGCACAAGGTTCAGACCCTGCAAAAGTTCAGACAACACTTGAGTGTTTGGTTCACTTCTCCCCGGAACAGATTCATTGCAAATTCAGATCAAATTGCGTTTCCATTTCAATACTATAGTGTGGTTTAAATAGTAGGTTGGATATCGGTTGAGCATTATCGATGATCTGTGATTGAGAGATTGAGAGTCGGGTTTGTCGATTGGACAGTGTGTGTTTGAGCGTGCAGCTTGTACTGAACTACTGCAAATGAACTCGTTTTGGCTGTGCTTATACACCTGTCTGAATGGGGATAGACTGACGAACATGCATACCATTGACAAGTAGTATATGGACTTGCTCTTAAGGATGAGGTCATTCCTCAGCCATGGATTCTTGGAGTTGGGCTGGAGCAAGCCCCAGTCCTTGACAAAGTCCCAGTAGAGCTGATACATTGTTGCAGAGCTGGAGACGATGACGAGGAGTGAGAGTGATCCAAGGCTCCTGTCCTTCTCGTAGGCCACTTTGGCGCCGGCGGCGAGCATCGCCGAGACGTACTTGCCCAGGTTTACCAGGTGGCCCGTGTCGCTCTCATCGAACCACCGTCTTGCACACTGATTAACATACACAAACATTTTCAGAAAGTTCAGAAATATTCAGGAAGTTCAGAGAGTTTTTCTTTTCAGCTGAACAGAGTGCATTTTGTTTTGTGTGTGTGTTTATTCCATTTTATCAATAAATGTGTATTCCAAACTGCTGATATATGGAACATAAAATTTGCATGGTTCATTTTCTTTTTTTATTGAAAGAGCATGGTTGAAAATTGAGAATTGTGAAGGACATAAGGGGCTTGACCTGCATGGCTCTCCAGTAGTAGGGCAGGAAGGAAACTGCATAGGCCAAATCTCTGATATGCTTGGTGTTGATGCAGTATCCGTACTCCTGTGTTCTGTAGCTTCCACTGATGTAGTAGCAAGCGACGTACTCGAGGCTTCTTAGCATAGGCACCTGCATTTTTTATTTTGTTCTTTCAGAAAGTTAATTATCTGTTTATCCCCATTGTTTTTTCAGGTTTCAGTTGAATGCAGGACATGGATTGAGTGGTTTAAGTAGAGCATATTCAGTAGTACCTGGCTGCAGAGCTGATCTGCCATGAAGAAGTCTACCATTACAACCTGCAGACATTCAGAAACCATCATGATATATAAGAACATATGTAGTAATTTGGACTAATTTGGCAACATTATTCTCCATGAAGAGATTAGCAAAAGAAAAAAAAAGAAAAGATGTACTGTGGTACCTTGTAGAGTGGTGAGAAAACGATGTTCCTCAGTATCCTGAGGAACTGAAACCGAGTGGAGCGATACACCATGTTGAATGGGCAGAACAGCAGCAGCAGGAACCCCTACATTCAGACATGCAGCACCAACAGATTCCATTACTACTATGATTATTCTCATTCTGAAACGATCCAGTTGCAGGAGAACAACTCAAGATCAACGTGTCCATCCAATGAGCAAGAAAAGCATGTTCTTAATTTGGTTCCTTGTTGACAGTGACAGTGTGACACTGACGACAGTCTGACAGGAGGGAGCAAGAAAGAAGAGTTCACCAGGAGCAAGAATCCGGGGATGGCCTGGGCGTGGAATCCCCTGACGGCGAGGGAGAGGTGCGCGAACATGACGCCGACGATGACGGCCATGGATGCGGTGCAGACGAGGAAGACGTCCCGGTACTTGAGCTCTCTTCCGGCCGCGAACTCGAAGATGAAGCTGTAGTTGATCCGGGCCTTCCTCCACGCCACCATGTTGCACCCGTACATGAACAGGTGCAGGAACATTAGGCTGAACATGCTGCAAAATTATCCATTGCCATTCATGTCAGAATTCAGATACAGTATTCGATCAACGCAGAATTTCAGAAAATGCAGAGTCTACATGCGTGTACCTGAAAACAGGGTAGACGGTCTCCATGTAGATGGAGTCGCGCCGCTGCGTGTACATTCCGGCGATGTGCGCCATGATGCAGTAGCCCAAGAACAGCGCCACGAAGCATCCCGTCATGAGCCCTGCATATACATACATTCAGAGTGGTACAAAGATTGTCATTGCAAAGTGGAAACTGCATGCAGATTCTTGTTTTGGGTTTACCGATGAAGAATGTGACAGTGTGTGACTCCTTCCGTTGCGTGGGCTTGAGGTACTTCATGGCCTTGCGCCTGTTGCCGGCGGCGAAGTGCCTGACGAACACGTCCTCCACCTCGTCCATCAGCTTCAGAGCCTCGCCGGAGCTGTTGAAGTAGGAGCTCTCCACCGCCCTGAGGTATACGGACAGCACCTGCTTCCCGCTAACCTTCTCGAACTTCTTCAGGATCTTCACGAACGCCATCATGTTCAGGTTCCTGCATGCATTTCACATCACACAAACAGTTCTGAACTTCTGAATCTGAACTGAACACACATGGATTTCCTAGAGGATGACAGATTAGCAGTTGATTAAATTACCGGTAGGTTGTGAGGTATCCAAGACCTTTGTAGAGCTCGATGAAGGCGCCCTTGATCATCTTCTCGGCGTGCCGGAGCTTCGTCTTGTTGATGGTCGTGAACGTGATGCCGGCGTCAGAGTCGCATTTGTTCTTGGGCTGGCTGACGAGATCGTCCCGGAGGAGGTCGGTGAGTGCAGAGATTGTCCTGCATGGCGTCGTCAGGGGGATGTTGATCTTCAGGTTCTTCCTCTGGCAGCTGCTCACTGTCCTCCCTAGGCTCTGCCTTGACAAGCTTCCAGAATCTTCTAGACCCTGCTCAGCCGAAAGCTCTTCAGGGTCTCTCATCACCGCGGTTTCGTGTTGGCTCTCGTCCGTGTCTGTTGCTGACGTCACGTACCTCGTGGACTCATCCTCTGTTTTGAGTTTTTTTTATAAAAAAAATCAGTAATTAATATTGAGTGAACTATATAGAACTGTAGATTTTTTTGCATGAGGGAATAAATGCCATTATTTTAGATAGCTGTCATAATTTGGCATATATTCATGTATGGATGTCATCTGCATGTTATTCTTCTCGAATTAATGAGGGGATAGCATTGACATAAAAAAGAATCTCCATATATAAAGTAACTTTTGCAAAAATACAAATACTTTGACCTTAGTATAGAAAAACTACTTCACATTTTCAAAATGTTACTACCTAGTATGATATTAGATATTTCATAATACAATAAATTTGAATACTAGAAAATGTCTAATCGCATACTAGTTAGTACTCATTCTGTTTCATATTATAATTTGTTTTGGCTTTTTAAATTTGACCAAGTTTAAAAAAAAATAGAGCAACACTTATAGCATCATATTAGTTTCATTACATATAACATTGAACATATTTAGATAGTTTCTTTGTTTTGAGTTGAAAATATTGTTATATTTTTCTATGGGATCAAACTTAAAAAAATTTGACTTAAAAAATCAAAATGACTTATGATATGTAACATTATGATATGTAACAAAGAGGAAGTACATATCTAAACCACACCATGGAAAGGCCACAAGGGTTTAGCATTAAGCTTATCACCAAAATTAGACTATGTTTATAACTCCATCAGAATAATATTGCTAGAAATATAAACTCTAAAATATGTAGTTTTATGATAACTTCATTACTAAGTCGATATGTAGTTTTATGATACTTCATATTAAATCCATGCATGGTTTTGTGATATATTAATTTGGTATTTAAATATAGTTTTATGATAGTTTGGTCAAAGTATATATAGTTTTTTAAACTCGACCTACACAATTATATATGCTTGTAATTGTCAAGGTGTTAACTGTACGCGGCATATATACCTATGCAAAAGTACTCTTTAGAAAAAGAAGAATATATAAATACTACTATACCAGGTATTATCAGGAGGGACAGGATGCGACACTAAGTAAAGTAGGATGTTGAGGTTGATATGATGGTCGTGCCAAATGCAGACAAAAACGCAAGTCATTAAAGACATCCACACAATTGATCAGGGGAGGATATTCCATTATTCCCGGGCAAGCTGCTCACGCACGTACCAATACCATACGTACCATGAAATGAAATGAAATGAAATGGGGTTGGGTAATTAAGCTAAGCTAAGCTAGTTGCTGCGAATGCGATCCTACGTGCATGACAATACCTGCTAGCTCATCTCCATCCTCTCTCACCACCAGCTTCCCACTAACCATGGTCACTACAGGAGAGAGAGAAAGAGAGAGGTAGCTCACCGGCGCCGGAGGTGGCGGAAGAAGAAGAAATGGAGGGGTCGTCGCCGGCGGCGGCGCGGTGGTGGCCGGAGAGAGACGACGACGACCGCGACTTGAGGTCGAGGAGTATGTCCATCTGCTTCCGGAGGGAGTGACCTCTGTGGAGGAACTCCTCCTCCTTGGCCTTGTAGAAGTGGTTCACCTTGTTCAGCTGCGCGTCCAGCCTCGCGAAGAACTCCCTCGCCGCCGTCGCCGCCGTCGTCTCCATCTCCGGCGTCACCTCCGTCTCGTAAACCTCCCCCCTGCCCACTCTCCGGCGCACCTATTTTCCATTTATATATATATGTGCACACACAGTACATGCAAAAGATTCAGTACACATGCATGGCTATGGCTTAATTGCAAAACTGATAAAAATGGTAGCACAAGGATTTACTGTCAATTACTTGTATGGCTCCAGCATGATCAGCATTATTGGAGCCAAAGAAGGCCGCCGGGAGCTTGTGCAACAGGAGCCTGCAGTGAGACAAATTATAACTTGATGGCGCCGCAACTGATTGCTGCTGCTGATGATGATCATGAGGTGTTGAGGTGGTAATTATGGTCCCTTGGGGAGAATAATCATGCTGCATCCTCTTAAGATCTTTCTTGAGCAAGCTATAGTCCACAAAGGCATGCTTCCACTCAGGGACAAGCTGCCCTTCAAATTGCTTCGAGAACTTCACCATGGTTAATTCTATATGATCAACTTAATTAACGAGCAATACGCATGCAGCTGCTAATTAATTATATTGTTGTGTGCTGTGCTGTGCAGGGGGAGCCATGGAGGTTGTTATATAGCAGCTAGCTGATCTGATGGGATGGAATGGAATAATAATCTCTCTCTCTCTCTATCTTTGCAGGTGTTGCGAGACAACGCATTATATTCTCAGATATACTACACTACGCGTACGTGTTATATCTAGGCCAGCTAGGCTATATATCTAGCTTAGCTTAAAGCTTGTTGGTGATGGTTGTGCTGGATTGGATTCCAGGAGAGAAGAGAGACAGAATCAAGAGAAATAGTACTCCATATAGATCAAGGTGAAGAGAAGAGTGCTCCAGAGAGGACAGAGAGAAATCTAGAGAGAAGCTAGCTAGAGGGATGCATATGGAGAGGAAGAAGAGAAACTAGTGCATATATACATATATGCAAGATGAAAGCATATGCATCTGAATGTGAGGATAGTGATCAAGTGGAGACGGATGAGATTAGCAGCTAGTGGGTGGGTCCCCTCCATATATATATGCATGCCCACATAATTAAGCATGGTGCTCGATCAGTAAATCAGTTGGTCCAGATCGACGCCATTATTTGGGAATGCATAGGTGTAGAGCATGCATCCACTATTCTCCATATGTCAACAAGCACGATGACATGCATGCATGAAAAAGTGTGCGTATATCTAATGATATGATCGGGTTTCTACTTTTCCATTATTTTTTTCCAATATGTCTCACTGTAAATATAGGAACGTCAATTCAAATATACTTAACTTTCTTAATTAATGGTGTTAATTATTAATTGTCCAATCAGAGGTAAAATATACAAGTCATTCCCTTTCCTAATAAGGGACGCCTCTCGTTTCTTGCAAATTATCCTAATATATATAAGATTTTTTAAAAGGAAAAATTGATAAAAAATAACTTAATATGTGATATATCATGCATATTCCACAAACGTACAATTATAAATTTGACCAAGACGAATTGAAAAAAAATAAGGTTGTGAATATAGTACATGTAGTTATAGTTTAATTTATTATTTTTTTACAACTTTGAGGGGTTGATTTAGAATTTTGCATGTTTGTTAAGTGATATATCATACATTGATCTATATTTTATTTTTTTAAAAAAAATATATAACGGAATATACTATCGACGGAAAAAAACTATCCCTATCAATTCTGAACTATGGACACCAGTATAGCTTAAGTTGTCTAGTCTTGCTTCAAAAATTCAGATATAAATAGCTAGCTAGGATGCATCAGCGATTTCACCCCGTTCAAATCCACTAAAAAAATGGATAAACTTTTAGATAAAAATGGTACGCTTTTCAAACTGCTAAACGGTGTGTTTCGTGTGAAAACTTTATATATGAAAGTTGTTCTAAAATACCAGATTAATCCATTTTTCAAGTTTGTAATAATTAAAACTCAATTAATCATATATTATTACCACATCATTTTATGTGAAACACTTAATCTTTACCTTCATCTTCGTCAAAAGAGATTCAAACACCACCTATGCCTCTCCATGCACCTGTTACTATCCAAGTACTACATATTGTCATCTTTCTTATATTGGGCGTAACGGTAGTAGATTCTGTTACTAATCTCTGCAGCCATGCAACAGTTCTGTAAATAATGCAAACTCAGTTACTATCACACATTTTATCTCAATAATTATTAATGTGTACATGACTATCCTAGTACTGATATATATGATACAAAAACATAAAAGTAAGGGCATGTATATATATAGTACCGGGAAACAAGATCATCAGGTAGTAAAGAGAGAAAATCAACAAGATGCCATATGGGTATATATCTTCACTACTCATGCAGAGCATATATTCGAGAATTAACACGCAAGCTAGCTAGGCTATTGATCGATGGAATAGTTACTTTGTTAATGTGCATGGTTCATTCTCGATGGACGAGAGCATTTTGAAATATAATAATTGGAAGTCCAATATATATATTTTTAGTTCTGCCCGACAAAGATAGAGAATACTGCCCAGATTCCCTTAGGATTTGATGTTCATGCCCTATTCGAGCATATATGTACAATATATAGCCAGTAATAATAACAGTTATATATATGATCAATATATCCCTGCAGATTATGTTTTACGCGATGGTCTTTAATTTTAGGAGTTTGTAACGTACGGGGCCGGGAATTGGCAGGCAAAACACAACACACAGACATGATCGATCAGGATAGAAATTAAAGATGGTATGAAACCGTACCCCCATTATTGTTTCTGCCTCAAGAGTTAATTGATTGCAAAAAGTATAATATCTTAGAGAGACAAAGAGATCAAAGAAAGAAACTCGCACTAGCTAATTGAAAAGGAAAAGGCTCATGGCCTTTGATTTGAGCCTTTTAGAAGAAAAGGTTATCTTGCATGCATTGAAAGAGAAGGGGAAAACTAAAACAGACCAATAAGATCGTGAGAGCAAATAATTACTACCTCCGTTTCAGGTTATAAGACTTTCTAACATTGTCCACATTTATATAAATGTTAATGAATCTAGAAAGTGGGTAACATCTATATGAATGTGGGTAATGCTAGAAAGTCTTATAATATGATCCAAATTACTGATATACTACCTCCATCCCAAAATGTTTGACGCCGTTGACTTTTTTAAAAATGTTTGACCGTTCGTCTTATTAAAAAAATTTAAGTAATTGTTAATTCTTTTCCTATCATTTGATTTATTATTAAATATACTTTTATGTATACATATAGTTTTACACATTTTACAAAAGTTTTTGAATAAGACGAACGGTCAAACATATTTAAAAAAGTCAACGGCGTCAAACATTTAGGGAAGGAGGGAGTATATTAGTATTGCTCAAGACTTCAAGTTGGGGATGTGTATGACTTTGGGTCGATTCTTCATTGAGATCGATCTTTGAAGTGAATTTTCATCTCTAGTACAATAGTATGTCTGCCTGTCGCGTGACATATTGCTCTCTTACTACTAGCAGTTGCCTTTAGTTTCTTCTTTCACTTCGATCCGTCTCTTCCCTCAGTGCCATGCATGCGCATATGCAATCTCTCGCTTCAAATTAACCTTTTGAGATCACATCCCACTTAGTATCAAATTACGATTCGATCTTCGCATATATAGCTGACAGGGGGTATAAAGCTATAGGAAGGGGATCGAGCTAGCCAGCTAGTAGCTAGTACCTACTAAGTGTGAATGTGTGATATTGGTCATATTTCCACCTTGTCTTCTGCTATATCTTTTCTAACCTTTTCTATGTGAATTATGAGGGACTTCCTTATTTTTATTGCTTTACTTAATTGTTCTAGATATGTCTTGTGTCGATATACATACACAAAAACAGGGATTAGTGCTGGTTGAAAGGTGCCAAATTTGACAACCGACATCCCGTGCAGGCGATACTGATGAGGAGAATTCAAATTTCAAAGGTGTTGGTTCCAGGAATAAAAATAAAAACTTGGCTCGATGCATATGCTCGATTCGAACAACTCCCTATCACCCTCCAGAGCATCTCACATCCAAGAACACCTTCCTTATTCATCAACATGCACATACCACCGTCGATTCATCAACCCCCTCCACAAATCACAAAAAAATATTCACAAATCACTCGAATTAGACACGCTACTGGTCGGATCTGGTGGCCACTGCACCGGGCTAGGGAATGGAATAGGCAGCCGCCACTGCCGCCGCCACATAGAGGAGAGGAAGAGGCCATTGTAGAGCCGGGGAGAGGAAGAGGCGACCTCACGTGGATCACCTGAGCTCGCGGTGGCCAGATCCGGTAGCCGTCGCACCAGGGAGGGGAGTGGAAGAGAGGCACCCGCCATAGCCATCGGGTAGAGGAGAGGAAGAGGCCACAATCGAGCCAGGATATGGCCACCCCAAACTTGTGGCAACCGGATCCGGTAGTTCACACCCCGGTCTGGGGGAGAGGAAGAGGTAGCCACCATTGCGGCGCCACACATAAGGACCCCTTTGAATCGCAGGATTGAGAAAACGTAGGAATAGGAAAAACGTAGGATTTTGATAGGAATGTAAGAAAACAGAGGATTGTAAAACGCAAGAAAACACACAGGAATGACCGTTTGATTGAACCATAGGAAAAACACAGAAATTGGATGAGAGAGATAGACTCAAAGGAAAGTTAGCAAGAGGTTGAAGCTCTTGCTAAATTTCCTCCAAAATCTCTATAGGATTGTCCATTCCATAGGAATTTCAAAGGATTGGATAGGATTCAATCCTTTATTTCAAAGGGCTTCATAGGAAATTTTTCTATAGGATTGAAATCCTCTAAAATTCCTATGTTTTTCCTCCAAATCAAAGGGGCCCAAGAGAGGAAGAGGCCGTCACTGCCATGCCCGGGAGAGGAAGGCCAAATGGGTGGCGACCGCCATGCCACGCCATGCCCGGGAGAGGAAGAGCGAAGAAGAAGAGGATGAGGAGGAGGGGAGATGGAAGGATGGAGAGATGAGTGGCGTGAGAGAGGACAAGATGAGGGGATTTAGCATCCCCGCTCGGCTCGATGATTTTCTCAATATGTTCCGGTTTTAAAAACAACGGCGCCAATGTTAATTTTATATGTACTAGGTTTTTTAATAAACCATAACCATAGTATCTAGGTGTATGCATGTGGTTTAAATAGTTATTATTAAATGAAAAATTCATAAAATTTGACAAGATAGATCTTGTTAATATAATAAGATAGATTATGTTAATATGAGACACAACTATACAAACATGCGAGTCTAAATTTTATTTACACATGAAGAAAAAAAGAGATAAAATTTATCTTCATTGTACAAGTACTATTGACTGCTTAATTTCATTTTTTTCTCTAGACATTGTAGATCAAATTTGGTCTTGCACGTTTATTTATAGACTTATGTCGAATTGATATTATTAATTTTTTTATTTTTTCTATAACTATTTGAGTTATTATATGCAAATATAATGATATGCCATCAATCTCGATAGCTTTGCGAAATATACTTACCAATCTCGTGGTGTCTCCGGCATCTATCGATGTCGGTAGGCAAGGGCCATGTCTGCCCGGGGGGGCATCCGAGTCGGATCGAGAGTCATCGGGCGATCGATCGGTATGATGCGAGCCAAGATCGATCAGGATTCATGCAGCAGGATAGTCTTGTGTTGTACCTATAAACATTTTTCAGAAATAGCGCATTTCTTTCTAACAGTTTTTTCTAGCATGTTATTTTTCCTTTTTTTTTTACTGATGACGAAAACCATATTTTTCTCCCCTTTTTTGTTTTGCTTTTCTCGCGTGTTTTTTGCCTATTTTTCTGACAATTACTTTCTCGCGTGGTTTTTTTTCATGTTTTTTCTTAATGTTATTTTTTGCTTTTTTTCCCAATACATGAGAATATATGACGAAATAAAAGCCGTGTAGTAGATGGTAAAAAATCGATGGATCCTATCCGACTCAAGCGTCCATCAATTTAGCTTTTTTCTGACAGTTTTTTTAGAGCGATTTTTTTATATATATAGTGTTTTTTTCTTGCGTGGTTTTTTCAAACCATTATTTTTTAGAAATGGCGCATTTTTTTGACAGTCTTTTCCTCGCATGTATTTTTAATTTTTTTTGCCAACAATGGAAATAATTTTTCTCACGCATTTTTTTATTTTTTTTTAAGAAGATGGAAAAACCTTTTCAACGTGTTTTTGTGCTTTTTTCTGACTTTTTTCTCACACGTTTTTTTGATTGTTTTTATTTTCTCGTGCATTTTTTATTTTTAAATAGTTAGATTAGATTAGAGATAGAGAAGAGATTTATACTGATTAGAAATTGGACTTTGTTTCGCCCTTTCCATTTTTTTCTCGCGTGAATTTTTTATTTTATACGAACCAGCTTTTTATTTTTTACGAACCATTTTTTTTGCCACTTTCTTAGGGAATTGGACGAACTTTTTTAGATTTTTTTGGATTTTTTTCCTTTACAGGAATCAGACTTTTTTCCGTTTTTTAAGGAATCGGATCAAGCGTTTTTTTTTCACCACTATTTTTTGCCTTTTATAGGAATCGGATTTTTTTTTTCCGTTTGCATCTACAGTTTTTTTTCGCCACTTAGGGGAAATAGACTTTTGTTGTTGTTGTTTTTTGTTTATTTTCTTTTTTGTGTGGCTTTTCTTTTTCTTTTTATGCACCTTTCTGCCTTTGTTCTATCCCTTTTATTTATTGTTTTTTTAAAAAATACCAAAAGCACCTTATTGCAAGATTATAGGGACTCAAATATAAATATAAAAATTACAGGGCTCAAATGCTAATGTACAAACCCAAAAATTAAAATCATATAAAAATGGAATGCTCTCGACATGTAGGTTCCGTTTTTGCAAACAGATCTTTAATCCGACACATCAATTTGTTTTCACCAAGATGTATGGAATATCACGGTATAGATTGAAACCGAGAGAAGTGGTGCCTAGAATCTCGGACTCAAACCGAGAGGAGTGAGACTCGATCTAGAGTCGGACTTTTTTTTTTCTAAGAAGGAATCGCAACGAGTCGGACTTTTTTTATTTTGAGTAAAATGCACCAGCGGTTCTTAAACTTGTCGGGAGTTTTCACTTAGATCCACGAACTTGCAAATCGTACATCAAGGTACCTAAACTTGGTTTATTGTTTCATTTCGGTCCAAAGCCGCGTTTGACCGTGGTCTTGCTTACGTGGCACGCCACGTGAATGATGACTTGGAATTTTTTTTTCACCCTTCTTCCTTCTTCTTTTCACCACTGCGATAGCCCCTCTCCTCGTGCCGTCTCTCACCACCGAGAAAAAAGAAGGAAGAAAGAGAAAAAAGAAGGAAAAAGGGAGAAAAAAATTAAAAAAATCCATGTCATTGTCCACGTGGCGTGACACATAGGCAAAACCACAGTCAAACGCGGTTTTGGACCGGGATGATACAATAAACCAAGTTTAGGGGCATCGATGTGCACCTTGCAAGTTCGTGGACCTAAGTGAAACCTCCTGACAAGTTTAAGGACCGCTGATGTATTTTACTCTTTTATTTTTTATCTCTATTTGTTTTACGGGACATAGTTGGACTTTTTTTATCGCTATTTTGTTTTTTCTTTTCTTTTTTTCGCACGTTTTTGTTCGGCTGGTTTTTTTATCGGACAATTTTGGTTTTTTCCCCCGGTTTTTTCGCCCGGTTTTTTACGAACGATGGAAGCTAAGTAGATATATATATATATATATATATATATATATGTATATATATGTATGTATATATATATATATTTTCTCTAGACAGTGTAGATCAAATTTGGTCTTACACGTTTATTTGTAGACTTATGTCAATTGATGTTATTAATATTTTTATTTTTTTTCTATAACTATTTGAGTTATATGCAAATATAATGATATGATGCCATCAATCTTGATAGCTTTGCGAAATACGTACTCCTACTAGCAATCTCGTGGTGTCGCCGGCATCTATCGATGTCGGTAGGTGAGGGCCATGTGTGAGGGGGGGGGGGGGGGGGCATGCATCCGAGTCGGATCGAGAGTCCTCGGGCGATCGGTAGCCAAGATCGATCAGGATTCATGCAGCAGGATAGTCTTGTGTTGTTCGTATATAAATATACACGTGCATACTACGGAGGGCTACATATATCGGATCGATCGGATTGAAGGAAGAAGTCGTAGTCGTAAGGTACGCTACATCGTACATGGAGGCAAATTCAGTAGTGTTGGCGAGGATCCGTAGAGGCATGGCGTGCTTCGTGGAGGAGCTGAAGGTGGAGCAGGCGAAGATGCAGGGCCTCCTGGACCACGTCGACGCCTTCCCGGCCGGCGGCGCATCGCCGACGAGGGAGGACTACTATACGGCGGAAGAGATCATCTCGCACGGCATCAGCGACATGCAGATCTGTCGCGTCCACAAAGCCATCGTGATGGGCTCCGCGCCGCTCTACGACGCCAAAACCATGGGCGCCATCTTGCCGCCGCCGTCCTGCCCTCTCACCACCGACCTCGCCGAGCGCCTCGCCCTGCTTCCGCCGCTTGAACAAACGATCTCCTACCCCGACTGCGACGACGTCGGCCTGGAAGGCTTCGCCATGCGCGTCCAGCACGCGGTGACCGCGCTCGGCTTCGCCGAGGAAGCTCTGGAAAGCTCCTTCTACACCTTCAATGACGCGATTTCTCTCATCTTCACCAAGCCGATTCCGCCGCTGGCCCACTCCACCAAGAGGAAAGCTCGCAGCAGCATCGCTCTAGCGCTCCGCTGCGCCGCCTACGCCCATGCTCAGGCCACCATCGCCCTCACCAGGATAGCACCACCACTTACTACTACTACTCCCGCCAATAATATTGCCCATTCTAATATTGCTAGCAACCAACAACATATATAAGTCTGTTTAAGGCTTGTTCGGGGAGCTTTTGACAGCTATAATTTTTTTCAAAATAAGAAGCTCACCTAAACAGTTTAGTTTTTTTTTTAATTTCAAGAAGTAGATTTTGAAAAGTTATAGTTGTAGAATCCAGAAAGTGAACTAAAGCCAAAAGTTGGGAGACTCAGCTTTTCCATATTCTCACCAATAAGTTGTTCCTCGTAATTTTAAGCTCTCCAAGTTGACCTTAATCTCTACCCAGGACGAACAAATCTAGGCAGCTTCTACAACACACACACACACACACACACACACACACACACACACACACATATATATATATATATATATATATATATATATATATATATATATATATATATATATATATACATATATATATACATATGTATATAAATGCTTATGTATTTTGACATCCCACAGCTTTGGCAGATCGCTTAGCCCCGTTCATCTTCAGCGCAAGGGCGCTCGATCAGTGAGCTATTACGCACTCTTTAAAGGGTGGCTGCTTTTAGGCAAACCTCCGTCTTTGCACCCCCACCTCCTTTATCACTGAGCGGTCATTTAGGGGCCTTAGCTGGTGATCCAGGCTGTTTCCCTCTCGACGATGATGCTTTTGATTTCTCTAACAAATAGTTTAATTTCTGAATAATGGATGAGATTGAACGTTTAATGGATGAGGGTATTCTGCCATGCACTCCCTCCATCCCACTCATAAGGTGCGTCAAATTTGACACGGTCTTTAAAACTAATGTTTAACTTTAAAATTGTAATATACTGTAATGTTAATCATAATCATATGATAGCAATTTAAATGACAATCTAGTGATATTATTTTCATTAAATAAAATTTAATTTATAATGAACTATTTATTGATAAAAAATTTAGAAAATCTTTTTCTTCTAATATATCGACGTGTAATCACTTTGTATGTTCACGAAAAATCTATATTGTTGGAGGATCTAATTAATTTAACCTAGTTTTGCAAGTTGGCGGTCAAGATTTCTGTGACTGTGATTCAAGATATGATTCAAACTCGATGTAAAGATGAGAGACCTATAGTAAACTTATCAAGAGAAACAATAATTCTTTTGTTGGAGTGGGCCAATTTGTCGTGTAATCAACGGCCCATTGGTTGTAACGAGCCCAACAACAAACCAGGGCGTAGCGGATCGGGTCGTGGTCCTCGTTGACCAGACGAGCCCCACGATGAGATAAGAATCACACGGCGGTTCCACCGCCCACCTCCCTCGATACCTACTGACATGTGTGGCCCACATTGTAGTGACCCCACCTGTCAGTAGGTACGCGCGTGCGGTGCCGATGGGATAGGTGCTTCGTCTTCCCTTTCCTTTCCTTTCCCCTCCTCCATTCGGTCGCCTCGCCTTGGAATATTCCAAGCTTGCGGGACTAGCCACTAGCCAGCCCAGCCAGGGGAAGGGGAGGAGCTGCAAGCCCAACCCCCTGCTCAACCCTAAATTGCTTCCGCCGATCGGTGAGAGCTCCGATGCCTTCTTCTTCTTCTTCTTCCTCCCCCTCTACCTGTTCCTTCTCCGAGATAACTGCAACATTTTCAGCACTTTTTCTGGCCATTCTCAAGTCCCCAGGTGTGATTTGGTTTTGCTATGAGCTTGTTTCAACTGCCTTTCCACGAATTGTGTTGTGCACCTTGGTTGATCTAAATGCCAGCCTGTTCCTGTTCCATTTGGTTTGCTGTATCATAGTGGGCGATTTGATTACCTTGCCTGTTTTTAGCTGCCCGTGCTCTACTATTAATCAAGTCATTGTGTGCTTCTGTTGGGGCTGTACAACCTGAATCTCTTTCCATTTCAGCGCCATTTCTCATATGAACTTACCAAGGTAGTTGTTAGAGCAAAAATGGTGTCGGCAATTCGGCCTTGTTTTCCCTCAGTTTGTTGCGTTCTAGCATCTAGGATATTAGGTGTGTGCTTTGCTGTCTCCATTTTGGACAATGCTTCATTCCCTCGATTCATCTAGGATTTCAGTACGATCGCTCTTCTTCTTCACCAATGGAACGATTTTCCTTTAGACAAGGAGGTCGGCAAACCCAATGAAAAGGTTTACTACTCTTTCCTAAGTTTATCCTTAGGCCATTACTTGCTATTATTCTTTTTCGGCGCTGGTCCTGTTTCCAGTTGGTTGTTTCTTCCCTACATTGTTTCCGGTTGGTTGCTTCTTCCCTACATTGTGGCTTGGTTGCTACGTTTTAGATGAGCTGTACCTTTGCAGCCCTAACACTAATTCTTTGATTTCAGAGTATGATCAGGGTGCCCCTTATTTCATTAATGTAAAGTATATGTGGTTGGTGCTTACCTTATTGTGTTTGGTCGTGTAGAAATTATGCTCTAATCTGGTGGGTTTGGAAAACCACATGCACAGGTTCATTTCGTTTCTTGTGCCACTTGGTGCTGTTCTGGTTTCCTATTGGCTGCAGTTCAGGGCTAAGCTGTGTTCTTAGTTGAAGTCTTGTGTCTGCTCATCATCTACTACTAATTACTCCGTATGTCTTTTGTAAATGTACTGCTAAATGGTTGTGCCATAATTGGTTTTTGTTATGCAGCCCAGGGACTAGAGTGTTACTATGGCTAGAGCAAATGAGATGGTCAGGGCAGACTCAAGGATGATGGTTGTCTTTAGTGCCCTGGCATCTAAATCAGGGCCACTGACATTTGAAGACTCGCTCAGATTTGTCAAGAAAGTGAAGGTGACTTCAGTGTTATTATAGTTTTTTTTTGCATGTTACATGATCTACATTCTTGTGATTGCGATGCAGGTCTTACATTGCTAGGTACTCACCTGTCTACTAAATCATAATTTGTTTGGTCATGTCCATTTTTTTTGTTTCATAATCTGATGTATAACAACCATCAAAATTTTGATGAATGCAAGAATCCCATCTCTTGATATCTTTATTTTTTTTAGAACTCAGATCTTTATAAATTCTTGTGAGATCTTTATAAATACATCGGGTTGTACAAGCAAGTCATGTTCTGAATTTTTTTTGATGGATAAGTTCAATCGTGGTTAAACAGCCTGCCACTCGACACTGTCCTGAGGGATATTGACCCATGTGGCCATGTGTAATGCTAAATTATATTTCGGAAGCTCTTGCTGCATGTTCTACATATATAGAAGCAGCCTGCAATAGTTTTGTGGAAAAATATAGGTAAGGGAACAGAAGCATGATATAGATCAGTTAAAAACGCCTGCTACTATCATAGAGAAACATATTAAACAAACTCTAGTGATTTTGAGCTGTTTCGAAGAAAAAGCTTTATTAGTCTGGTTCCTGTCATATTTTGCAGGCCTTGCTTAAGTGCACCATGTGCCAGCAACACAATGTGACACCTTGCCTGTCTCCATGTAGAACTGCTACTGCTTAATTATCAGCTTTGCCTCATTTCATCAGGAAATGGAGTTCTGTTATTATTTAGCATACCAGATAGCTGCTTTTAGCTATTTAGTTGGATATTACTATTAGTGGTGTTATTTCCTTCTAATTATTTGTCACACATGAGAGACTATTGACTAGTGGGGTCAAGAATATTAGAAGTGAACCTTGTGTATACTCTGTCCATGGACTATGGGTCTCGTGGTCAGAGTGTGCGTTGAGCTATAAAGCTTGTGGTGTGGTTTCCTGTAAGTGCAGTGAATGAAATGAATTGAATCTGATTCCCCTCCTGATGTTATTCTTCTTCCTTTGTCCCCTTTCTCTTCTCCACCTGATCCCCCAATTTCTTCCCAAATTATCTCAAGTTATCAGTGTATTCTGCTGCTAGTTTGTGGTTTTCAATTCCTCACGAGCTTGGGTCATAACACTATTGTCTCATTTATCCATGCTGGTAGTAATAATTATTAATCTCCGTGTTTGTCAGGCTTGTAACTACATGTTGTATTTGTCATTGTTTGACATTCTTGGAAGAATGGAGCTATCCCGGCTTGAGGCCTACCGAGAGGTATGGATATAATTGCCTCCCTTTGTCGACAATTTTGGGATAAATAATCACTTAACCTTTGGTCTGTTTGTTCTCCAGTTACAGCTGCTGTTTCAAAATTACCCGGATTTGCACGAAGAGCTTGAAAAGTTTAGACCTCCAGTGCCTATAAAACATCCAGCAAACAACATTTGGCCCTGGCTTTTTGCTTGTGCTGTTCCGCTGGTGGCAGTAAGCCTAATTCCTGCTCTCGGAAATCCAGTGCTGTGGTTTGTCCAACAAACACTAGGTGAAAAAATGAAGGCGTAATTCCAACTATCCTGCAGCTTGGATATGTGCTCCACTTCATGTCATTTATCCCATCGATGACTGTAATTATTAATGTGCTCGCATGTGTATATATTTAGAGAGACATCCCAGGAAATTTCGGTTTTATTGGGCATCAAGTAGGGAGAAAGGAAAATTAGTCACCACTTGCAGGAAGCAGCAACATTATGCTCCTGAATTTGTTTGGAGTATTAGTCCAAGATGATTTCAGGCTTTCAGCTGCCTGCTATAACGATACCGCATTTCAGAGTACAAGAGTTGAACTGTTAAGTCTTTTAGAGACAATCAACTATCGGGGCATTTAACTTTTTTGTCACTTTTTAAGACTTGTCAATTAAGAATTTATCACTCATAGTTTATAACATATGGGCCCTCATATGTCTATGTCTCTATGACATGTGGGTTCAGTGGTAAATCCTTAAGAGTGGCAAATAGTTAAATATCTCTCAAGTTTCAGTAGTTGTTACTATGGATGGCCAGTGTGATATTACAGCAGTTGCATGCAGTGAGACTGGAATATGTCATGTTATTAGCCATTGGGAATCTGCTGCAAGGGGCTAAAATCTCCTGATTTGTTGCGACAAAACAGCTGAAAAACTAAAATCAGAACTCTAGCCAGCGCAGTGTTAATTAGTCACAGGATTAACAAATTGGGCCTTTTCTTTTTTTTTTTCCAGAAGCACTAATGTTGTGAAGCAAACTCTAGGAACACATTTGCGCTGGCTCGTTAAGCTTACTTGAATGGATACTTTTACTTCTCTGAGAGACTGGACAAGTTGGCAGAGTCAAAGTTGGAAACATTGGCTATCAGTAGTAGTAAGACACTGGGAGCGGGAGCAGTCGGAAAGAAACTTTGCTAATGGTTTTACTACTGCAGCTTTACTGAACTATACACAAATACTTTGCTAGTCTTTGGTCCCTGTGGACTAGTCTCTCTCTGATTCCAGACATAAAGTTGTTTTTAAACCTGTGTACGATAAGCAAGAAAAATAGCTGAAACGACTTTATTATCCTTCATTTATATGCATCTATCATGGAGCAAAAAATGTGAGGATAAATACAGCTGTTTTTAATTTATTTTGACGCGAAATACAACTATTGATAAACTACTCCAGTTAGTAACAGTTAGTAATCTGTCTTTTTTATTAATAGTTTGATACTGCAGATGAAACTGAAGATCCAGCGGTAGCCCTCTCTGGAAGCTAGGGATCGTGACAAATGGCCAAATGAAGCCCATGTATATACGGATCCCACGGAAATACGTCTCCTGAGCCAGAAGACACACACGCATGAGGCGGATATACGAACCGACGCCGCCCTAGCGGAGCTAGGTTAAACCTGAGATCGGAGGCACTCATCCGACTGACAGGTGGGCCCGGGGGCACTAATCTCGAAGTAACCCCGCGCTAATCCAGACCGCTCACTGGAATCCCCAAATCCAATGGGTAGGTTGTGTTTACCCACGAAACAAGCTAACCCTCCCACCGGTGCGATCACCGCCAGTAACCATTTCGCACCCTAGGGCGGTCGATCCGGTACGTCCACGTGTCCCTTATCTGGGGATGTGCGGGCGGGATGTGGTTCGCGACGGGCGCGGGGCAGCGTGGTGGCACCGGTGGGTGTACATGGGTTGTGATGCGCTCTCTTCTCTTCGTTGTGTTAAAGAGAAGAGGAGGCCTCGCTTCTCTTCTTCTTCTTCGCCTCGCCCTTGCCTCGTTCCTCACCCATCCTTCCCTCTCGCGTCTCGCGTCTCGCCGAGGCGATTAGCCGCCTCTCCTCCCCGCGCGTCGCCTTCGCCTCGCGCTGCGCCCTCTTCGCGCCGCGCTCGGGGGGTCTCGCAGGAGCCAGCGGCGGGCAGATCCGGCGCCGGTGTACGTCTTCCGAGGTTTGAGAGGATCGGCGGCGGCGGCGGCGGCGGCGACCGGGAGGTTGTTCTGTAGGAGGCGGCGGTGGTTTGGTTGGGTGAAGGGAGGAGGGGGAGGAGGAGGAAGGGAGTCTGTGTATGGGGGGATGAAGCGCGCCAGGGACGACGCGCTCATGGGCTCCCAACTCAAGCGCCCCAACGTCGGTCGATCCGATCCGTGAGTGCTTTTCTCCTCGCCTCCTCCATCCTTGGCTTCCTCGGTGCTCATCGCCTTCGCCCTTCCAGGCGTTCCTGCCTATTTCGTTTGTTTTATTTTTCAAAATAAACTTCACTTCGGTTTCGTTTCCCTCACCCTCAGCCCGCGAGGGAGTGAATAATTAATTATATATATTATTTCCATCTGCGGGAGGAATTCGGGTTTCCTTTGGGGAATCTCTCTTCTTCACCGTCAAATTTTGTGTTCCAATTTCTAACTCTACGTCGCAAAAAAAAAGGAGGTGTTTTTTAGGGTGCGATTTTGTTTTGCGTTTTGATCTAACTGTTTGCCCCTCCTCTCGTGGTGTAGGACGGCGCAGCCGCAGCACATGCCTCTGGGGCCTGCCTCCGCTGCAGCGCCGCCGCCTCAGGCCGCCGCTGCTCCGCCTGCTCAGCCGCCCGCCGGCGGCGCAACGGCCGGCCAGAAGCTCACCACGAACGATGCGCTCGTCTACCTCAAGGCCGTCAAGGATAAGTTCCAGGACAAGAGGGAGAAATACGAGGAGTTCCTCGAGGTCATGCGCGATTTCAAGAGTGAGAGGTCTCTCTACTCTCTCCCTATCGGATCCCTACCGCTTTACATATCTCACTTCACCGGGATATATTGACTTGTCTGCCTTCCATGACTGTCTTGTGGTGCAATCTCGATGCAGGATTGATACCAACGGAGTCATTATTCGTGTCAAGACACTCTTCAACGGGTACCCTGAGCTCATCCTTGGCTTCAATACCTTCTTGCCCAAGGGTTATGCAATCAAGCTGCAGGAGGAGAAGAAGCCTGTTGATTTCGTGGAAGCCATCAATTTCGTAAACAAGATTAAGGTATAAATACACGTGCATACGTTATGTGCAACTATTTTCCCTAGGTAATAACCGCCGTGATACGTAGCGATTTATGTCATTTATTATTGCTTCTTTTCTACAGAATCGGTTCCAGCATGATGAGCATGTCTATAAGGCATTCTTAGACATCCTCAACATGTACCGCAAGGACAATAAATCCATCCAAGATGTTTACCATGAGGTTCCTATTCCCTCCTTTTTTTTCTTTGGCCCTGCATACTATGCGACGCTTCCGATAGGAGAAGTTAATTAGCTTTGTCTTTTTGGCAGGTTGCTGTGTTGTTTGCAGACCACAAAGATTTACTCGAAGAGTTCCAACACTTCTTGCCTGATACCTCCGTGCCTCCACAAGCTGTGGCCCCTTCAAGGCCTGGTATTAGGCGGGATGACAGGACCTCTCTGGTGCCTCCTGCTAGTAGGAATGAAAAGGTATAAGTGCCCTACTATTTTGTAGAGCGAAGTGCTATCAATGACCTTATCTTGTAACCTTAATTTACTTTCAGTTTCAATCTAGTGCCTAGGAGGTAGTTCTCTAGTTGGCAGAAAATACTATATCACGTTAATTATAGGGAAGAAGCCACATTTGCTTGACTTTTGAGGAAGCTGTTGGCAAAATATGGTGCAAGAATCAAGTGTTGCAAATGCAAGGAGAAACAAAAGGAAAACATATGAACTCTCGTTGCTACCAAACATGTAATAGGGAATTCATGGAGTACCTGGCCGTCGACTCTCATGAACAGGATGTGCCATATAGGTTAAACGACGCCATTTATTAATTTTGGCATGTTACTCCCTTTTATGAACTAAACATTTTACTCCAAAGCGTTTTTAATTGTTTTACTATCTGGGGTTAGAATGAGGCCAACATGAGGCATTTCATTATGTAGGCAAGTCCCTTGTTCTGCTAATATGCTTAAGCTAATATAACATAAAGTTAGCTGACCGGTTATCTCACTTCTGTGTTCAGAGGGATAAGGCTCATCCACATGCTGACCGTGAGAGTGTTGATCGTCCTGATCTGGACCATGTTATCCAGCGAAGACGCCCTAAGGATAGGCATGATTATGATAGAGGCGATAAGGATGGTGAACTTGACAGCAAAGATCTTGATATAGGACTTAAGCGCAAACCTTTTCCAAGGAAGATGGAGGACCCTACCAGTGCTGATGCACACCATGGAGGGCCCCTGGAAAATCACGGAATACTTGGTGCATCTGCTTCATTATATGATAATAAAGATGCACTTAAGAGTAAGTCTCTTAAAATACAGGATTGATGTTTTTGTCTGGTCATCACAGTACATTTTCTTCTCTACATTACTATTTTATTTTGTCCTTCAAATGCAAGTTAGGAGCTGCATTATGTAAGAACATATGCATGTCTGTTGCTTATCCCTGTTGCAGCATATGCCTGGAGAATTCTGCTGCCTTTCCACTTTTCAATTACTTATATTTACATGTTTCCTCGCAACATCAGGTGTATACACGCAGGAGTTCCATTTCTGCGAAAAAGTGAAGGAGAAGCTGGAGCATGATGCTTACCAGGAGTTTTTGAAATGTCTTCACATATACAGCCAGGAAATTATTACTAGGAGTGAATTGAAGAACTTGGTAGGGTTCCTATATATTCATGCTATTCTGAAATTTTTAAATGACCTCTGCCTTTCTTATCTGAGTGGTGTTACTTGATATGTGATCATGAACATCGTCACTGTGTTACAGGTGAATGATATACTTCAGCAGCATCCAGATCTTATGGATGGGTTTAATGAATTCTTGGAGCACTGTGAGAATATAGGTAGGTCGCATATTTAAAATGTATCCATGATCATTCTTGCAAGATTTCTTTCGTTGGTTTTAGATTTCATGGTTTCATCTCCGAAACATTCTCTCTCTCTCCCTGCAGATGGTTTTCTGGCTGGTGTCTTCAGTAAAAGTATGCAATCAGTGCTTTCAACTTAGTATCCCCTTATTCTTTCTCCTTTTAGAATCTCATGTTAACACTAATTATATTAATGAAGGGCAAACTGGACGAATTGTTAAAACTGAGGAAAGGAAAGAGGGAGGAAAGGGAACAGAAAAAGAACCGGACAGAATCGAGAAAGTACCAGCATATAAGGAAGCTCCTAGCCAAAAACCTGTGTTCTCTAGCAAAGAAAAGTATATATACAAACCTGTATCAGAGCTCGATCTTTCAAATTGTCAGCGGTGCACTCCAAGTTACCGGCTTCTACCTAAACATGTAAGCTAATTTAGATCATGTTTTTTTTTTGTTGATGACTGATATGTTTTGTTTAACATATGGTTTAATCCTGTTTCCAGTACCCAATGCCTCCCGCAGGCAACAAGACTGAGCTTGGAGCTTCAGTGCTTAACGATCACTGGGTATCAGTGACATCAGGAAGTGAAGACTATTCATTTAAGCACATGAGAAAGAATCAGTACGAAGAGAGTTTATTTAGATGTGAAGATGACAGGTGCTGATTTATGTTTCTAGTAAACATAGCATGAACATGCTTTTACATATTTATTGCCATAGTCCCTTTGGTAAGAGTAGTCATTTATTTTATCACTTTAATCAACGGCTCAACTCTTCAAACCTACTATCAATGTTCGGTTCTATGCTGTGGGCTAATATTGATATCCTCACCTGAGTATTGTGGAAGTAGACTCATAATTGTGTGCAATCGAAGGTTTCATGATGACAACTGGGATCCTTGAGTCTTCAAGAGTGTCGCGGACTTGTGGTTGTAAAATTTTGCTATCCTGCTTGTGCACATGTTATAAGTTAGTCAATATGTTGATATGGTATTTTGCGTTGCTTCTTGAGTTAGATGTGGCATACGCAGTAGTAACTAATGGTGTTGTTGATTTGGTTGTCCAGTCACACATGTCACTATCTGTATTGTACAATACCATGCCTTTCGGGTTTCATGAATTGTGGTTGGAATCCACCCTAGATGGAATAGGGGTCTTGGTCTCTATGCTTCAAGAGAAGGCATTTCTCCACTATCTAAAAGGAAATGAACATTAACTAAAAGGAACTTATGAGTATACTGTAACTTCCCTGATTGGTCAAAACATGTGTGGCCCGTATTAGATTACATCTCATGTACCGCTTGTGTTTTTGAACAACTGTAGATCTTCATCGCATGCTTCTCTGATGTGTGTTCCTTGTATTTTCCCTTTAGATTTTCTTGAGAGAAGCTCATCGAGGAGATTTTTGCTAAGTGATTGTTAGGAATTATTAAGTAGTGAAATTAATTAAACATGAACTAAGTCATACAAGAACTTCTTTACTGTTTGTCGGTAATTGGTTTCTGGAGATATTGAGGTGGTTTTCCTATTTGATGCTTACAATGTAACCAGAAACCTAGTTTTCCTGGTTTCCTGCATTGTGCTCAAGTTTAATTGGCACCTGCACTAAAGCTGTGCTCTGCCAATGCATGCATGCATGCCAGCTTGAATAGATGTTTTTCCATTTCCATATCCTCCTGACTGGGAAACTAAATAACTAATGCTTAGTTCTTGCATTGAGCATCTTGAGTTGTGGGCATGAAGCATGTGGAAGAGACATTACATCTCTTTAAATATGTTTCTACAACGATGCCATTCGTTGAGGATGACAGGCTCTTTAGACTATAGTAACAATGTTGTGTAACTGGCATGTCTAATAAATCATAACTATCCCCTGCGATTACTGTTTATATCGGGTCATCTTTTGATGCTGATTGCAAACTGGTCTGTTTTTTTTTCTTTTCAGATTTGAGTTGGACATGCTGTTGGAATCAGTTAATGCAGCAACTAAGCGTGTCGAAGAGTTGATAGAAAAGATGCAAGACAACTCCCTAAAACCAGATAGCCCAATACGCATCGATGAGCATTTAACTCGTATGCATCTTTTATTTGTTTAATTTGTATTGTTATGTTTGGTAATGCATGATACGGAGGTTGCTTGACTGCCCTTATGGGTTATTTGTAACTGTTTTACAGCTTTGAATCTGAGGTGCATTGAACGGTTATATGGTGACCATGGTCTGGATGTGATGGATGTCCTTCGAAAGAACGCTAGTGTTGCTCTACCAGTCATCTTAACTAGGCTTAAACAGAAGCAGGAAGAATGGTCAAGGTGCCGATCAGATTTCAACAAGGTTTGGGCAGAGATATATGCCAAAAATTATCACAAGTCTCTTGACCACCGCAGTTTCTATTTCAAACAGCAAGATACAAAGAACCTGAGCACAAAATGTACGTGCGGTTTTTGTTGCCTGTAATTTTTTTCTTATGTTAGTTCCAGCCTTGCCTGGTCGTAGAATATTTCTAATTATACTCTTCCTTCTATAGCTCTATTAACTGAGATCAAAGAAATTAATGAGAAGAAAAGAAAGGAAGATGATGTGCTCCTTGCTATTGCTGCTGGAAATAGGCGTCCAATAGTTCCCAATATGTCATTTGACTATGTAGATTCAAACATCCATGAAGATATGTATAAGATCATTAAGTACTCCTGTGGTGAAGTCTGCAGTTCCTCAGACCAACTGGACAAAGTTGTGAGAATTTGGACAACTTTTCTGGAGCCAATTTTGGGTGTTCAGCCTCGGACACATGGTGCTGAGGATGCAGATGCAGTCAAACCCAAGAGTCGAACCACAAAGTCTGGTCTTGCAACTGTTGGGGAAATCAACACTACTGCAGCAGGGGCTGTTGCCAAGCATGGCCATGATGAAAATATTCCACAGGAGCAAACACCGTCATCTCTGGCTAGAATGGTGAATGGAGTAGCAACAGATACTCAAAATGGTTTCCATGATGTTGATCGAACTGCTCGTAGGGCTGAGGAACCATCGAATACTGCCGTAAATGGAAGAGTGCAAGGTGCTTCCCCTGGAACTAATGAAATTCCCGCTGTTAGTACCCAAAACATGCCTACCGAGAGGTCTGCAGAGAACATTCCTGTTGCTAGGACTGAACAGCATGGCAATGCTAAAGCAAATTTGGAACCAACATCAGGTATCCATTTCTGTTCCTTGGAACCTCTTTTGGTTTGTTTTTGCTGGTGGTTATGTTTTGTCTTGCCTTCTAGGTGTGAATGCTTCTAGAAGTTCTCATGCTGGAAATGACACTGCTGCTGAAGCCCGGGCTGGAAATGAAACATTACCATCAGTAGAGGTATGAACACATTCTTCTATGGCTAGTTTTACTTTCAATATCTCTTACCATTATCTTATGGTCCTTTTCCCCATCGAAGATGTTTTTTCCCCTTTTGTTGGTTGCTTACTTTATTATCTTTTTGTTTGTTTGTTGCCACAATGATGGTGTCATATGGAATTGATGAGCTTGTGTTGAATCTTTTCCATATAAAATGGAACAGTCATTTGTTTTGCCTACCGAGATGGCAAGATGGATGCAACAAATCAATGAGAACTCATAATCTATGTTTCTGTTCTCTTTGCAGGGTGGAGAAACAGGGAGGTCAGGATCAACTTTAAATGGTGGAGGTGCAAGTGAGGGTAACAAAGGGCGCCTATTCAATGAAGCTTCTGCATCCCACAATACCCCAAAAGTTGAAAGAGAAGAGGGTGAATTATCTCCTAATGGGGATTTTGAAGAGGACAATTTTGCGCCTTTTGAAGATGGAGCTGTAGATGGAGTATCTAAAGCGAAGGAAGGTTCCACAAGCAGACCATTCCAGGGTAGGTCTGGAGAAGCACAACCATCTTGTGCTGAAGCAGCTGGTGAGAATGATGCTGATGCTGATGATGAGGGTGAGGAAAGCGCACAAAGGTCTACCGAGGACAGTGAGAATGCCTCCGAGGGTGGTGAAGATGCATCAGGAAGTGAATCTGGTGATGGTGAGGAGTGCTCTCGTGAAGATCATGATGAGGAAGAGGAAGATATGGATCATGATGATCAGGATGCCAAGGCTGAAAGTGAGGGTGAGGCAGAAGGAACAACTGAGACACATGATGTGGAAGGGGGAATATCACTCCCGCTATCGGAACGCTTTCTACACTCCGTAAAACCACTTGCCAAGCATGTACCCACAGCTTTACATGACCGAGATGAAAAGTCCTCGCGTATATTTTATGGGAATGATTCATTTTATGTACTGTTCAGGCTGCATCAGGTGAGCTTCCAGAAATCTTGATCTTGTGTCTTCGCTTGTGCTCTCGTCTGCTAAAGTTGTTTTAATTGCAGATCTTGTACGAAAGATTACTTTCGGCTAAGACAAACTCATCCAGTGCTGAAAAGAAATGGAGAACTTCCAAGGATACAAACCCACCTGACCTATATGCAAAGTAGTGCTGCTTTCCTATATTGTCTAATTACTTATACCACCTTACCATAAATATGATGAATAATCAATCTGTCAATTTTGATGAAGGTTTATAAGTGCACTTTACAACTTGCTCGATGGTTCTTCGGATAATACCAAGTTTGAGGATGACTGCCGTTCTATCATTGGTACTCAGTCCTATGTTCTGTTTACTTTGGATAAACTGATATATAAAGTTGTGAAGCAGGTATGTTGTCGTCCATTATTCTATATGTCATTTTGGCTTGGATGCAAGATTCACTGTTTGATTTACCTGGTACCAGCTTCAAGCTATAGCAACAGATGAAATGGACAACAAGCTTCTCCAGCTTTATTTATATGAAAAATCAAGATCCCCTGGGAGGTTCTTTGATCTAGTCTATCATGAAAATGCACGCGTGCTCCTCCATGAAGAGAGCATATACCGGTTTGAATGTGTAAGCTTCATTCTGCTCTGCAGACTACTATGAGTTCCTTCATGTACTTGTAGTTGTGTGTTCCCTCTTGTATGTTAATAAAATGATGATAGTGTTTCTTATGTGTTCAAAAGAACAGGTTCACCTTGTACTACGGTAGTGTTAGTGCTTTCTTGTGCTATAGAAATATAGATGACTAAAGGCTGTTTTGTTTTTCATATCGCAGTGCTCAAATCCTACAAAATTGTCTATTCAGCTGATGGAATATGGCCATGAAAAGCCTGAAGTGACTGCAGTATCAATTGATCCCAATTTTTCCTCGTATCTTTTTAACGAGTATTTGTCGAGTATGTCAGACAGAAAATTGTCTGAGGGTGTCTTCCTGGAAAGGTATTTTATCCCCTTAATAAAACTGAAATGTATCTAATGCCATGTCTCCGGTATTCATGGTCTTGTACTGTTATCCCAGGAATAAGCGGAAGCATTCAAATAACGACGAGCCTTCAGATTCGTTGAAGGCCATGGATGGTGTCAAAGTCGCTAATGGCCTTGAATGCAAGATATCATGCAAGACCTCTAAGGTTACTATCTTTTTCTTTGGCAGGTAGTTCGAGTGCATCCAGTTTTACTGGAAATTAATCGTATGTGATGATATGCAGGTCTCATATGTCCTTGACACTGAAGATTTCTTATTTCGATTGAGAAAGAGGAGGAGATTTTCACCTGTTGGAAATGTGCCTGAGAAGCTGCAGGCTTCAAAAACATATGCTGCGAAAGTGCAGCGCTTCCATAGATTTCTATCCAAGCCTTAGGGGTCATCGGCAAAATACTGGTAATTCCACTAGGTTTCAGAAAGTGTTAAGCCCTAGGCAAAGTTGCATGATGTTGTGTTAGTGGCAGGGCACTGAATATCATTTTTGCTGCATTGCAGTCCTTGTTGTAACTAAATCAGGAGATGCTGCTGCCGAGATCGCGACTGTTTTGCTTCGATATTGAGAGAAGAAGCTGTGGGAGATTGATCGATTGACCCCCTTGGAATAACAAGTGCTTGCTGCTGGGAAGAGGACGATGTTACAGAATACTATATAACAGGGTAAATACAGGAGGAGAGGAAAGCAAATCAAAGCAAAGCATGAGTGAGCACCGCAGTCAGCTCCGATGTGCTGAAAGAAGTGTTTGTTGTACATATGTATTAGCAGAATTAATGTTGTTTGTTCAGTAAGGTCCAGGTTTACCAATATTAATTGTTTACTTACTGCTCTCTCTCTCTCTCGGTCGTAGGAGGATGGATATTATTCTATTAACTCATCATCAAATCATTTGTTGCTGTTGGTATAGGCCCCTCTGTTTTTTGACCCACCCATGTTTTTGATTGAATCTAACGTTGTCAAACACAGCTATTGTAATCGATCGATCTATCCCTTTGGTAAATTAGACAGACTTGTAATACATACACTAATAATTTCTAATAGCTGCTCTGTTACATGCGTTTACTGATTTACCGATTTGGATTGTGGCGGGCATATTTCTAAAAGGTGTGATTTTAGCAAAATCTAACCTTCTTAAAATCAACTTTATCAATGAACTGCTAGAGGCATTATGTGACACTATAATGTTGTTACTATAGAAGAATTTGCAGAAGGGGGTGAGATTGCATGTGTAAATTCGTTTTAGAGAAAAAATTGGCGAGCAATGATGTAAACAAAGGCAGACACGAGAATGGCACAGTAAACCGGCTGATGAATTCTTGCATTTGATCTCATTAACATGATTACATCGATCAAAAGCGACAAGAGTAAAGAGTAGATGATCAAACAGTCAACACAAGAGCAAAGAGTATCAATCAATGGAGTCGACCAATCAAAGCCAAGACTTACTAGTATCTAATCAGAGCAGCAGGAGGAGGTCGAAGAGGGTGGTGGTGGCGTCGCGAGCAAGGGCGGCGACGGCGGGGGCGTTGGCGATGATGTTGCACGCTCCGCGGAGGTGACCGAGTGCTCCGAAGAGCCCCGTGTTGGCGGCGGCCGTCCACTGACTGCGGACGTCGGGTGCGTACTCGTCGACGGCGGCGGCGACGGCGAGGAGGGGGGTGACGGCGTGGCAGTCGGCGCTGGCGTCGAGGAGCTTCTTCCGCGCGTTGCCGAGCCACACCACCACCGCGTCCATCTTGTAGCGCCACACCACCGCCGGAATCCCCTGCAGGCGCACGGCGGCGTCGGTGGAGGTGAGCCAGCGGTCGACGTGGATGGTGGCCTCCATGGCCATGAGCTCCATGTGGGTGACGAGGCGCGAGGCCAGGGCGATGGAGTGGTTGCAGTCGTGGGCGAGGAGAGCCTCCGCGGCGGCGAGATCGGGTGGTGCGACTTCGACGATGTTGGCGTAGGCGGAGCGGAGGGCGTGGAGCGCGTCCAAGGTATGGGAGTAGGCGTCGGAGGCGGAGATGGTGACGAGGCGCAGCGCCCCCAGCGCGGTGGTCGCCAGATGCTTCTTCACGGCCACGGCCTCGTCCTCGCCGCCATTTCCCGCAGCCGCAGCCGGATCCATCTCCATGGCTAGCTCCGATCGATCGCCTCTACTCTCTCTCCTATATTTTGCTCGCTCGCCTCTAGTCTCTCCGTGCGCGTGGTGGTGGATTCTTTGGTTCCATCCATGGATCGCCTCCATCTATATAGGGACGCACGCACGCACCCGTTAGTGTTGCGATTGACGCACACGGTTAATTTGTGCTCCACCGCCCAACGACATCCCCCGCTGATGCCGACGAAAAACGGATCGAAAAAAAAAAAGAAAACAAGGCTGTAGTAATACTCCAGTAATTACTAGCTACTGTTATTACTCCAGTTGTTTATCTTTTGTTTTCTTTCACTTTATTATTTCCTTCATATTTTTTTTCAATTACACCGAAAATGCACACTTGCACACCACCATACACCTACACCGTTACACCACACTCACATTTCTACGAGCATATGTATCCCTTGACACATGTTGAAAGAGAGATAGATGACAACTGCTAATCCTAACTCATCAAAATCCTATTGTTCCTTTTCATTTTAATCCACAAGTAGTATGTAGATTGTAGACTCATGGAGTACACCATAATTAAGTAATATCGTGGTTGGCGGTTAACTAGGTACTCACGATGATCATTAAAAACAACAGGTGCAGAATAACAAAATAGTGGTGTGATCAAATAACAATGTAGGTCGTTTACTCACAATGATCAAATAACAAAATGCCGTCGATTGATCATAACAGGCGTAGAATGTAATTGATCTGCCCGTCTACCTACAACTTTTTCTTTGTCTACTACTCCAAAGACAGGTTTGTAGTACTGCTTGGTAATTAAAAGCTGGATGGATACTCCAAAATTAAGTAGTCGTGCAGTCCAAAAGACTCAGAATTACTGCTACTAGTATACTAACTACTCCAGATTGACCACCTGATGATGGATCAATCGATGAACCAGACACAGCGCAGATGATAAGAAGGGAAAAGAAATTAGAAAAAGAAAAGCGGCCGGGCTTGAGCCTGAATTGGACCAATTAATAAGAAGCTGGGGATCCTTAAGCTGTTCAATTGATGATCCGTCGATCAATTCGCCTCCCTCTCCTCGATCCAGCTGTACCTATATCAAGTCACAGAAGAAGAGGAAATTAATTAGCTAAGCAGGAGCAAATAATTAATTAATTTGTGAAATTGAAGGTTTGAATTGAAGCAATTAGTTCTTAACAAGCTACTAGGCAATAGTATAATGGAAATGCTAACTTGGCATGCGTGCGTGCTAACGTACGTAGATCGACGGAGAAGAGGAGAGAAAAGAAGACGATTGATCAGGGTAGGTTCCAGGTGTAACCGAAAATCAAGCTGGCCTCGTTTTGAAGCTTGATGTAGTGGGCGTTGATGGCGTTGGCGGCGACGTTGCAGTAGGCGGCGGCGAAGTCTAACATGACGCAGGCGGCACGGAGGCGGTCGCGGGCCAGCGGCAGGCGGTTGTGGCGATGGAGATTGGGGTCGTTGCGGCGGCCGAGGAGGCGGAGGTAGAGGATGCACCTCTCAAGGTTGTAGTCGAGGAGGAGCGCGAGCGTGTTGTGGACGACGGACACCGCGAGCAACGCGTCGTCGAGGGTGCAGGCGGTGGGCTGCGGCGGCGGCGTGGGGATGGAGGCGAGCAGGTGGGCGGCGAGGCGGGGGAAGGGGTTGGCGGCGAGCGAGGGCAGCTTGGAGGAGAAGTCGGTGGAGGCGTCGGCGTCGGCGTGGCGCAGCGCGATGCGGAGCACGGAGGAGAGGTAGTAGGCGGCGTTGTGGAGGTGGATCGTGGCGTGGGTGAGGCCAGCGGCGGTGTCCCGGATGAGCCTGCAGGCGTCGGTGGCGGCGGAGGAGGACGAGAGGTCGGCGCGGGAGGGCTCGTCCTGGATCCCGTCGAGGGCGGCGCGTAGGGCGTGCAGGCGGGGGACGTGCACGGCGAGGATGTTGTTGGCCACGCTCATGCTCTTCGACATGCGGGACACCAGCTCCATCGTACTACTGCTCTTCAACGCCATTGCCGCCCCGCCCTGATCTCTCTCAGATGAAGATGAAGAAGATCCAAATGTGACGCGAAGAAGAAGAAGAAGATCTATCTATCAGAGGAAGAAGATGAAGGGAGTGGAATGGAAGGATGAGATGTAGAAAATGTGACGCGAAGGATTAATCCAAATTACAGAAAAGTAATTACAGCAAGTGCCAGGCCAGCCTGGCAGCAATAAAAAAGAAGAGAAGAGAAGAGACGCTGGGTGGGGCCCACCAACCAGTCACTCAGTACGTACACCTCCGTGGGGAGAAGGAAAGAAGAAAAGAAAGGCACAAACAAGGAGTAAAATCTGGCTCGCCGCAATGCAACGCAACTAGCGCTTGGATGGAGACAAAATTAATAAACTCCATTTGTATTGGGGTGGGGCCCATACGGCCAGGGTAAAGCAATGCATGCAACTCCAGCTCCAGTGAGATCATGAGAATCAAATGTTTGTTTGTTTCAATGTTTTCCTTTCCTTTACTTCTTTTTAAAAATAAAAAAATAAAAACTACTACTAGTAGAGTACCAAAAAAATTTGAAACACTCCACATGAAAATCATTAATTAGGATTACCCAAGCAAGCAAGAACAAGAACTATTAATTCAATATAAATCGCAAGGGATTATATGCAGTGGCAATCAAGTAGTGGTAATATTGGATCAAAGTGATGAATGGCATGGCATGGATGGATAGAGCACAAGAAAAAGTACCAGGCAAAGGCATCAATCAGAATCGATATCAATCACTGGGATGGGGGGATCAGGTACGGTGGCGTTCTGCTTCCGCGCGCTGACATTCCGGGCGTTTGCCGTCGACGCCGCCGCCGCTGCCTCCGCCTTGAGGAGCTCGCCCACCGCGGCGTCCAGCGACTCGTGGGCCACCCCGAGCTCGCCCTCCGCGATCACGCCCCCCTGTTCCGCTCCGGCCACGCCCACCCTCTCCACCCCCTGGAAGCAGCGGACCACGGCGCGCACGCGGGCGCAGCACCGGAGGACATGCTCCTGCGCGGCTTCCGCGTGCTTCATGGCCTCATCCAGCTCCTCGGGGGACGGGGCGGGGGCGAAGGTGGCGTCGCCGGGCTGCTTCAGGGCATAGTGTTCCAAGTCGTCGGTGGCGAGGGTGAGGGTGACGTCGTCAGCCTTGATGAGCTTGACGAGCTCGAGCGTGGTCTTGATGCCGCGCAGCCTCGCCGCCGCGTCGCACGCCCCGGCCGCCACGTCGTCGAGGAGCAGGAGCTCGGCGGTGATGGCGCTCATCTCCACCTCCCGAATCGCCCAGCTCGCCATCCTGCCGCTCACCACCTCCAGGGCTCCGCGCTGCTGCTCCAGCAGGGTCGAGACGGCGAGCAGACGGTTGCGCGCCGACTCCGCCGCCGACTCCTCCGCCTGAATGGATTCCATCACGTCGTGGTACGAATTATCCACCATCCTCTTCACAGCACCCGCCATCGCCCACCTGCTCTCCGCTCTCTCGTCTCGTCTCGTGTCTTGTGTTTTCTCTCTTTCCGCTCTCCGCGTGCTTTGCTTGTGTTCATCTACATGACTATACATCCCCTCAGGTTGGTTGCTTTATTACGTGTCAGATACAACTGCGCTGAAATTTCACTGCCTTTTTCTTTCAAACTTTTTTTTTTGAGATAATGCAGCTTCTCATAGATTAATTAAGATCAGACAGCAGTACCCCCGAAGAGTCTCGGGATTACAGAACGATATATATTACAAACTGTTTGCTCAGAACATTGAGCTAAAAGGTGAGCCGCAGCATTAGTTACACGATTAACATGAATGAAAGAGCAATCCAAAAAACCAGCCGCCAGGAAGTTTACGTCAGAGACAAGAGCGCCAACCATTGATCGGTCGCGTGCTCCAGACTGAATCTTTTGGATGATAGCTAGGCAATCTGAAGCCAAAACAATTTTCTGGTGACCCTCCTCCATCGCCGTGCGCAACGCACAGCGATAGCCAAAGCTTCTGCCATTTCAGGTTGGATACACCCCGAGTGTCGCTCATTAGCAGCGAACAAGCACAGCCCGCTGACCAAAAGAATTGACTGACTGGAAGACAGCAGCATCTGTAATTAATAAGAATCGTACCTTCAGGCGGAGGCCTCCATCTGGGAGCTGGCCGAAGAGCTTCACCCCTAACCGCCCTGGATTTTTCACGTTTTGGTCCTTTTGAAAAACTTATTTCGCAAATAGACCCCTAGAAAAACTTATCCAAAAAATGGTCCTTTTTGGGGCGCCAGAGTGGCTGGCGCCGTCGTCCAACAGGACGGCGCCAGCCTCTCTGGCGCCGTCCCACCGCCGACGTGGTGGGGCGATGCTGAGGTGGCTAGGGGGAGTGCGCCAGAGTGGCTGGCGCCCCCCTCCCCCCCGAAATTTTTTATTTTTGTTTTATTTGTTTGATATTTTTTTCACGCTTAGGGACACACAAGAACCAACCATAGAAAAATTGAACTCAAATGGACGTAACATGTGACATGTAGAATTTTTCCTCTCCTCTCCTCTCTCCGAACTAGTGCAGAGGAGAGAGATGTGCAACTTTTTTATTTTTATTTTATTTTTTTGATATTTTTTTCACACTTCGGAACTCACAGGAACCAACCACGTAAAAAATAAACTCAAACGGACGAAATATGTGACATTTGGAATTTTCCAAAGCTCCACCGAAAAACTTCTCTCCTCGAAAACACAATCTTGCAAGCAGAATTTAGAGGTTTTAATCTACAGAACTTTTTCTGTAGATGTCCGTTCATATATTATTTGCCTGATTCCGAGTCCGTATGAGAAAGTTACGCCTATTTTAATAGATGGCATATTTTTTTCCGTTTCGGTAGAGTTTTGGAAAATTCTACATGTCACATATTTTGTCCGTTTGAGTTTATTTTTTATACGGTTGGTTCCTATGTTCTCCTAAGTGTGAAAAAAATATCAAAAAAATGAAATAAAAATAAAAAAATTACATCTCTATGTACTGTTTAACTTATATATGTCATTTCATGTGGTTATATTTTGAATTAGATTAAGTAATTTATATAGTGGTAGAGTGCATTATGTTTAACATGCTGATCAAAGGGTTTTACTAAAGGAGTTATGGTCTAATTTTAGTGAATGTGCAAAGTAGACTAAGTGGTATGCTAGATATTTTCAGACTTAGCTAAGTGGTAGTTCGAGTTTAAATTTTTTTTGTGGTTGGTTGTATCGTGATCCTGAGTGTGAAAAAACATCCGAAAAAATAAAATAAAAATGACACCGTTGCAACTCCATACAGAGAAACAGGAATGGAGGCGGCGGCGCTAGCCATGCTGGCGCCCTCCTCCCTGGGGCGGCGCCAGCATGGATGGCGCCCTCCTCCTGCCACGTCGGTTCGCGTGCGCCACGGTGGTAGGAGGACTCCCGTTGGATGACGGCGCCAGCCACTCTGGCGCCCCAAAAAGGACCATTTCTGGGATAAGTTTTTTCAGGGGTCTATTTGCGAAATAAGTTTTTTAAAAGGATCAAAATGTGAAAAATCCAGCCTAACCGCCTGCGCAGCACGGCAACAGTGTTGTTCAATCATCTCCACATAAGCCAAGATTTTCTGGATGACCTGTCTTGGATTAGCTAAGGTAGGATTATTCCTGGAGTGATTTCTAGCCTCCCATATATGCCACAACGTGACAGCCAGCGCCGTCTTTTGGATGCTTGAACTTCTCCCCAGGAAATCAAAATCCCACTGCTTCATATTTGACAGATCAGTCCTGCATAGCTTCAAATCAAAATGTTGCTTGATGCTATCCCAAATACATTCAGCAAAAGGGCATAGGAGAAAAATGTGCTCGATGTTCAAACCTTTGAAAGATCAGCCTTTTTCTTTCAAACTTTTCACATCACATCGTACGTTCAAACCCCTTCATAAAGTACTCCCTCTGTCCTAAAATGTTTGACACCGTTGACTTTTTAAAACACGTTTGACTGTTCGTCTTATTCAAAAATTTTTATGAAATATATAAAACTATATGTATACATAAAAGTATATTTAACAATGAATCAAATGATAGAAAAAGAATTAAAAAATACTTAAAATTTTTGAATAAGACGAACGGTCAAACATAATTAAAAGTCAACGACGGCAAACATTTTGGGACGAAGGGAGTATTAAATATAGACTTAAAAAAAACTAATTATACATATTACAACTAATTTACAAGATGAATCTTTTAATAATATGGTGTTACAATAAACATTTGCTAGCGATGGATTAATTAGACTTAATAAATTTATCTCGCAATTTACTAACAGATTTTTTTTATTAGTGCCCGAATACCCTATGCGACACCTTATATAATATCCGATATGATATACCAAAACTTTACACTTAACAATTCCAACATTCCAATCTAAACACAGCCTAAAATTCACCGCATTTTGACCCCTATATTACGCTAACAACTCCGACATTATTAGTACTCGCATTTTTACACAGCAGCATTTCGTTCTGCTGCATCAAAATGCACACGGACGAATATTTAAAATCCATTCACATGCCATTTTACTCGCGGCTCGTGAGATGACTAATACACATTACAAAATGAGAGAATAGTAAGCATAACAAACGTTGTTTGCCAATATATATATATATATAATATAATTATATATCCATTCACTAGCAAAGCAGGAGCAACGCCATCAGTCCCAGACAGCCCAGGCTCAGAGTAAAAAAAAAATCAGAAGATCACGATACTGGCGTATCAGCTACTACTATCTGCTATGGTAGCCAGCCGTCATGTGACACCACCACTGCCCAAGACATTTTCTGTGGCCTATCACCTGTACAACTAATCTGCGCGTTACTTATGCGTGCAGATTACCAGCAAAAACAAAACCCGTAATTAGTAGTATTGGATGCTCCCGCTCAGTAATAAAAGGTTCCTTCCTTCCTTCCGTATGTCTACCTATGATCCTTTCTCCTTTGTCGTACTAGTATGCTACGAGCTACTACTAACTAACACTGATGACAGTACTTGGCAACAAGGAGTTGCTGAAGATTAGTGGAATCTAATGCGCTTCTTCCTGGGAGTGTCATGAACTTGTGTCTTCTCACCATACATCCTCAGTTGTAGGTTCTCGAAGGCTTCTGACACCGCTTCAACCTGCACCCAATATTTCACTCAACACATTATGCAACTGCAAGATAATACATCCATGGTAAAGCGGCTCTGCCAGAATGTTTTGTCACTCACCAGCTCGTGCTTCTTGGCGTAGACCCGGACAATTCTGTCCTGGTTGTACGCAGGTAGCAGGTGGCTGACCCGCTCATCTGTGATGGGGAACTTCTCATCGCAACCAAAATCCTGGCTCAACAAGAATTCCTACTTTAGACCACATGAGAATTATGAGGACATTCCACTGTCAAGGCAGGTATAGTTACCTTAAAGAACTTGATGCTGGGGATAGTAGATATGCAGACCAACAAAAGTAACAGGTCAGAATCTGATATGTCGCCCTAAGAAATATAAGAGTCTGAAAAGTGGGTTTATAAATCAAAAACCTTTCAAGGGGATTATCTTTTCCACGGGTCAAATCAATCTTAACATTGCTAACAGCAACATCTTCTTCCTTCAGCAGCACCTTGGAAGATTTCTGAAGATGGGTAAAATCATAAACATACAACTAATATTCTTCAGGAAAAAAAATCAGATCTTCAGAGGATCAAAGTAGGCATGAACCTGTGAACAAACTATGTCTTGTGCGGTTATATTCTTAAAGTGCTCCAGCTTGTCCTTTGGAACAGAATATTCATTGCAGAACTGCAAGTTGAAAGAAAACAAAGTTGTTTCATACTACCACAAAAGGAAGATTTAGCTATCCAAGTACAAGATGTCAGACACATATTTTAAGCCACAATAGCTCTGATAAACATGTAAAATGATATGATAAAAGAACATAGTAAATTCATGACCGAAAGTAGTACTACCTTATAGAGCTCTCTTCGGCGAATACGTTGAATGATCCCTTTTGCTTTGTTCAGTTCATCGTTGGGAGCAGTTTCAATGCTTTTAATGATCGTGTCATCTAACTGAAATTTCCAGAGATGTTTGAAGTAAGAAGGCAACTAATAAAACTACATACATAATAAAAATTGCAATGATACCAAACCTTCCAGAAGTCCGCTGGATCTTGTGCATGCAAAGCTATTCCCAAGTATTCGTTAGCCTCAACAAGTGCATCCACAAGCATCAGTTCAACAGCCTAAGGTACATAACAATATATTAGAAGGCAATGGACAGGACAGTGTGGTTCTTTGCTGCACAAAAGTGGCCAGCATAATATAATTATCCTTACCTTGACTTTCGCATGTGTATAGACAGTGCGGTGAAGATCAGCACGTGTCGTAAACAATTTATGGATGCTCAAATCTGTAGTTCAAAATGAAAAGTTAACAAGTCAAGTGTCACATGATATCAAAAAGAAAAGGAACAAATAGCACAAAAAAAGAAGATAATAATAGACCTACAATCTTTGGCAGGGTAGCATATTTCATCACCCATGACTCGCATGCCTTGTAAGAGCCTGCAGTGCAAAAAGGTAAGAACCACAACAGCATGATAGCAAGTTAGTAACTGTGCCAGTACATGTCAAAATATATCAAATGGGTTATCAAGACAAAATATGCAGTAATTTGCTGCGGTCAGCAACAAATCACAAACATGCATATTTTTGCAAAGGAAATTATGCAACCATTCCAAAAGGTTAAAATACGCCGATTAGACCAAGTTGATAAAGAGTATGAAAAGACAAAGTACAAAGCCTTGTCTGAGCCAGCTAACATGTGCTTAAAACTCTCATTTACCTGTGGAAAAAATTATCAGAGTACCTATATTTCACTTTGATTAAATGACAGACAAACTTTCTGTGTTCTTCAATCAGATATCAGAGGGAAAAATATAACTGTAATAGTATAGAATCTTTCTTGTCTGTTTTAATACAAGCAGGGTTGATCTCACTAGAGTTTAATATCGGCCAAGGTGCGCCAATTGGCAAGTACCGTTGAATTGACGACTATCACATTAGCATTTATTGTAAATAAAACTTTACAGACAGTTTGTCTGATTTATTATTTCCTCAGTCATGTCTTATTTTCCTATAATATGATGTAAAACACTTGGTTAATTCTTGTATTCCTACTCTCAAATTTAACAGATTGGTTTAGTAAAAAAAAACTTAAAACATGATAACAAAAGGTACCTCCAGTACTGGAAATTACAACCCAGACCACATGCTCTGCAATCACGGCCAATGTAGTCAAACCTGCATGGTTACTCTATCTTATGGCATATCCAAATGATTGAAAAACAAATGTCAATGCAGAAAATATCAGAAGTTAGAAGTATAGAAGGACCATACTTGTCAACATCGATACCATTCCGACCATTAGCAACAATGTCATAAAGAAAGCGCTTCTCCTTTGTGCTCTGTGAAGAAACAAGTTTCATTGCATCGAATTTTAGTACATCTATTTTCAACTGACAGATAACTAAGGCAGTAATACAGACTAAGGTACATACTTCTGTTGCAGTGAACTTAGAGCTGGCAACAATCATTTCCTGCAAAAAAAAAAAAGAGAGAGAGAGGCTTGTCAAGATGTAGGGTTACACTTTGTCAACTTAGAACAGCACACATTTTGAAGTGAATACTTAAGGCTGACAAGAAAAAAGAGTGGAAAGGTCAAATTCATAGATTTTAAAACATTAAATAAGAGGTTCTAAGAGCCATTCTTCTTAGTGACAGAAGGAGATGGGTTAATCTGATGGCAATTGATAAATGCCACAATAACTGAATAAAAACGTGGATTACCATAACAATTTTGAGATGATCAGCTTCAATGTCTATTTGGTGTTTGTCGACAATGCTGTCCAGCAACAGTGCAGACATATTTTCATGGGTCCTGAATAGACAAAATGGACCAGTTTAATTAAGAAACCAACTGCAGTCTCACAATGTTTCAACAGGCTAACGTGCATGTGGAAGTGAAGAAATATGAGAAATTATCACCCTATGTCATCATATCCACATAGATACACACTAAAATTCATAGTTTGGATAGGAAGAAAATAGAAGTTGTAATGCTAGTATAATAATCATAGGACCAGAGTCTTTTAAGTGGTGTAATCCGCCATGACATAAATATGTATTGCTTTAAATTTTGAATCTTCTCATACTAAGGACATGGAAAATATATGTAAAACAACTAACAAATTAGAAACAACATAACCACATATATGAAAGGAAAATCACCAGGTTGATCCAGGAACAACACGAGGAAGAAACTCATGTTCAAACAAATGACTGAAGGGGCCATGTCCAATGTCATGCAAAAGGCCTAAACAGAATAACACAAGGATTGTCAATATGGAAACCTTGGCAGAGTTATGATTCAGTAAACAGACCTGCAAGTTTTACAGTTTGCATATCAACACGGTCAATGCCAAGCTCTTCTCCCTGTCAAAAGAAAAACAAAACTTAGTTTCATACAAAATAATTAAACTGCTACATGGAAATATATCGGTGGACTTTTTTATCAAAGGTAAGAACCTGGTACAGTCGAAGATTGTTCATAGCCTCCCCAGCTAGCCAATAGACACCTAATGAATGCTCAAAACGTGTGTGAACGGCTCCTGGGTAGACCAGATATGTAAGGCCTGAAAGGTACACAGAGCATGTTACCACAAATATCGATTATAAACTATGATAAATTAAAAAAAAAGTAGATATAAACATAGAGAAGGGCTCACATTATGTTACTTTGAGAACTAAACATTAGAACATTCAGTTAGCCATAATAGTAAGTGCTATTGCACAAATGATAACAGCAAACTAACCAAAATTCAGTAGCCATGGGACAGGTTAGCACTAATTATAAGCATGAGCCCATTTAGACAAATAAAAGAGTAAAGTCCATCACCGGTCCCTAAACTTGTACCGCTGTGTCATTGCGGTCCCTAAATTCGCAAATCGACCGTTCAGGTCCTCAAACTTGTTCAATTGTGTCATCCCGGTCCCTAAACTTGCAGATCACTCGTTTAGGTCCTCCAACTTGTTCAGTTGTGTCACCCCAGTCTCTAAACTTGGATTTGAATATCATCTGGATCAAATAGGACGGTCTAAAGACTTTATATTTAAAAATAATTCATAACTTTTTCAGAATAATTCATAACTTTTTCATGTGAACTCTAATGAAGACAAACTTTATATCAAATTTGTAGCCCTCGACGCGATCTACAACTTTGTAGTTGATTTTTTTTTATTTTAAGTCATTTTTTGTCCCAAAATGTAATTTTAAAATTAAAATTTCAAAATCTATAAACATGCAACAATATTTTGGGACCCTAAACAGTTTTAATTCAAAAACTTATCAACTACAAAGTTGTAGGTCGCGTCGAGGGCTACCATTTTAATATAAAGTTTGTCTTCATTAGAGTTCACATGAAAAAGTTATGAATTACTTTTTGATATAAAGTTTTTAGACCGTCCTGTTTAGGGACCGGGGTGATACAACTGAACAAGTTGGAGGACCTAAACGAGTGATCTGCAAGTTTAGGGACCGGGATGACACAGTCAAACAAGTTTGAGGACCTGAACGGTCGATTTGCGAGTTTAGGGACTGGGATGACACAGCGGTACAAGTTTAGCAACCGGTTATGGACTTTACTCCAAATAAAATTATCCACAACAGTGAAAGGATATGTGGTTAACAGTAAATTTGATTAAAAATAACTCTGTGCAGATAGAGTAAAGGGGATAAAAAGAACCGGGCCTTCGGGATACTATTGTGGTGGTATCGCGACGTTTGGACTAGGTGTCACGGGAGTTTTTTTACCCAGGAGCATGGTTGGCGATCTAGTGTACGGATTGATAGCCACTAATATCTCTGTTTCGTGAAGGGGGTCTAGATAGGTCTTTCTTTGTGTGTGGATGTGTGCATCTTTTGCAGAGGCCAGGAGTGTGCTCAGTTGAAATGTATCACCTTGGTGTATTTGACTGAGTTTTAATAAAGCTTCCATTATCGAAAAAAAAGAGTAAAGGGGATAAAATGTTTCCAGGACAAGACCCCATTGTGTAGCCTTAATTTTTCTAAACCCAAAAAGCAACAAATTACAATTATAAGGTTTGAAATTCAATTTAGATTTTGACACTTTCATCTATATTGAATACATTAGGCTAAAAATGATTTCTGCAATGATGATAAAATAACTCACCAAGTTGTTTTAGATCCCGCAGCCTGAATGACACAATGCAATCAAATGAAGCCATAAAGAGGATGAATAAGTTGAATAAACAAACGATCAACGATAATTTGGGTTAATCAAAGTCACCTCTGAAACTCCTCCGTATCCACAAACTCACGAGCCAACTGCACATCAGAGAAAGTTATCGGTGTTACTGAGAAGGAAAAGTGGGAGGAACAGAAGTTGCTTAAAGCTTTAATGACTCAATGGCCAAATTAAATAGATAAATAACACTAATAAGAGAAACGATATGTCGGTGTGAAAACAGCACTCAGTATGATAAAGTGTCATTGTAGCATAAGCATCCAAAACGGAAAATGAGAGCGGGCTAATTGTTCACCACTGAACAAGTAAATGATTATTCACATGTATATGATTCAGCATGCCATTACTCCAAACCCTGAATGCATGTATGATTTAGACTTAAATACAGGGTAACAACCTGAAGAAAATACACAGTAGAACTGAAACATTTGTACTTCCAAGTTGAAACGGATGCAGGCAGGAAAAGGTAAAAGTGGGAATCAACAATACATTGAGTTAGAATCATCAAAAGGTTTTAGTGCTAATGTTTAGAATCATCAAAAGGTTTCAGTGCTAATGTCATCATATACTAGTAGATACAACATGCGACACTACATGGCGGAAACTAAATGGGAACTGAATGTAAACATGATGATCATCCAACACGTGAGAACAACTGCTATATATAATAAACTTTCCATTCGCACCATTGGTTGTTCTACCACCACATGACAAGGAGAGCACGTGTTTCAGACACATCAGTAGTGGCGTACACAAGGTAAAACTGCCAACCCACCCAAAATATATCTGAAAAAAAACTGAACAATTTTGTTCAGGTAGCCTAGCCCGTTTAATCTGAAGAGTGAAGACCAAAAACCCTTTAGAATGTCAACAATTAACAATAAGACCCCGTTAATTGAAAGCAGTCATATCTAAAAGGACCCAAGCGTCAACGAAGGAGTAATAAACAAGCAGATAATTTATTACTACCTCCATAATACCTCATGTCGCTGTGAATGTGGACGTAAAATATTCTAGTCAGCAAAGGTCTAAGAAGGAAGGAAGAGAGGAAGGAGCATAAACAGCTATTGCCCCTCCATTTAAAATATGAAGGAAAAAAATGCGCATGCGTCTCCTAGTAAACTAATGTTGACGCGCTACACCAACAGCAACACATATAGATGATGAAGCGAAAATAAATAAACCTGAAAAGAAAAGGGAAAGGAGAAAGTGCATGCACATGCAAGGCTACTAGAAGCACATGAATTAAGTGGAAATACACGTGGTGAGGATGCAATCTGTTCAATCTATGGAGGAATGGAGCACATAGAGACAGCGAGGACAATCGGAAGAAATCGCAGCAGCATCCATCCATCCAAGCATGGCACAATGAATCATCACGAAGGGACAAAAACATCATCATCCGAGTATGGAAGCAGTAACCGATCGAAAAGGGAGACAAAAACTAGCCCCAAGTTACTACTAGTAACCAAACAATCTGAAGCAAGCAAATGAACAGTAGAAGCAATATCCAGCGTGATGAGATAGGGCGAGACGGAGGGTTGGGGAAGAGGAACGAATCCCGCAGAATGGGATGGTAGGGGTAGGAGTAACGAACGAACCGGGTCGAGCGAGATGTTGCCGTGGAGGTTGTCGAAGACCTGCTTGGTGGAGCAGCGGTCGAAGCAGCCGTAGTAGTGGGGTTGCTTGATGGCCGCCGCCGCCGCCGTGGTGGTGGTGGTGGTGGTGGTGGGGAGCGGCGTGACGAGGGCCATGGCAGGGTCCTCCTCCGGAGCAGCGCCGCAGTACTCGCCCATCTCCTCCTCCGAGAATCGCGCGAGATTACGGTGGGGGCGAGCGCTAGTGGGGTTTGCAGCAGTTTGCGGCTGATGAGAGATGGGGATGGGGAAGGCCAAGAGGCAGGCGAGGCGATGAGAAAAAGGAAGGAATCCAGCAGAAACCGGGAGTAGATATGGAAGTCCGTGAGATTTATTAGGAGATGCCAATTTAATGCGGGAGGGATGTTTCATGTTTGCGCTTGGATAATAATTAATTAAGGTATGGACGAGTTTACGTTTCTTGTGCGCGATTTAATTTAGGCAAGCAATACTAGCGAATAAAATGTTCTATCCATAGAAAAGAAACAGTATGATAAAATGCAACACGGATTCTTCCTTCTTCTTTTTCTCCTCTTGCTTTCTAGTAGTCCTGCTTGTTTTGATTGAATGGATAATTAAGGAGGAGAGTACGTTAGGCAAAGCAAGCAAATGCTAGAATAAAATGTTCCATCCATAGAAAAGAAACGGTACCAGTAGGATAAAATGCAACATGGATTCTTCCTTCTTTCTGCTTCTTAGTGCTTGTTGTTTTAAATGAATAAATGGATGAATGAATTAATGAATTATTTGTGGTAGTGGTAGTAATTAATCCGCTGGTTATTTCCACTTGACGGTTGCTTTTCGTTTTGTTTGCTTGGCTTCTCAGCCTTGCTTAGAGCAAGTACAATAAAAGACTATAAGCTAGCTATAAACATATTTTAAAAAAACAAAGAAAGAGAGATAAGAGCAGCGGGTTACAGATCTATAGCCAGCTGCAGCACGGACTCCAAGACGTAATGTATGTATAACAGGTAGGACCAGATATTAATAGTATAGTAAGCAACTATTGTATGAATTGGCTATTACATCGGGTATAGATTATTCGGAGCTAGTAGTGGGCTATACTATTAAACTTGCTCTTACACGTGTCAGGCGGGCCCACTCGTCGGTCATCGCCCAATGCCCAGGGAATATTCTCTTCTTCTTCTTCTATTCCACGTCCACGTGTATGGCCAGGAGTTGTTGTGGTGCAGTGGTGGTGAGAGCGAGCTCAGTCTGAGCTGGCTTGCATTTCGCTTTAGGCCGAAACGGGCTATACATATTTTCTTTCAGCCCACTATGATCCATCATCTAACTGATTGACGGCTTGCTCCTCCTTTTCCGGCTTCCTAAACCAATCTGGGCCTCAGCCCAAAAACATAAGACACTGCTAGGTTTGCGAATGCAGCAGCAAAATCCGAACGAGGGGGCATTTTGCAAAGGAAAAAGTATACCTAAGGTCCCTTAACTTGTCATCAAATTACAAAATCGTCCTCCAACCACAAAACCGGAGAACGCATCCTCTAACTTACAAAACTATTATAAACTAGATCCCTTGGCAGTTTTTACTCTGGTTTTATCCGACGTGGCAGCTGACTCAGCGTGGGGGCCACATGGGTCCCACATTTCAGCCTCTTCTTCCCCTCCCCTCTCCACCTCTCTCCTCTTCCTTTCTCTCACCGAGCAGGGCAACCGACGGGTGTGGGGAGGAGACCGGTGGGGGAGGCGGGAGACGGGACTCCGGCGGTCGGCGACGGGCGACGAGGCGGCGGCGGCGACGACGCGGGAGCAGGAGGGCCTCCCCCCACGCCGCCGCCGGCGGAGGAACGCAGTGAGCTGCCTTAGGTGGGCTCTCCGGAGGAAGTCGGCGGCGGTGTGACGGCACATGCGGCGAAGGACAAGACCTCCGGCACGGCGTAGGCGGCGAGGGACAAGGCCGCCGAGAGCAAGGACCAGACTAGCGGCTTCCTCGGCGAGAAGACCGAGAAGGCCAAGCAGAAGGCCACCGAGACCGACGAGACGGCGCGGTGGAGGGTTCTGCATCGGCTCCCTGCACCTGTCCCAATTTCCATGCCGGCTGCCTTTTGTTATATTCTAATCATCGTTTTTGTTTATCAAATCAATTTTTGAACACAACCTTTTTTACTGAAGGATGATGAAACAATGCACAAGATCGTCTTCAGTAATCAGTAGTTCAGTGGCTGGAAGTTTGCGTGCAGCCTGTTGCGCTTGCACCCAGTGAACGTGCACGAGTACCGCCGCTCCAGCTGCTGCTTGTCCTTACCACCGCCGCCGGCGGCTTTGTCAGCATGGGCACGCTCTTGTACTTGTCACTGTGTCTACGCATGTGCATCTGTAGGTTCGCGTCCCGCTTGAGCCACTTGACGCAGATGGATCAGAAGCGCGTGTGCTGCATCAGGATTTCATCCTCCTCCGCCGGCGCCGCCAAGCAGAAGACCACCGAGACGGCGTAGTACACCAAGGAATCCGCCGTCGCTGGCAAGGACAAGACCGGTAGCGTCCTCCAACAAGTACACACCATTAGCAACCTCGGTTAATTTCTCCTTGTCGAACACCATTGTTGTGGATTTTGAGGAGAATTCGTTTGTGTTTCAGGCGAGTGAGCAGGTGAAGAGCACGGTGGTCGGCGCCAAGGACGCGGTGATGAACACGCTGGGATGACCGGAGACAAGGCCGTCAGCCTATGGTGGCAGCAGCAGTGGCTCACATCGACGGCACACCCAAGGGGATCCGCGGATGGACGACGGCGGCAACGCGTCACCATCGTCCTCGCTCTCCAGCGTCGGCGCGGCTTGCCCTCCAGCGTCGCAGCTTCCGCCATCGCCGCCTCGTCGCCCGCTGCCTCCTCCTCTCCCGCCTCGCCCCGACGACCTCTCCCCACCCGCCGGGCGGCTTGCCGCTTGCAGTTGCAGAGAAGGAGAAAAGTGAGAGAGAGAGAGAGAGGAGGGATGGAGAGGAAATGGAAGAGAGAGGGTGCTGACGTGGCATCCTGACATGTGGGTTCCACGCTGAGTCAGCCGTCACGTCGGACAAAACCGTAGTCAAAACCACCGATGGATCTAATTTGCACTGGTTTTGTAAGTTGGAGGATGCGTTGTATCCAGTTTTGTGGTTGGAGGACGATTTTGTAATTCGATGACAAGTTAAGGGATCTTCGGGGTACTTTTTCCTTTTGCAAAACTGGTGATGTCGGGTGAGGGAGATCTCAGCCGTTAGATGAAAGACGTGCGTCTATTCTGCTGCCTCGCGTCACGCCCCTCCCCTCCCGTCCCGTAAACGCCACCTCACTGTCGCCGGCCACAGCCGCCGCTTCTTTCGCCGGCACGCCTCCTTCGCGGCCCCACTCCTCTCCAATCCTACCCTCCGTGGTTCCCTCCTCTCGTGATCGCCGCAATCCTCGATTCAGTACACAGCAAAATGAAACCACGATGATGAACAAGAGGTAAAGCAAATCTCGGCGATGATCTTGTCTCTGTTGGTGCTCGGCGGGCGGCGGCGAACCAACTACACAAAACCGTCCAGCCGTCCTGCTTCCACATCTGCCACTCATTTTAATTTCTCTATGCAGTATATATAGGAGTACTCCAGTTGTTACTGAATTCTGTATCTTCCAAATTAGAACCTTCAACCTTGGGAGTGCAAGGATTACAATAGTCGAGAGATGAGTATTGCATCTCATTTATAGGAATTTCAGTTTTGTTCATATCGACTGTATCATATCAATACTGTCGAACACCTATTAGTAACTGTCTGATAGCTTTCCTGTTGTACTTCTCATTCTTAAACAAGCACCCACGTCCTATATCCCCCGTACGTTCTAATGCTAGTACTTGGTTCGTGAAGAGTATATCTGCCAAGTCAATACTACTTACTACTAGTACTAAGCTACAAAATCACTTGTCAGTGTAAACAAATAAATCTGAATACAAGCAATCAAAATTACTCTGGTAAATGAATCGTCACAAATGTGTTTCGGTGCTGAATCTTTTCTTTGGTGTCCCTATCCCCCGCAGGATGCAGCTGGGAAGATTTCTCAGTATTGCTTGCGTGGAGAATTTCTGGTAAGTAGTTAGCGCTCTAAACACAGCTTAAGGAGTTCCAGAAAAGTAATGCTGCAGCTACTCATATAGAAGGAGTATAAAATTGGAGCCAAATGAAGGACCTGGGACTGGTAATTGCTTGAAACCTTTGATTAGCTGAACTCATATCCAGTAAAATATTGCTTACCGACACTACAAGAAAAATACTTTATAGAGATATTTTTCTAGGACTACAGAGACACTTTTCAAATGCCTTTACAATACTATAGAGGCATTTTAAAAAAGTCTAATAAGTGCCTTATGGTGAATTGTCTCTACAAACGAAGAGGCATTTTATAAAATGTCTATAAGGTGGTAGAGACATTTTCTAGAGACATTAAATTGTACCACAACCATACGAAACCAATGTAAAAATGAGAATAAAATATTTTCCCTTGTTTTTGCCAATCCTTGAACTCATGATCTCTTGAACAAATCATTCTTATCTTCTTTGAACAAATCATTCTTATCTTCAAGGCACTAACCAACTCAACCCCATGTCATTCATTGTATATGTTTATGCCTTAAGTTACTTATATTTAGCCATTTAGTATATTTTTATTGTAAGAAGTGTCTCTACAGAGTTTAAAGTGTCTCAAGCAAATGTCTTTACATGTTAGACACATTTTAAAGTGCCGAAAGAATGCCTCTACAAGATAAAATCTAATAAAATGTGCTAAAAATATTTCTAAAGAGTCTCTAGAGTAAAAATTTTCTAGAAAATTTTGAAAGTGCCTCTATAAAGTGTCTCTACGCTATAAAACTCCTGATCTTAGAGTTTTATATAAAGTGCCTTTATATAATGTTTTTGTTGTAGTGCGAAGGTAATTGCTTGAAACTTTTTATGCATAGTTTCATAGTTTATGATACGTTCCCTGTATGCTTTGTTAGTGTGAACGCAAAATATGATCTTGCGGCTAAACCTAAAGTCGGCAAAGAGATATTTTGTTTAGGGCGATCGCTACAGTGATCGATCTCTCATGAACATCCCTGATCGGGGGATTACCGCCATACCCTAGTGTCAGTTCCCCATGTGTGCAGTGGCTATAAATAGAGATCAATACCTAAGTGTTAAACCCTAAGTTTTCTCTTGCTACCCGATCAAGAAAAACCCACTGAAACACAGGGAAGAACCAAGACACGATTCTCTCTGTGCTTCAAATTAGAAGAGAAGAAAGAAGAACAAAGACAGAGAGATGGGAACTCCAAGAGATCAAGGCATGATCCAATCCCATTTCAATTTGTAGTTCCACTTTGTGCCAAACCGATCCAAAGCATATCCAACAATGGTATCAGAGCACCGGGTTGGCCTCAAATTGGAACTCAATAAGTGTTTATGTTCAAGTTGTTC